AATTTCGTCTTGAAAATTAATCACATCATCAGTGTTAATCTAATCTATCCTAATCTATCCTATTATTACATTTACTTTGACGTAACAAACAAAAAACAAGTGATGTTACCGAAAAATCTTGATTAAAACCTTATTATTATGGTCCAAATCAATTAACCGATCATAAATAACCCTTTTCTTTTTGTTGTTGTCGATAAATAACCTGATTAGGTTTTGACCGTTAATCTAATCATCACCAGATTAAGTTTTAGAAAACTTTTAATCATCTTTGACCCCCTTTTAAACTTTTCCCTTTCTCCCTTTGTTTTCATTTTAAGTCTTGACACCAAACCAGTTGATTGGAATCAGAATCACAACCTAACCCAACCCAATCTAACCTACTAGTATCTATCGAGATAATCAAATTTGAAAACAATTCTTATTATGATTAGAATTGCTGTTTTATTATGAATTTATATTCTTGGTGTCACTCTGTCAATATCAAAATAATTAATATGAAAAAACAATTCTTCAAAATGAGTGACATCAACACGAGACAAAAAACAACAATCAACATGAAACAAGTTGAATATTGTTGATGTGTTTCAATGAAGATGAAACTTTATAAAGATGCTAAAGATGATGATTACAGTAGCTAAAAAAGAGATGATGTTGATGATAATAAAGAAAGAAAGAAAGAAAGAAAAAGTAAAAAAGAAAACAAGAAGAGATTATTTTGATGACCTTTATTTAGGTTCTCAAGGAAGTCTCAGTGACATGGAAAATGATGTTATCAAGAGGTTTACCCAAGTCAAGAGAGATGAAGATGAAGATGAAGATGAGAGGGAGAAAGTCAAGGGGAGAGATTATTATAATTGTAATACACTGAACTGTGTTCGAGCCAAATTAAACTTGCCTCTTTTTTTTTCTTCTACCGGAAAGATGCTAGGAGAGAAGAACAAAAAGAAAAGGAAGAGAAATACATCAAACGGAAATCAAGATGATGAAAAGAATATATAAAAAAAATGTTCTCTTCTTTTTCCTTTTCCTATGGAAATAATACATTCAAGTGCAATTCATTTGCAAATTAATCGGTTAGTTGACAAAAATGTTTTCGAAGTCGAAATGGACATTGGTCAATAAAATATGAGCATCGTATTCATTTGGGTGCTGATTGTAACTGCATCTCAATGATTGGAATATTTTTCTTGAATTTCCAGGAAGACGAACAACAATTAACCTGATCAACAATCAGTTCTAATGATGATAAGTGGCCTCATAATATTACGAAATTACTAATTGTCACATTATCAATTTACTCGGTAAGTTGGCTCACCTTCACCTTCATCTGCCCTCTCTCTCTTTGTTAAATGACTGTAACACTGATAAAAAGTTAGTAAAATGATTAGCATAATCTTATCATGATGGAAAAACTTGAATGAATTAAGTCTCTTTGTTTTAAGATGTTGGTGTTAATACTACTCATTTACATCCTCTCAATTATGAGTTACTCTAAGCTACAATCATCTTCATCATCACACTTAAGGATGAGACAAAACAATAACTTCATTGGTTAACAAGGTAACAATTGACTTACAGTTTGCAAAAGATGAAAAAAAAACTTTTCTGTTGATATCATGAAGATGATTGAAGAGATTCATCATCATCTCTCTTTCTCTCTCCTATCACGACACTTTCACTTTAAAAAATGCCAGAGAGAGAGAGAGAGAGAGAGAGAGAGAGAGAGAGAGAGATCAATTTCCATGCAAAAAATCATGATGAGAAAAGTTTCCAACTTGAATTTAGAATTTTTTTTCGAAACATTTTTTTGCTCTCTAACTGTTGTTGTTTCTTCACGATTCTGATTTCTTGTTAGCACAAAGATGTAAAAAAAATGATATCTTTTTATGCATATAAATACCTAAGAGTTTTGAGTCTCTCATCTTCCTCATCTTCCTCATCTTCCTCATCATCATCTACATTTGAATCCACTGAAAGAGGAAAATATTACATTCCTGTTTTTCATGGTTTTGTGAAGGTGAGTTTAATATTTGATGATGTGACATTGACTGAGAATAGAAAAGCCAAAGACTTTAGTTGACAATGTTGACAGTTGAGGTTTGAAAGTAAGCAAGAGAAAAAAACACAAGATGAAGATGATGATGATTAGATAGACATAAGGAAAAGAGATGCTGATGATGATGATGATGATGATGATAAAGATTGAGAAAGAAAAAAGCGAAGAAGAGAAAGAAAGTGAAAGACAAAGATAAATTTTCTTTCCGTTTCAATTGCAAACTGATTTAACTTTCAACTGATTTTTGGTTAATCATCATTTAGATTTGCAGCCATTTGCATTATTTGTTAAACACTATTGCAATTAAGCTAATCAATTGTAATCATTTTGCAATATCTATTGCAAACAATTGATTATATTGTATTTTTATTGTTTACTCATCTATGGGCTTTATTATCATTCGTATCTTTTTAACTCTTTTTTTTCAGTTCTTATCATTTGGATTGCTCACTTTTTGCATTTTCTTTTATCTTTTTCTCCTCTTTCGGTCTCATCTTCATCTCACTTGAAGTGAATCTTTCATCAGCCAAGTCTCTTTCCCTTCTCATCATCATCTTCCTAGTTTTCTACACTTTCTCTCTCTTTTCAAGATTATCTTTTGAAAATCTTAAGCATCCTGACATTTTCATCAATTTTATCCATCACCAGACTCACTTAGACTCCTGACTAGCAAATGGTGTTATCATTTGATGTGAAGTGTCAATAACTTTGAGAGAGAGAGAGAGAGAGAGAGACAAACAAAACAAACAAGAGGGTGGGTTGGATTGAGTGAGTGGGTGGAGAGGGAAAAAGTTCAGAAATAGTTCAGATCGCAACAGTTTTTTTGCATGTACCTTAATGCAATCGAACTGAACTTTCTCATTGAAACAATTTCTTATTTACCATGAGCATCATGAGAGTTGATAGTTTAGTTTTCAGTATCGAGAAGACTAATCGTTTATCGTCATTTATCATCTTTAGTTGAAAGATATTCTCACGGTCTTTTTGTCTCTGCTAAAGACTATTGATCAATATAATTTCTCTGTTGTTTATCAATTGAACACATGATAAAATCGATTCTCTTTCTTTTCTTTCTCTATTTGATTATCTTATTGTTTCAGTTTAATATCAACATTAAATTACCAAATCATCGGCCCAAGATCCCAGGGATACATGAGATCAGATAAAAAAACTCCTACAGAAAGATATTCAATATGAATATAAAATAAACTCTGGAAAAGTAAGATAAACATGATAAGAATCAGGAAGAAAAAAAAAGATATCAGATAACAAATTTGAAAAGAAGAGAAAAAAAAACTTTTGGAATTTTTTTCTCTATCGTTTTCCATCTCGTCGATTTTACAATGACTCTTGATTCTGATTTCAATTGTAAACTGAATGTTCAAAAAATGCTCAGTTCATCACCTTCACTACACCCACTTAATCATTCATCGTCATCATCATCATCATCACCATCATCTACTTTAGTGAGATGTTTGGAGAAGAAAAAATTGAGTTGACAAAATTATCTCGAACATTGAATGTTATCGATAGAGAGAGAGAGAGAGAGAACGTGATTTTGAACAGTTTTTGAAAAATTCGAGCGACAATTCGAGTACTAAGTTCGTGCTCGAAACAATCAACACCTAATCAAGATTCAATTCCCAAGTTGATGAAATTGTTCATCACCATTTCCACCACCACCACCATCATCATCATCTTGACATAATCAATAATAAACATTGAACAATTAATCAATAAAGTTGATAATCAAAATGATGAAATTATTACGATAACAATTATTAATCCATTGATTGTCAAACATTTAAAAAGTTAATCCACTGAGATCAATGGTTATCAGTGAATCAATCAAGTTAAAAGTAAACAATTAACAGACCAGTAGACAATAAAAAATGAATTGAGATGATCAATTAAAATCAAGTCAATTGTTATTATGTAAACATCTAAATGACAATTGTTACTATTGATGATTAGTTGATTGTTGAAAATGAACATCATGAATAGAGAGTAGTTAAAAAGAGGTTGAACCAACAGTTAACCCAAACAATTAACTATTAACTGTAATGATAATACCAAAAACAAACACTAATGTTTATGTTTGTTTATGTTTAGATTTGTAATTGATACTTTAATTGTTTATCTAACTGTCAATGTCAATGGTAAATTGTCAACAATCAGATCAATTGCAATCGTTGACTTTTCTTACTATTAATACAAATACTTGTGTCGTAATCAAATTGATTGTGTAGTTTAACTTTTTTTTAATCTTCTCAATTAATTTTCACCAATTCATCAATCGTGATGTTGATAATGATGATGATGAATTTTAATCATCATCATCAAATATCATCTCTCACTTTTGGTAAATAAACATTGATGAGAAACTCAATCATCATCATATTTATAAATCATCATAACTTTTGATGATTATCATGATTCTTGAAATGAAATTTACAAGTTCAGGTCATCATGTTTATCGCCCTCGCAATTATAATTGTATATCTTCATTGAACATGATACTGAATCCATTCAATCAACAGGAAGAGTCAATCTTTTCAGTCCAAATCAATTGATCATTTTCCGGTCATCATACATATCGATTCACCAATAAACTATCACAACAATGATGCTTTAGTTTCACCATGTAACCTCAGAATACTAGTAAAGAAACAAGAATTCATCATGAAATATGAAGAAGAAGAAGAAGAAAAAAAGTTCTAACTGATTGAATTTCGGTTCTCGATTTTTGTAAAAACATGTTGACCGTTTCTTAAGTAAATTCAGTTGAACTCAACTGAACATCATGATGATCGTTTTGTTGTTGTTGTTGTCAGAGAAAGATGAAGATGAGAATGATGATGTAAAAGTGGATAAACTCCACCTTCTAATACTGACTAACCAGTCTGATTGGTTGTATGAGAAACAGAAATACAGGCGTGAACCAAAATTTTGACGCATTCGTAGTTGAATCACAATCTACTCACAATGTTGATCATCTACTCATTGAGTCTACAGTCCTTTAACCATTGACATCATGAAGATGGTTTCTTGTGCAGGTTGTGATCAGCCCATCACAGACCGTTACCTGGACAAAATCCTTGACCGTTCGTGGCACACCTATTGTGTCAAGTGTTTTGATTGTGATGTCCAACTAACTGGTAAATGTTTTTCTCGTGACGACAAATTATATTGTAAACAAGACTTTTTCAAGTAAGTTTAGTGTCTCTTGTTATTGTTTTGTCAACTTTTTCTCTCAAAAAAAAAGTTTCGTCATCCTCATCATTTGGATATCCACATATGAGAACATGTTTATTTCCATCAACATTATCATCTTTATGCTCATCATCATTTTAATCTTTCTCTTTCTCTTTCTGTGTCTTTTTCTCTTAAATCACCTTAGGCGATTTGGTAAAAAATGTGCTGGATGTTCAGAAGGAATATCACCTGAGGATTACGTCCGTTGGGCTTTAAGTGAAGTTTATCATGTCCGATGTTTTACTTGTGTCGATTGTCACAAAGAACTGTCCACTGGTGACGAACTGTACATTCTGGACGATTATCGACTTCTCTGTAAACGAGATTATCTTGCGACAAGTCCTCAAAATCGAGGTAAGATTAACGATTACCTTTTTTCTGTTCACTTTCATATTCAACGATTTTCTCATCATGTGAGTTGTTTTTTAAATGAGAAAATCAATTGATCAACCAAATCAAAGATAAATAATCACTTTTCTTTAATCTCTAAATTTAGATCATCTAAATAATAATAACAACAACAACAATCTTAATCTAACTAATCTCAATGATCACCGAGGACCATCATCATTATCATCAGCATCACCAGTCTCATCATTATCATCACCTTCATCTTCATCACTTTCAATCAATTATCACCATCAACACCAACAACAACAACATCCTCATCTTCATCCCCTTGTACCTCATCATTTATCTCACAACGATAATCATCATCATCATCAACATCATCATCCACACCAACAACCACTTCACCTTTTACAACAGAATCTTTTAAATTCAACTAATCCAATCTCAACAATTTCTAATCATCTTCATCACCTTAATCACCATCTTCTTGGCGGTAATAACATCAAATCTGAGTCTCTATTCAATACAACAATTAACCATAAATTATCAGCTGAACCCGTTGTTCAGGTGAGACAAACAACCAGGGGAAGACCTCGTCGGAAATTAAAAAAGGAACCACTTGAGTGCAATAATAATAACAACAACACCAATAGTAATAATGTTAATAGTGATAATTTATCACATTCAATTGAAAATCAACATCAACCACCACCCACCTCTCACCTACTCCATCCACATCCATCAACCTCATCAACAAACTCATCATCAACCTCATCTTCCCATAATGATAACAATGTTTTTCATGACCATCATGATATCCACGGTGAGTTAATTGATTCCAAAAGAAACGTTCTAACAATTTAACTTAAACACCTTAACAATCAATCAATCAACCTTAACCTTACCTTGTGGTGTATCCAGTATATCAGAGTATTTATCTTGTTATTACCGAAAAAAACAAAACTCATGTTATTAATCACCTAATCATCAGCTGTGGCTCATTAATAGTCAACAAGTATTTCATCATTTGAAATGTTATTATTTTGACGATCAATTGATTGATCATCATCATCATTTTCATAATCATCTTCATCGTCATCATCAAACATGATAATGTGAACAAATCTATCATCTAGTTGAAGATAAAGTCATTTCTTTAGCTTTCTCTAATAACCTCATGTAGTTGACAATCATTTAGGGTTATTTAAATTACTACTAATTGATAATTCTGACAATTAATTAGAGATCATATAATTACATCATTTATTTTTCTCTCTCGCTTTCATTTGAAACCAAACTCTCTCTCTCTCTCTCTCCTCTCTATCATGTGTCTCAATTGTGTTTTTAATGAACTCTAATCGTTTAGATTATCACTTTCCTCGTCCCACTCCCACAACTAACTACCAGCCACTCTCACCCTCTTCCCATATCATATGGAAACCACAGGGCTAATGTTTCAAAAAGCCCATGATCGCCTTGTTGACCTCCTCCTCGGGTTAATAATATGAACAAAGACATTTTTTGAACAAATGACAGTCTCGAACAAAAAAGATGAAACATGAAAAACTAATAGTAAACGCCTGTTGATAAAAGACAAAAAAATCAGCACGGCTTCATCTTCATCTTAATCATCATCATCATCTTTCATCTCTCTCTCTCTTTTCCCTCTTTTGTTTTCCTCTTCTCTGTCCCTCAAGGGATAAATGTCCCTTGAGTGAACACGTCAATGGGTTTCCCTCTCTCCTTCAACCTCCTACCAATCTCTATCTCTATCTTTCTCTCTCTCTCTCTCTCTGCTCTTACACACTCTCACTCTCACTCTCTTTTCCCTCCCTCCTTATAATCCAACGACACACGCAGCAACTTATAAGGCTCATCTCATCGGAATAACAACAATCTACACCCCGTGTTATTTATTTCCGATTCCAATTTATCTTATCCTCTCTATCAGTTTATCATCTATCCTTTCCACCCACCACTCCTCTTACAACCACAAAAAAAACCTCCACCGACAATTATTCATCTAATTTAGACAATCAAAATTTTCTATCACATTCAGAGAGTTTCAATTTCAGTTTATCTCGCTTCGTCTATTTCTTATATTAATATATTTCCATGCTCATCTTATCATCCTCATCTTGCTCTTCCAACTTGAAAGAAGAGAAAAAACAAATTACAATTTTCTTCATCATATTAATTAGTCATTTTATTTTATCTTTCTATTACTTTTCCTTTCCCTTTTTGAAGGTTTAGGTTGTCCAATTGATTCTTTACCAGGTAATTTACATGAATCTCGTTTAGGATTAAATAAAAGTCCATCTTCTTGCCCTTTAACTGGACTCAATGGACAATCAACAAACGGTAATCACGGCGGAGGCAGCGGCATATCCAATGGCGGTGGCAGTTCCAATGGCTCAAGTAGCAGTAAAAGTAAACGTGTTCGCACCTCCTTTAAACATGCACAATTAAAAACAATGAAATCTTATTTTTCAATCAATCAAAATCCTGATGCAAAAGATTTAAAAGGATTAGCAGCAAAAACTGGACTTTCCAAGAGGGTTTTACAGGTAAGATAAGATTATCTCATCTTTTCATCATCCAAGAAAACTATATGATCCTTTTTCATGTCAATATATCATGTAAATCAGTGAAAATCAGAACTTTAATCAATCTGGAAAACATTTCACTTTAGAGGCGATTAACTAACTTCGAGTTAAGTTTTTTGTTCATATTGACTGTTTTCTAAGCCATTTGACCTCAATGTTTAGGCTAATTTAGATGGACAGTTATAATCTTGATGATAAAAGATGATTATATAAGAGGGGTGGTGGTTGTGGAAGATAAAACTTATGATTATATTTCATGTTGATTAGAAAGAGGAAGAGAGGGAGAGGATGATGTTGTCCTCTTCGAGCAGGTGAATACAATGTAAAACTGTCCTTTCATTATAATCGTTGAAACTTTTATTTTCCTTTGAACGGATGACCTGAGAAAATGGCCTTAGGGAGATGATTTCTTCTTCTTCTTAAAGTTTATCCTTCTCATCATTATCCTCATCATCATCAACTGGACATCATCAGCTTCACAGGCATCTGGATGAAGAAACATCTTGTTTGAATTGACAAAGTTTTTTGTTCGAAACAAAAAAAAGTAACAAAATGTTTCTCATCTTTTCTTAGCATCTCTCACACTCTCTCTCAACGTTTTCTCATCATCATCATCATCATCATCATTACGTGCTTAGTGTTAGCGTGCTAGTAAAACAAAACGCGTGCTGAGCTTGTAGCACATAGGAAGTTGACTGAATATCATTTTGTTTTTTTATTACCTTTGTAACTTTGATTGATAGTAACAAACTTTTACAACTACAATTTGAATATCAAGCTCAGTGTCTAACTGATCAAAGTTAATTACTAAAAAGCACAATCACCAAACCAAATAGCTCTCACCTTGTAAACTGTGGTTACAAATAAACAATTAACTATTACATCAGTTGATTAATCAAACATTTAAACTCTAATATTATCATTTGAATCATTTGATTTACTTGATCTTCATTGTAATATTTGCAGATAAACTATTACCGTCGCTACTACCGCTTGAATGATTTAGTGAGGACTTCGGACTGGTCAATTTAGACTATGAGGTGAAACTTAGAGTCAGATTGTGCTGGAAAGAGGTTCAAACTTGATCATTTAGAGGAAGTAAAAGTCGTAACAAGGTTTCCGTAGGTGAAGGATCATAAACAAAACCCCAACGATATTGTATCTTGTTGTTTATCTCTCTTCGTAGATCTTATTTACAGGACTATAAGAGAAGCATAGATTAACTTTGATAGCAGTAAAGTTTTATCAAATCCCCTTTAATCCACGCTTGCATGGTTATACATTCATGTGGAAAAGCATGAGTGCTAGGTTATCCAAAGATAGCCACAAATATCTGTAGACGAAACTTGACATTCAGTACAATCTACATAACTTACATTTCCATGAAACTTTTACATTGGAGAAACAAAATATTGATTATGATTAAATCACTGGATTAACTAAATTAGATTTAGGAAAACAATTACTCAAGTGTATAGGTTGTCATGTTGTCTCTATATTATCATCAATTGATTCATAAAATTGATATTAAATTGTTGATTATTTGATTATTTGATTGTGATTGTAGAGTTGAAATTGTGATTCCTTTTTTATTATTTGCCTTTAAATTCAATTGTAAATGTAATGCTGAGAAACTCATGTTACATGAAATTGAATTTCATCTCATGGTAGAGGTAAAATTCATGCGTATTCATGATAACTTGTAACATGATTAACGACCTATAACTTTTTCCATGATGAACTCAATTGTGAACCTTTATCATGATTACATTGAATGTTGAACTTTTCCTTTGCAAAATCTATCATCAGATTATCATGAGAAGAAAAAAGTTTTCAATGTTAATCCTTTTCATATGTAAATTAAGTTATCATAAAGATTAACATAACCCCCGTGATATTATCAATATGAGCACTTGAATTTACTTATCAACAGTTAATTGTTATTTTAACACAATCAACAAACTTACAGTCAACTTATTGTTATGATAATTAATCGCTGGTTAAATTGCAATTAGTATCTAATGTAAACATAAAGTGTGTCCATTTAATAATAATCGTTAACTACTATTAGTTTGGAGATAATAAATCTTATCATTGTGTCGGCTGATCCCTCGGATCATCCAGATCCTTGTAAGATATTGAAATGATGATAATGAGAAGAGGATAAAGATGATGAGGGAGACCATAGTTTGGTTGATGTAAATAAGATGAAGATTATGATGATAGCTTTTTGTTTGGAGCGAAAGAAAAAAGGATAAACATTAGTGAAAGTTATTATTTGGAATAATGTTGGAGAAAAAAATATGAACAAAGTCAACAAAGATGGCGACAGTCTGGCACCATGAAGATGATGAAGATGATGGAGAGAGAGAGAGAGAGAGATGATGTTAACAGATGATGCAGAAATAGTAGCTGATGATGATGAGGAAGATTTTGGTCAAACAGTAGTGAGGATCATGACGTTGTAATACATATGCTTTTTGATACTCATGTTTGTTTTTGCTGTGATCAGGATAAGGATAAAGAAGATGAAGATGATGAATGGGTGGAGAAGGAGGATAAGGATGAGGATGAGGATGAAGAGGGAAGATAAGAAGTTTTTTTCGAGAAAAAAACATGAATTTTTGCTTCGTTCCTGTTAGAAAGATAAGATGAAAACCATATTACCACTGACATGGGGAAAAGTACAAAACAAACACGAAAATGTAACATGCGAGAGAGAGAGAGAGAGAGAGAGAGAGATCATCTTTTATCTTCTTCTGAACTTCATCACCAGATATTTTCGCTAGTAAACATTTTCGGCGGGAAATTTTGCTTTTCCATCATCACTTTGTCTGAATAAATTTGAACATCATCGTCTTGTTTTTTCTGTATCATCCTCATGATCATGACGACAGAAGATGATCATTTTTTTCAGCAATTTTATCATCCTCATCACTTTGATTAATCTCCTCCCCGACAGTTTTAATTTGATTAAGCAAATATCAACTTTACTAATATTGTTTTTGTTACTTTTGTATATAAGCTGATCCTAATAATCAGCCCACTGTCAATCAAGATAATATTATAAATAACCATTCCCTGAAAATCCTTGGCCCAACCCCCATATTTCTTGTTATCTTCATCATTATCATCATTATTATTATTTTCCTTCATCCTAATCATCTTCATCCCAAAAACAAGCAGAAAAAAAAACTTTCAAAGTTACTTTTTTTCTCTTGTTTTCTTTTCGTCATCTCCAATATTTCGTATATAAGATTATATATTCAGAACTTTATTTCTTTTGTAATTTCAATCAAATTTTTCCTTTCTTCATCTTTGCACATGGATTTTGATCTAATTTCCTGTATGTATTTTTTTCTCCCTCTCCCTCTCTCCCTTTTTCTCTCTCTTCTTATAGGTTTGGTTTCAAAATGCTCGAGCCAAATGGAGGAAAACCTCAGCAAACACCAAGAAAGATTCATCCTCAGAAACGGCAATCGTTGACACTTCATCTCAACATCATCACCATCATGAGTCATCCGAATCGTTCAGCATCGACTATTATTGCAAGGAACCATTTGAATCAACAGGTGATTGTGATGACACCCTAATTCACAATCTTCACTCTTGTGAGAGTTAAAAGATGAGGATCTCGATGAAAATGATGAGGATGCACCCAGAACATCAAAAGTGAATGGAAAGACGTCATATAGTGAGAAAAAGATGTGTTTACAAGTGATGGATAACATAAAAAAAAGAACGATAATGAAGATGATTAAAGAACAGTTGAAGAGAAAAAGATATGCAATATTTTGTCTTTTCCATTTTTTTTTCTTCTTCTTCTCATCTTCTAATTAATCAACCATTGACATCTCACTGAAATTGGGTGCCCAAGGGACTCACGTTTGAGAAACTGAGAGAGAGAGCCTGATGATAACGAACTGTTTATGGGCTCGGCAAGTGGCGAAAAGGCAGATGATAAAGGATGAGAATCATCATCATCATCATCATCATCTCATCTACTTCATGTTGTAACTTTCTCGTTATCTTCCTACTATCATCTTCTCAATCATCATCTAATCTGAAAAGATGATCTTGTTAGTCCATTGGGTGAAAGTGAGGATTAAGCAAGAAAATTGCTATAAATAAATTCTCGCAGTGAATCAAATAAACGATAGTTTGATTGATTATTGGTGAAACACTTCCAAGGTCCTAACGAAAACCGACCAATATAAATAAATACATTTCTCATCATCATCATTATCATCCTCATCTTATTTGGCTCAGAAAATAACTTTACAATATTATTATTATTTATGCTGAGTGATTATCTTAAAATCATTTCATTAATCAACAATTAACATAACATAAACATCGTAATTGTATTTATCTTCATCATCATTAACATCATTTTTTCCTTGATAACAAATGATATTTTTTTTTCTCTCCTTTCATTGATTGAATTAAATTACTTTTAATTTGATTGTGATAACCATTTTAATTAGTAAAAAATATTTAATTGTTACAATTTTTTCACAATTTAATTGAACCGAATTGACTTTTTTTTTATCGATTATCATTTCTAATTGTAATTTATATTTATAATGTGTGAGGTTCTGATGATTTCACACGAAATTCATGATGAGCTTTTTTACTTTAAATCAACAACTTAATTTGTACGAACTTTTCACCGCTGGATTAGTCGATTTAATTATAAGGGACCAGCCTATGCCTTCACTCAGCCGCTCCTTGTATTGGGCTCGAAAATGATGAGAGATTTGATCTTCGTACTTGACAACCTCGACCTCAAATTCATCTGGAATTAGTTCTGAATTTTCATCTGATCTTCAATTAATTGATGGAAAATTAGTGAATGTAACATTTTCTGTAGGGTTGCGCATCATGATCAGGGCTGAGTTCGAGTAAAATTTTCCTTGTCAAAGGTTATTTTTGTCCCGCTGAATCTCAGAGCATCCTGGTAACCACCAATTAACATGACCAGAACTTTCAGTAAGGTTCGAGTGTTTCTTTTGTAATAATGGATCAAAAATGGCTCCAATATCTTTCGGGGGTGAGTCAAGAGTAATTAAAAGGTTTTCTTTTGTGTCTGATGATTTACGAGAAAATTTGATTGATTTAGAGGGCGGTGGCAACGGTAAATTGTAACTTGCTCGACGCGATTGTGAATTGGATGAAGATGAACTAACAATTGGATTTGATTCTTGTGATTGAAAATCTACCCAATTGGATTGATTATGATTATTGTTATTATTTATTAATCCACTTGATGAATAGTCTGATGAATTTTTTAATCCAAATCCTTTATAGCTTCTTGTAACTCTCCCATTAAATCAAGACTGATTGGTTTATATGTTAAACCCTCGATTCCTGGTAATTTTTCGTATTCAACTGAATCAACTTCCGAATCTTCAGATGAGGCTTCAGGGGCTTGTTCCAAGGAGTAATTTTTATCCTTGGAAAATGGATCACGTAGATTTAGATCCCCGTAAAATGTTTTCTTTGAGGTAAAACCAGTAACTGGTGGTGACTACAAAAGAAAAAATTAAAAACAACAATTAACCGATTGTTAAACAATGAAAATCCATGAATCAATCTCATTCAAGGTAAGATTTAACAATGAAATGTTGCTTAAAATTGATAACATGATTTATTGATTTCTCTTCATTACCAAGACAATTTGACGTCTTCCTTGCTTGGCAAGACTCAGGCCACTGGCACTTTTCCTGACGGAACCATTGGATGGTTCATCAGCTAGACCATAGTAGGTCGATGATGTCGGAGATTCTCGAGGTGTAGATGGAGCTGATCGAGGTAAACCCGGTTCACCAGGTCGATTAATATCTTGTAATTTTAATTTGAATCCATTATAAGCCTTTTTACTTTTATCTTTAACTTGTTTACCACGACTTTTCACTTGTTTGTAGGCACTTTTTACCGCTGGATTAACCGATTTCAATAAAGCTCCACCTTCTTTCTTCATCTGGCCAAGCCATTCCTTGTATTGAGCTCGAAAACGATGAGAACTTTGCTCTTCTTCATACATGTTCACTTCAAACTCGAATTCATCTGAAATTGATTCTGCATTAGTCAACATTCTTATTCGATCTTCAATAAACTGATGGAAAATCTGTAAATGTAACATTTTCTGTAGAAAGGGTTGCATATGATCAGGTCGTGTTCGAACAAAAGTTTCCTTGTCAAAGGTTATCTTTGATCCGCTTGGGAATCGTAGAGCATTCTGGTAACCACCGATTAACATGACCAGAGCTTTGAGAAAAGTTCGAGCGACACCATCACCAATGAGAGATCCACTGTTTTTCATACTTTTCTTAAGAAACGATACCTGAAAACATAAAGAAAAAGAAGAAGAAAAAAAGTTAATAAAAAGCAAACAATTCAACTGAAAAACATGATGAACATGATAAACATCAGACAATCAATTCAAATGAAGAAACAAAAATATAAACCAATTCAGGATCCATTTGAAAACATCTCAAATAACCTTTACTATTTTCAATGAAAACTGATCCATATCAATGATAAGATATTTCTAATCAAAGGGCTCATGAATTTCAAATGAAAATCATGAGAAATTCAGGCATCATGATAATGACCTTGACTTAGTATTTTATGGACTGGTTTTTATTATCTTTTCTTAAAGGATATTCAATTTAACTCTTTCTCTTTATTATCATCACCATCATCATGAACGTTTATCTTCATCCTCCCTCTTTTATATATATAAAGATGATTCATTCAATTAGCTTGAAAAAAGTTCAACAGAATCAGATATGTTTCTACTTCCTGAACTTGAGTAGGAAATATATCATTTCAAATATTATGATCAATAATATCATGATTATGGATGAGTTAATCACAATTTATACAATCAAATAATATTAACCATGAAAATTGAGTTTAAATGAATAACGATAAAATCATCCTTGTTTATGTGAATCTATTGAAAACTATTCATTCAGTTAAATCAAATATTATTGGTTTTGAATCAATTAATTGCTGTTTACCAAACAAATTTAGTTCATTAATCATTTTTTTCTTGTAGTGAAATTGTTATTTTTGCTTGTGGAAAATGTTAAATTGTAACAATTAAGTTTTGGTTGATAGATTATATTAGGAAAAACACAAATGATTAACCCTTGATGGCGACTAATTGTTGATATAACAATGATAAAAATTCAGGTTTCACTTTTAATTTCTGGTTCTTTCTTCATGTGAAAAGTTATATAATAATAATCAATTACTTCCTATTTAATCAGCAGCTTTTAATATTCTTACAGCTAATTAATTAACAATAAGGTGATCAACAAACAGTGAAAAATACTTCAAGTAAATCAACAAACTATTACAATCAACACAATTGTCACTTATGAAAAAGTTAAACGACCATTAAGTTAATTCAGTAAATCAGCATAAAGCCAAATAAGATTGAGAAAAGTGAGATGACAATTAAATAATTTAAAAAAGGACAATTTGTAGTATAAGTTGAATAGAATTGGTAACAATTGATTAACAAAACATTCAATTTAAACAATCAACTGATTGTCATATATTGTCAAAATTAGATTGCTGTTGTTAATCAAAGAAAAGGTAAGTAATCAATATACAAAAGGAAATATAAACACAATCAGAAAATAGTAGACAAAAATTAAGGTTCAATTGGGTTCAATATCTTGATAGTTAATCATGATTAAATTGTAGTACAATTATACATCAGCCAGTTGATTGAAAACAACAATTAAATTGGAAAACATTGAAACAAAAGTAAACATAAAGTTTGTCAGAAAAAATCAACTAACGGTAAATGAATAACAAAAAAACTCATTGAAGGTTAACTATTGTAAAACATGTGATACAATTAGTAACAATTTGATTAAATGCTGATTGTGACTTAATTTGATCATGATTATTATCCTTGTTAGAGTGAAATGATTTAGATTTTCCGGAAATTAACAATATACATTATCCATACTTGTTATGATAGGTAAACAATTTAAAGTTACAGTTTGTTGAGTGTTGGTTACCTACTGAGCATCAATTGTTAACCGGAAATGAACAAAAAATAATAACATAAAAGAGGAGGTGGAGGGAGGGGCTGATGATAGTTGATGATGATGATGATGATGATGATGATGATGACAATAAATAAAATGAAGATGTGACAAAGAGGGAGAGACCATAATAACAATAAAGAAGATGAAACAAAAGAGGAACAAGAAAAATCTGAAAAAGTTTTTTACTATTTGCTGATTCATGTTTGGCTTTTAAATTGATCATTAAGGAGGAGAGTAAAAAACTTAACCTGATAATTAACTAAATCAACAATTAACTATTAATAATTCATTGTTCAAGTAAAATAATAGTGGCCCATTAATGAGTGAATGATTAAGTCAAGATAATCTCAGGCATGGTGATTGAATGAATCAAGGATATTGGTTAATATTCAAGTTTAAATGGTTATTAGATTACTATGATTAATTGTGATTGAAACAATGATAAGATTAATCACTCAGAATAATCAGATTGAAATGATTAATAATTTTAACCATGAAGGGTTACATTTCAAACTTTCAAATATTTTTCATCAAACACTAAACTTGAATTATTAATACAATGATAATCATTGAAAAATCTGATAACAATTAATTTTTTCCACAATTTGAAATCAACTGTGATGATTTTACACAGAAAATCATCAAATCAATGGTCTAATTGTTACAATGTACATTCATCATTCCATGAGAAATAATCACGATGGTTGATTATAACTGAGATCTAATTGGAAAATTAGATGCTGTTAATTGATGTTGTTAATCAATCAAGAAGATGATAAATCCTTTCTTTTCAGAATTAAGTATCTACAATCCTGAACAATTACTCTACCTAATTGTAGTTGTTGGCGATGAAAATCAATTCTAAATTAACAAGAAACTTTTGTTTCTAGAAAAATCCAATCTGAAAGTGGATCATAATTAAGGAATATGATTCATTTTGATTTGATTGTTCAACACCTTCGCAAATAGGGTGATGGGTAAATTCAGCAAATATCTTTCCGGATCCTGATTAAGATAAACCTGAAGAGAGGCCAATAATTGTCCCTTGATGATTAAGCACTAATTAACAAATCATTCACCTTTAAAACCATAAAGTCAATTCACTAATTAACCCTTCCACCCACCCAAGCAATTAAGCCATGTTAACGGATAAGTAAGCGGTTGATTAATCAAAAATTATTGCAAAGGTGGTGTATTCATAATGAGAGATAATAATTATAACATTATCATGAGAAGGAAAAAATTTCAAGATGAAATTAAGATGATTACAGTTGATAATCATGATTACTGATGATTGTGATGATTGTGATGATGAGAAAAGATTCTCGCTCCAGATTAAAGATGAAAACTAACTTTTTCTTTTGCGCTTCTGCAATCGAAATGAAAGTAAACATGATCATGATTATAATTAAGTTAAGGAGAATGAGAAAATTTTTAAATGTAAACTTGGTCATATCCATGCTTGGTTGATTAACTATTATTCTTCATTCATTTTGTATGAATATACAACTTTTGATCAAAAACTTGGATTTGTGAGTGGTTGTAAATGAGTTATTGAATTGATTAAATTGATTGATTGCTCGCTGATGTTTGTTTTGATTTGTATCAATAGAGAGAGAGAGAGAGAGATAACTTACTATTTCATTTGGTAACATGCCGACATCATCAAAAGGGGTGGTAATTTTGTTTTCATCCGCATCGAGAATGACAATCTCACCAAATTCCGAGTGTTTAAAAGTCTAAAATATTGAATAGAGAGACAAGATAGATTCATGATCATGGTGAATGAACATAATTGATCATCACAATTCATTTGTGTTGTGATTGGTTTCAATCAATTGAGTTAATTGGGTTATAATTACAACTAAAATTGATGAGGGTACTCCAATTAAGAATGGCATTGGTGCACTCAGGTAATCCAATAAATGAGAAGGTAAAACAGGAATGAATATGTGTTGCCAGTACATTGGATAGATTAAATCGTTGGCCGCTTGGACACAGGCGGATAAGCGACTTAATTTCTTTGAGGTAATGATAATCCGTCTCTCGTTTAACATACTGGCAAATATAGTTATCATATTGTTACTGTCGACGGCATTAAAATATTCGGATAAATTTCGCTACAAAAATGGAAGAAAGAAAGAAAAAGAATCATATTAATGTGGAAATTTAAGTGAAAATTTGCATGACGCTAATCAGTGTGGGTGACTAGTTGATCAAATTTAAGGTCCCATTCTTACATCTTCCGGAATGCTGGGGATTTTATGATGATCAGGACATTGAGCAGTGAATTCGTGTTTTCTATTGTTAACGGAATAAATTACTTGAAGGTATAATCCTGGTTGAGGAACTGGAGTTAAATAGAGAGCTTCCAAAAAACGATTCAGGTGAGATGTCTAAGAGAATAGAGAAGAAGAAAAAAAAAGATGAGGATAGAGTTACAAATTTGATGGTAATTGGTTATGTGTGATTGGTGAATTTGTGAAAATCAGTGGGCATCGTGACCAAAACTCACATCATCTTTGGCAATCAGTGATGCAATGTAATTAAGTAACTTGTAAAATGTATCATGCCAAGGTAGAGATGAGAGTAGTAGGAGGCAGGTATCACCCGGTTGTGGAGGATGTCGGATGAATCCAAAGCTCCATTTACTGTCAATTGAGGTGAGCACAAAGGAGAAATGTAAAACATTTGGAGAGTCAATTCTACAAGGATAACAAAATTGAGGCACTGATTTGGTGATCTCTTCATCTTTAAAATTATGAGGATATTGTTGGAGTATGTAGGGTTTACTATCAGCCGAGTTACCGGGTCTACTTATTTCCATGAAAACATCGAAAACATGATTAGGTGAACTCCTTTTAGATTTTCCAAATTATAATCAGATTGGTATTGTGTTTCCAATGTCAGATGATTTTGTTGAAAGTGAAAAGAGTCGTTGAAAGAGAGACAGAGACACAGAGAGAGAAAATGAATAGATAAAGAGAAAAAGAGAAAAAGAGAAAAATAAACAAAATATAAAAAAGATATAAAAATGGCTGAAAAGAAGAACAAAAAAAATACCAACCTTACTCTACAAGCCATATTGGGAATTCACTGTTTTTAATCCAAATCAACAAGTTGGATTATGAGAGAGTTTAAGCCAAAATAATATAATCACACTGAGAGATTGTTGTTGTTGGTGATGATGGTGGTGGTTTAGAGAAGGAAGAAGAGAAGAGAACAATTGTTAAGGTTGTTTAATCAGAGGGTAGAATAGAAAAGAACAGAATAACCAGAAAATAGAAACAAAAAAGACACACAGAGAAAGAGAAAAAGAAATTGATTGATGAAAGAGAATAGAATTTAAAAAATAGAACAACCAAAAGGGTTAAGCCTTTTCTCTAAGATTACATAGGCTCTTTGAAGATGGAAAAGTTGAGATTGTAGGGATTACATTCTTAATTATTTGAGAATCTCCCGTTTTAATGGTGAACAGTTGATCAAGGGTGTAAATAGAAGGAGAGGAAAATAAAAACTGACGTTGAAAAGAGAGAAAGAGAGAGAAAAAAAATGAGGCAAATGAATGAAAAACAAGCTCACAGTTAGAAAAGCTGATTCTCAATGGATCCAGTAAATGGAAAATTGGATCCGGATTTTGATGAAAGAAAGAGATAATTTGATGAATGTAAACAAATTCCAAATGTAGTTGACAATCAGTGGAATCACAATTAAAGAGAAGCTAAATTTTCAAAAGAACAATTAAATGAAAGAAACACAGAACACACCGAATCAAAGACAGAATCAAATTCAGGTGGAAAAGTTAACTTTAAGGAAGAAAACAAAACAATTCCTTTCTCGGTGAGTTGATCCAAGTTATCGTAAGTCTCAAGATCAGCTCAACATTTTCACCTGAAGCTGAACTTTTTGTTTCGGCTAAAGATTGTGGCGAATGATGAAAATTAACCTAATTGTTCAATTGTAATTGAACTAAAATCAACGGACACAATTAATATACTCGATACATTGGCTTCTACTGGAGTTGAGGTGATGATCCAAATGGTTTAATCAATTTTCTTATCACAAATATTGATGTTTATCTAATGTTAAGCTTATTAATAAACATCACCATCAGTTGATTGTGCTGGAATGAGAAACAATAATAACATAGATTAATAATAGATTAGTATTGGAGAAGAAGAGAAAATAAAAAAGAGAATAGAAAAAACAACAACAATAGAATTTTCATTTTCTCTTTTTCTATCTCGTTGGAAACTCTAGGTCATATGGACATCCGGTGAATAGTTTCACTGTTTACAATCAACCTTTTTTGTTTGATTGTTAATTGTTGAGAGAAAAACAGCAAAAATTAAAGAGGAAATGATAGGAAAATTAAATTGTTCCGTTGGTGACAATAACTGAAAAATCATTGATGGGTAACATGTAACGGTAAGATAATCTTTGTCTCTTTCACTGTTATGTTAACTTTCAACTTTATCACTAAAATTAAGAGAAATTAATAGTTACCTTTCAACATTAACAATCTAATTGATTAGAAATTGATGAGAAATTTTCACAATTAAATTGAAAGAAAAATATTGTTGCTTTGAAAATCGATCCAAAAAATTGTCTCCGTTTTAGATCATTAGCTTATTGATAGAATTTTTTTCGATTCCTACATAAAGACAACAACTTAATGTGCAAAAATGAATAAAATAAAATAAAGAAAAGTAGTAAATAATTGAGAACAATTAATAATAATTAATGAGAAGACAAATTGATTCCATGTTGTGATGTTAAGTTGAAAGAGAAAATTTTGTTTACCTTTTCAAAAAAACCGCTTTTCGAATGAATTAGTTTAATATTAACTCACCAGATGGAGAAACGTTTCACTTAAATACAAAAACTTAATGAATAAAATAAATAAATAAGTCACCTGTGAATAATGTGACGACCATTTTTGTTTTCTTGTCCAACTTGTAAATGGAAAAAGTTAATTGTTAATTCTCACTGGAAATAATTGACTTTTTTTTTGGTTTCCAGAATCGTATCTCTCTAATTACTAATTTAATTTGTCAATTGGAACAATTAACTCACCTGTTAATTAATATTTCTCAAGTGTGTGATTTAGTTACCAGAAACATAAACACAATTCTTTGGTAAACTGGTCAATCAGGAATCCAACAAGTAGGTTGCCACTCTTACTGTGATCCTCGTTTTTGGTGAGAGAGGAGAGAGAGAGAGAGAGAAAGAGAGAAGAAAAAGAAGAGAAGAAAAATTTGTTCTTTAGATGTTTGGTAAACTTGGTTGAATTAACTAGGAATCGAACTGTGATTACCACTGATTAATCTACTAAATCAACTTCTCTCTTACAATTGTCATATTTGTATCGTTTTCATGTGAACCCGAACAGAAAAAGGTATTCCAGTTAATATACCGGCTAATTTGTTTTCTATTCTTTTTCACCGGTAAAATTTTCTTTTCTTTTATCTATTTATCTCTAGACAAATATTGTTCTCCTTCTTTTGGCCATATGTTTTCCAACTTACCTGTTAACTTGTTGTTTTTTCCATCTCCTTCTTCATCATCATCATCATCATTACCATCACCTTCCATCACTCATGTTTCAACATAGAATATCAATCATCATCTGATGTTCTGTTAATCTTTTTCTTTTCTTCTTCTTCTTTAACATTGTAACAATTTCCACCAAGTTTATCGAAAGAAAATCTCTCCCTCTCTGATTATTTGGTGTTAATTATTTTTCATTGGTAAACACAAACATTGGAACTTACCTGAGATCTGGTGTTTCTATTTAGTGTCTGGACTTACCTTTCTCATCATTTCAGTGTCTCCTCTTAAACTTTTTTCCCTGTGTTAATTGGTAATCTTGTGATTATCATTTGTGTTATGTGTAATCAACTACAATGTTTATCTCATCGTCATATCACATTAAGATTGAATCACCATCAAATCAATGATGATGATTTTTGATAAAAACTTTGATGGTAATAAAAAGTCAGCATTCTCATCAGACCTTGATCGAGGATTATCTTACCAGTATCAAGTGAATTAACTCTTTCACCTTCCCTATTAATATCCTTATATTTTCCTTCTCCTTGGATAAAAACAAATTCTCTCTCTCTTTTTTTTGTTCTAAGCAGTTTTCTTATATTGTGATTCTATTATCATCATTATTTATTATTATTACTTCAACTTTAAACTCATCTCTCAAATATCATCTCAACCCTCACTTGGCCTTTCGTTACTCTTTGTTTACATCGATTCAGTCAATTATCTTTACTCTTTTCCACTGTTATTACTATTGTATATTCTGATTTGCTTTAAATCACTCAAAATTCAACATGGCGACTGCACCAGGACTTTCAAAAGTTTTCATCATTGATAAATATTTCACTGAGCTTCAAAAATATTGGGAAACCGAGAAAAAAATGAAAGGACGTAAAGTTAAAGGTAAATTGATTTGAAAATGAATTTGTTTTTCTTTACTAATTATCTAACTATGATTTATTTTTCTTTCTCACCACAGAAATTGGAAGATTCAACAATCCATCTAATGGAGATGAAAAACCAACCGAATCAAGTTCAAGTGATGTTTATGATCTTATCCATCTTCAAGGTCCACTTACAGAGGATTCAATTGTTCGAGCTTTAGATGCAAGATTTTTAATCAATGAATATTTAGTAAGTTAATTAAGTTAATCAGTAAACTTTCAATTCAATCATTTCATTGATTTTCGTTCACAATATTAAGTTAATATCCTGTTAAGGTGAATGAAAATGAACGATAACAAACGATTGAACATCATTGAATGATTTGATTTTCTCTCTCTCTCTCTTTCATATTGTTGATTCTATCATTTTTTTCTCTCTCTTCTCCATCATCTTTTTCTCCTCCTTGTACTTACAAGCAGAGAGAAAAAAATGATTGACATTTAAATACAAATAGATGGCTATTGATGGCTAATGTTTATTGAGAATTCCCGGTTTTCACCCTGAGAGATTCACGATATTCAATAAGATGATATATTACTACAATCAACATATTATTAAATTATTATCATTATTAACTTAGCATATTATTAACGATTTGATGTTTTGATTATCAATACTAATTGTCTAATTTTCTTATCCGATTGATAATATTTAACGAAAGCCAATCTCTTTAAAAATCTCTCTGTAATTAACGACAATTGTCCAATATAACACATAATGTATTACATCCTCACCAATGATATCTTTGACTAATTGTACTCTATTTTAATTACCTTTCAACAGACCAATATTGGATTACTGGTATTAGCTATGAATGGATATGAACGTAAAGGTTATTATTATCAACTTTAAACTCATCTCTCAAATATCATCTCAACCTCACTTGGCCTTTCGTTACTCTTTGTTTACATCGATTCAGTCAATTATCTTTACTCTTTTCCACTGTTATTACTATTGTATATTCTGATTTGCTTTAAATCACTCAAAATTCAACATGGCGACTGCACCAGGACTTTCAAAAGTTTTCATCATTGATAAATATTTCACTGAGCTTCAAAAATATTGGGAAACCGAGAAAAAAATGAAAGGACGTAAAGTTAAAGGTAAATTGATTTGAAAATGAATTTGTTTTTCTTTACTAATTATCTAACTATGATTTATTTTTCTTTCTCACCACAGAAATTGGAAGATTCAACAATCCATCTAATGGAGATGAAAAACCAACCGAATCAAGTTCAAGTGATGTTTATGATCTTATCCATCTTCAAGGTCCACTTACAGAGGATTCAATTGTTCGAGCTTTAGATGCAAGATTTTTAATCAATGAATATTTAGTAAGTTAATTAAGTTAATCAGTAAACTTTCAATTCAATCATTTCATTGATTTTCGTTCACAATATTAAGTTAATATCCTGTTAAGGTGAATGAAAATGAACGATAACAAACGATTGAACATCATTGAATGATTTGATTTTCTCTCTCTTTCTTTATTGTTGATTCTATCATTTTTTCTCTTCTCTCCATCATCTTTTTCTCCTCCTTGTACTTACAAGCAGAGAGAAAAAAATGATTGACATTTAAATACAAATAGATGGCTATTGATGGCTAATGTTTATTGAGAATTCCCTGTTTTCACCCTGAGAGATTCACGATATTCAATAAGATGATATATTACTACAATCAATATATTATTAAATTATTATCATTATTAACTTAGCATATTATTAACGATTTGATGTTTTGATTATCAATACTAATTGTCTAATTTTCTTATCCGATTGATAATATTTAACGAAAGCCAATCTCTTTAAAAATCTCTCTGTAATTAACGACAATTGTCCAATATAACACATAATGTATTACATCCTCACCAATGATATCTTTGACTAATTGTACTCTATTTTAATTACCTTTCAACAGACCAATATTGGATTACTGGTATTAGCTATGAATGGATATGAACGTAAAGGTAATCCAGTTACTTTAGCAAGTGTTCATCACGATGCAGGTAAACATCCACAATTATTACGAATCGCTCAAGATGCAGTTAGACAACAAAGTGAGACAGGTTACCCTCAGGCCATTATACTCAGGTAACGTTTGAATATTTAAATTAACATTTGCAAAACATCAAAAAATCTCATTAAAATTAATCTCGTCTTTCTCTGTCCAGTCAATGACTTTTTACACTTTGTCGCTTACTAATTTAATCAAGTCTACACACTAACTAGACACTTACGTTAATTAACAATTTAAACTAATCCTTTGTTTTTATTATTATTGTTTTTTTTTCTGTGTTTACATATCAACAATATAATTACAGTGGTGAAAGTGGGAGTGGTAAAACATATTGCTGCATGCTTTTATTACGTCATCTGTTTGATGCTGCGGGAGGAGGACCGGAAACGGACTCATTTAAACATTTATCAGCGGCTTTTACTGTCCTTAAATCTCTAGGATCAGCTAAGACTTCAACAAATTCAGAATCTAGTCGAGTTGTAAGTAGAACCATTAATTAATCATTTCTCTCATTAATATATCATTATCATCATCAACATCATCATCACGTCAACATTTGTTTTGATTAATATCAAACAAACACTTTTCATCAAAAAAAGAATAGTGAAAATAAGAAAAAGACAAATTATCAACACAGTTCATCAATACACAAACCTCACCTTCTTGAAATGAATCTTTTAGATTTTCATTATGTACGTGCAAAAGTATCACATTTTTCATCCACATGTACGTGCACACCGAAACCCTTTTGATTGTATAGCATTTATCATCACCGTTTATTCAGTAATTTATTTTTATCATATTGTGTGTGTGGTCTTTTATATTAAGAGACATCTCTCTCACTCTATCTCTCTCTCTCATCCTCATACTCTCTCCCGGCGTATGTATTTTAGTGTATCTTTTTACTTAACCAAGTGATTTATGTGACATTATTGATGTCCCGGTGAGATTTTACCTTGTCCCATCAACCAGGTAAAAAAGGTATAAAAATGTTAATAATTATAAAGATGTTGATGAATATAAAAAAAAACCTGAAAATAAGTTCAGTTATCAATCCCTTACAACCAAAGCTATGATTCAATTTGGTGTTTTGATAACATTGGAAAACGTTTGAACAGACCAGGTAACAAAACCAACAACAGGTAAACTTGCTTTAGGGAAACTTGTTCAAATTATTTTGACAATGTTTTCTTCATTCACTTCGCCATCTTCATCTTCATCTTCATCTTCTTCATCTCATCTTCACCTTCCGAAGGTAAAAAACTTTTAGCGTTAAACGATTACCATCTCTTTTTATCTTCCATCTCTCTTTGCTTATTTATCAAGACGATTGATTGAGAATCTTTTCTTACCTCTCTCTCCATCTTCTTCATCATCTCTCCTCAATTAGACTCAGTATGGGGTATCCCATAGTAATTAATGTTCTTAATTCTCTCAGCCTCTTAATTCTTTTCTTTCACCATCATAATCATCTTTATTTTTCTTTTTACCTTTTTCTTTTCCTCATCAATTTTCTGATCTATGTTATCAATTGAAACCTTGCAAACTAACACGTTATTTAAATCAAATAGTACATAAGATAGATAATCTTGTTTATATTTCGTTCTGTGAGTGTTTATGTTTGTTTATTATGTTGATTGTAATTCTGTTTATTGGTTTGCATTAGTTTGCCTCTATTTTTATTACACTTGTTATTATTTTTCTATTGATAACTTGTTCTTATTTTTTTTCTTCCATTCCAATTGTTTTCACATAGAATCTCATGTTACAGAGCATTTCTCTCATCTCTCTCTTTCTCTCTCACGGGAATCTTTTAGGTCTATTTTAATTGTTGACACTTATCTTCTCGGTGATAATCTGATGATAATCTGAAAATGCAATTGCAATTCATCATTAATTTTCAGTTTCTGTTGGGATGATGAAAATTTTATCATCTTAATAAACAATATTATTATTACATGTTGATAATCAGCTGTGTTTATACTTGATTAAATCAATCAAAATTATGAGAACAATCAATAATACTTAATAGCTTATATTAGTGATAATAGTTACCATCCAGAAAATTGTTCATGTTACTATTGGATTGATTGTCGAAAATTTTGTTTCTCATCCTTCAACCGGTTATCCTGTAAAAGAAACCAATCAATGACTATCCAATACTAATGCAGTCTCGCTTTTCTTGTTTTTGTTGCAGGTTAAGTCACAAGAGAAAGCTTCTTCTTCTTCATCATTATCATCCTCATCTCCATCTTTTCAAATTCTCTTTTTATATCTTGTAAACATGAGTCTCTCTCTCTCTTCTTTCTACGAAGGTAAAAGCTACCAAAGTCCAGCGTGAATACACATGAAAAAGAAGAAGAAAAGAAAGTCTTACCCCTAAGGCATCATAAAATTTTCTCTTTCCCCATCTTTCTTTCTTCTTCTGTCATCATCATCTTTTCTCTCTCTCTCCCTCTCTCTCTCTCTCTCTTGCCTACCTTGACTCGCCTGATCCCCAATTTCTCTGTCAATTTTTTCAGGGCTCCTTTTCTTCACTTTCCTTTATCTTCATCTTCCTCTGTTTTCAGTTCTCTCTCTCTCATAACAAGTACCTTTACATATCATCTCAATCCCAGAAAATAAAACCATACAGATTCTTGATGCCGGTTTGTTGTTTGTATGTTACAAGGTACAGTTTGTGTGTTTTTCTGTGTTTTTTGTTGTTATTTGTGTAAAACCACCTTAGTCCTGGTGGATGTGTTATTTGTTGTTGTTGATGTTTTACCTTTACCTTTACATTTGATGCTGTAAAACCAGTAATTTTGATAGAAAATGAGAAAAAAAAGCAACAACGAATTCTAAGCTTTTCCATTCTCTTACTCACTTTCTCTTCTAATAGATTATATTCATTTTACTTATTTACTTGACTATTTTTCTTTTCTTCTGCTTACTTTCTCTCTCATTTTCTGGTGTATACCTTTATCATTTTTATCTTCATCATCACCAATATCATCCTCCTTCTCAGCTTTCTCTCACTTTCCTTTCTTATCCGAAGGTCTTTAGTTTTTTTACCTCTTGTTATTGCCTTTAATATTATCGTTGCTTCTGTTATTCTTTCTCACTCACTCTCTTCCTCTGGTACAAGGAGTTTGTAAAAATTGCGTTTCCAACTCAAATGGTCATCACAACTTAACAGTCCAGTAGCACCGCCACAGCCATTGGAAGAGAGAGAGAGAGAGAGAGAGAGAGAGAGAGAGAGACCCTTTAAGCCTCAGGTCTCAGCAGCAGGTATCCTCTCCCTCTCTCTCCTCACCCCTGATACTGATCATCCATCATCTCTCGCCAGTTATTGAAATTACTAACCTTCATCAAGCCTATCATCTAAACTCCTCATCATCATCCTCTCTCTTTCTCACATTAATCCTGACTTCTTTGACTCTCTAACTAAACATATCCTGCTAGGTCATCTTCATCTTCATCATTCACAACAAACGTTTAACTAATCACATTTAGACGGTAATTTTATCAATAATTTGATATTAATTCAATATATATTTATATGATTTTCTATCTGATTTTAATCTCTACAATTTCATGTTTTTTTTCCTGATAGTTTGTCTCATCCTAATGATAAATTTATATATATAAAAGTTTCATGGATAACTGAGTATGAAATTGAAACAATTTTGATATCTTACCTGCTCATCCTTTTTACACTACCTGTCATCATCATCAAATAACAACATGATTCAATTAAATTAATTGAATATATTATCTTTGTACTTGTTGGAAGATCTTAAACTGTTTCTATCAAAATCATGATGATCATCAATTGATTATCAAATGAACTGAAGGATAAACAACACATATGAAACTTCATCTTTTGCCGCTTTTCGGGAAATTAACAACACAAAATGTTACTCAAAACGTCAAGAAGATGATGCTAATGATGATGATAAAAAAGATGAAAAGGATGAATAAGTTAATCGCCTCTGGGCTTAAATCATCTTCTTTTTATCTTCGTCATAATTGAAACTTGTGTTTCTTTAGATGCCATTGATTTTTAATCCCTCACAGTGGTCGCTGAACTTGATTAATCTTTAATGATAATAATAACCAATCAACTCAATCAATCGTTAATATAATAACAATCTTTTGTTTCTAATAGATTACAATCAATCAATGGTTTCGCGATAATCATTAATTATTGATGATTTGCTTTTTGATTATCATTTGATTGTAGTGTTGATGATAATTTATATATGAAGCTATCAACTAATCATTACATTCATCAGCACCTTCAATTTAGGAGGCAGTAGATGAATTTAATTTAATTTAAACGATTTTGATTAAACTATGGGCCGAACTAAATTAGTGTTGATATCATGTTAACAGGGTTTATCTTCCCGTTCTTAGTCTCTCTCTCTCTCTCTCTCGCTCTTTCTATCATCCTTATCATCCTGAGTCGTTCTTATATTGTGCTACCTTGATACATTGAACTTACCAAGTAAATCAGACCATAGCCTGAGGAAATTTAATTTTGTTTTTAACATCATCACATCAGAAATAACAACATCATCAGAAGCTCATCAATTGACTAAATATCATCATATATGTAAAAAGAAAATATAAATTAAGATGAGATTATCAGTTAATCTTAAATTTACCTTGAATTTTTTTCTTCTCCTCTTGGTTAGACTTAATTTGATTAACTATCGATGATAATTAAACTTTTCTCATCATCTTAATCATCCGTCAAGTATAATAATAAATAACATCATTTCAATCAACGGATTAATTAGACAGGTTGTTTTCCACAAACCAATTTAAGTCTATTTCTTAATCAGTGAAACAATTTAAATCAATAATAATTGATTGTTAATCCTTATTAGATGATCTTGATCAAAGTTGATCTCATCATCATCTTGATCCTTAAATACCTTTTTTTTTATAATACACATAAAGTATATCAAAAATAATCAAATAATTAATCGACCTGATTAATTATTATTTTCTTATCATGATTATCAAAGGTAATTGATTATAATCAATGATTATCGTCATGAGAAAGAAAGAGAAAAATATTTCAACGTTTCTCTCTCATCACATTAAGTGATGATAATTATTATCTAATGAGCCGCATCACTTTTTTATCCTCTTTCTATTTCCTCTCTCAATTTCATCATATGTATATTGAGCATTCCATTCATTTTATCATGTACCCTGAATGCTTATTGACTTTACCTGAATTCGATACCAAATATAATCATCTCATGATGTAAACATCTCCATCCTCATCTTTTACCCTACATCAATTGAACGTCCTATTCCCAGGTCAAGGTTATAACCTGATAGACTTTCAATCTAATATGTTGCTGATCTTTGACCGATAAAGTTTTAGATTACAAGTAATTTTTTCCCTCTTCAAATTACCAACAACATTAATTGGAATAACAATTGTTAATTACAATTATAATTGATTGTTTTTATTTTCTCCTCTCACTCTTGATTGTTGGCAATTTACTTTGCGTTTAATTGCTGAAAAATTGAGTGATCATCATTGAAAAACTTTGTTTTGTTGATCATGTTAATTGTTTCAACTACGAAAAGCTAATTAACTAAACACTTTTCTCTTCTCATAATTAACTATTTACAATTAAATATAACTTGTTGATATTTTCTATGATTTGATGATGATATGATTTAATTAATGAATTAAATACTTATATATTTATCTTAATTGTTGATTTCCAGGGTCAATTTATCGAAGTGCAAATTACCGATGGAGCCTTGTATCGAACCAAAATCCATTGTTATTACCTCGATCAGGTAAATTACTTTCTTCTAAATCTCATATTTACATTAAATCATGTTAACTAATCTAAGATTAATTAAATTCTTATCTTGATTAAACTTTCTCTTCTTCGTAGACTCGAGTTCTTAAACAATATCCTAATGAGAAAAATTATCATATCTTTTATCAAATGCTCGCTGGTTTAACTAAAGATGAACGAGGTAAGTGATTAAAATTATTCCTTCAATTGTTTACTTATAATTAACTTTGATAATTAATGATTACTTTTTCCTTTTCTTAATTGTTGTTCCTCAGCAAAACTTAATCTCGAAGGTTATAATGTAAATAATTTACGATATTTAAATCGAGGTGATACAAGTCAAAATGAAACCGAAGATGCTGCTCGATTTGAAGCTTGGAAGGTAATATAATTTAGTTAATCGATTTTAATTGTCATTAATTAACCAAATTGTCTATTACTTAGGCTTCGCTCTCTGTGCTGGGTATACCGTTTATGGACGTAGTTCGAGTTTTATCAGCCATCTTATTGTTGGGTAATATTAAATTCAATGATGGTCAACGGCACAATCCCGTCCTATTAGATAGTTCAAATATCGGCTTTCTAGATTCAAAGGCCAGTTCTAATGAAATAAAAGCCGTTGCCTCACTTTTGGGCATTTCATCTGTATCCTTATATCGAGGTCTAACTACTCGTACCCAAAGTGTGAGAGGACAATTAGTTAAATCAGTTTGTGATAGTCAAACAGTAAGTACAATTGTAATAAGTTTTCTCTAATATGATTGATTGATGATTTAAATGATGTAAATTAATTTTCATTGATTATTTTTCTCTCTTGTTTACAGGCTTCAAATACTCGAGATGGACTTGCAAAGGCGCTTTATTGTCGCACTGTGGCCACAATTGTGAGACGTGCCAATAGTTTAAAGAGAATTGGATCAACTTGTGGTACCATGAGTTCAGATTCCAATGAATCTATTCACAATCAGATCGAAACGGGTTCTCATCATGCATCGACAGTTGGTTCGTCTGGGGCTAAGTCACATAAATCATTAAATGTCCTAAACTCTGCTGTTCGCCATGCAACCGATGGATTCATTGGAATCTTAGACATGTTTGGCTTTGAAGATTCTCACGTTAGTTTAAACTACAATTAAAATTCACAGTTCGAGCAATTAATTGTTTTCCCTCTATTTCTCTCTATTCTATTAACAGCCCAGTCATTTGGAGCATCTATGTATCAATCTATGTGCCGAGACGATGCAACATTATTACAATACAATTATATTCAAAACGAGTATGGAATCATGTCACAATTGACTATAATTGGTTTTGTCTTAATTTTCATCTTTGCTTCTACATTTCATCATCATTTTCATCTTTTTTTTCTCTTTTTCTTCTTTTGCTTATAGAGAACCGGACTTTTGGAGATGCTGGATGTTGAAACTTTCCTCAAAGGAACACCCGAATCTTATGTTGCCAATATTAAAGCTCAACATCACGGGTGTCCAAGGTATTTTGATGTTGACCGAGACTATGAGAGCCAAGGAAATAATAACAATAATAAACATAAATCAAAAAGTCATCGTAATCATCATCGTCATCATCATCACCACGAAAATAGAATTGATAAAATTGGAAAGAAAAATTATTCAGATAATTTATCGAAAAACAATAACTATAATAATAATTGCACTCATAACAATAACAACAACGATAATAACAATAATAATGAATTATTAAGTCGCTACTTTGGTGTTCGACATTTCACTGGAAATGTGATCTATGATACAAGTGACTTTATCGAGGCTAATCGAGATACGGTTCCTGATGATATTGTTGCCGTTTTCCATAAATCATCATGTACATTTGGCTTTGCTTCGCATCTTTTTGGTATCGAATTGAAGACTTTATTTTCTCGGGATCTTGCTCCTTGTGGCCTTCGATTCAGAATCTCACCAACAAATCACAACAACTTACAACATGGAAACGATATCACAACGACCTTGACCCAAGATTTTCACACTCGCCTTGATAACTTACTTCGTACTATTGTTCATGCTAAACCGCATTTCATTAGATGTATTAAGGTGAATCAAAGTTTCCAAAGCAAAACAAGCTATCTAATTGCCAACTTGATTACTAATTACTAATTTATTTTTGCGATCCAAACAGAGTAACAATGAGGAACAGAAAAGTCACTTCGATCGTGCGGTTGTTATGAGACAATTGCGATCTCCAAGTCCTAGAAACACTCAATCTAATGGCCTGTGGTTTACCCCATCGAATGAGATTCAGAGCGTTCACAATGAGATATCGTTGTATTGGACCTTTGCGAAGATTGAAAAAAGTAGACGATAAAAGTAGTGCTGATGATTGTAAGGTTAGTTGATAAGGTCGACCATTTTTTTGTGACAATTTTAATGTTAATTTGTTGTTTTCTTTTTGTCTCAGATTCTCTTAGATAGTTTCACTTCCGCATTGGAACAATTCGGCTCATTAACACCAGCATCTAATTCGTGGGCCATCGGGAAACGTCACATCTTTTTAAGTGAAGGAGCTCGACAACAATTGGAATTGCTTAGAAACGCTAAACGTGCTTATGCCGCTGTCATAATACAAGCAGCCTGGAGAGGTTGGAATCAGCGGAAACGATGGCCAATACTCACAAATAATACCAACAATTTAATGGTCAACAATATGACCAATGGAGGGATTAGTAAACGATTCCTTGGTAAATCGGGTTCTACTCATTCAACATCAATGAACCATCATCATGGCCTGTCAACCGTTGGTGTTCAACCTTCCGGTTTACTATCAACTAGTCTAAGTGGTCTGAATAGACCTCGACCACAACCGATAACGGGTACACCACCACCCGAACCTTGTGATGCCAAAATAATTGCCCATACATGTTCACTTTTTGGTCTCGATTTGGTAAAAAATTTTCCTTCTTTATTCAAAATCAATTAGTTAATTAATTTTTTCCATTTCTCATTAACTAACAGCAACGACCTCCACCTGTACCACCGAGTCGCTCATATACTGTCACTGGTAACGCTAAACTTGGTTATCCACAAACACGAACTATGAAATTAGACTATCCAGGTAAATTAAAATCACCATGATTCGAATTGTTTCCATGAGAAATTTACTAATTAACTTTCGGTTAATTTAATATTACAGAAGTTCCAACTGGATCTGAACCACAGTTATCAAAAGGTGAAATTGTTATGGTCATCGGAGCTTCATCTAAACGGGGTCACCTAATTGTTGAACATACTGGACACACTTTCCATGTGCCTTACCAATACATGGAGCTTAAATCATACCCAACAATAGCCACAGTTACCTCACCTCCGGCCAGTCTTTAAGAAACAATTTAAAATAAAACTAGGAAACAATTAACTCAATTGCACTTCTCACAATGTACAGAATCTCGTTAACAAAAAAGTTGCCATTGAAAAACATTCAACAAACGGAGAGAAAAACAAAACTGACCAATTGGACATTCAAAATGTCATCGAATTGAAAAATTCAAATGACCCTTACAAGAGGCCATATACTGACCATTACGAGTTTTTTTTTTGAAAGAAAGCTAAATATGAATCTATTTATATCTTTGCATATAAATATTTTCTAATTATATCAATAACAAAGTATTTAAATGAACTATTAACAATTTAATTAAATTATTACAGTTTATGGTTTGATCCTCAAACTATAAATAGATCAAGTAATTAAATGTACTACGATGAAATATAATTAAATAGACAACACAATGATTAATGAAATTTGATCATAAACAAACAAATCATTGATCAAATTGATTGTTACCAAGTTACTACGTTTAATCAGAAACAATTTATATATCAACTATTGTAACAATTAACATCAACCTAAATTTTTACATACTAACAACAAAAAGTTACGCTGTTGATTATTTAAGTTAATATGTTCAATTGTCAATCAATTGAGGGTGAGAGATGATATTCTTGATGATGATGCAAAAGAGAGGAGGTAAGATGATGAGGGAGCTGATGACGAAAATGACGAAATTAAAATTTAGGTTAATTGTGAGTAAATTGTGAATTAAGATTAACCTTTAAAGTGAAAAGTATTTGACTTTTTATACTAATTAATACATAGACTTTAGTTGATTGTGATTGATTTTAACTTCGGGAGGTTTTAATTGTTAATATTTTTTGTTTTCATTGGTTTTCCAATGAATCAAGTTAATTAATTGGTAACTTGTTTTTAATTAGTTGATTGTCGTTGATTGTGATACGAAACCTGTTTGTGGGAGTTGTTCAGTGTTGGTGAATTTGTTTCCTTTTAAAAATCTTTTTCTTAATTTGCTACTTTTTCCTTTAATTTAGTTTATTTTCCAACACAATTTAACTTCACTTTGTGTTAACTTTTGTCTAAATCAACGTTAATTGTCAACAATCAACTTACATTCTGTTAATTGTCATCTACTTTTACCTGTGATTGTTTTTTAAAAGATTAGAAATCAATTCCAATGGATTATTTATCTTTAATTGTTTCGAGTTAAATTGTAAGTACAATTCATTTTAATTGGTCTAAATTTAGAAACTAATTGTTAGATTCAACAATCAGTCTATTGAAATTCATTTCCAATGACAATTTAGTCTTTAGCTGATCAAAACTAATTTAGTTTCAATTTTCTGTCAAGTTTTCAATTGATTGTCTTGGTAAATAAACTGATTCAATTTGTTAATTGTTGTTATGTTTTTTAATCTGATTGTTTTTGTTTCCATGATTAGATTGTTGATCTTTGTGTTAATTAATTGACCTTTGGTGTTTTTTGATTGTTAATTAGTGAAGGAAAAAAAGTATCCAAATGATGTAAATGAGTTTGAATGGAAATTTAAATCAATGACAATTTAGATGATTGGACTAATTATATTCAGTTGATTATGATGAGGAAAACGACTTAAATTGTAATCATTTAAAATTGGTTCATCTAATTTTTATCCTGTTGATCGGTAACAATTTCCAGCCAAGCAAATCAAGTTAACAACAATTAAGGAAAATAAAAGTTACTTGAACCAAAACAACAATTAAGAAAAACATAATTTTAAATTGTTTGGGCGCGAATACAACAACAGACAATTAACTAACTGTAACATCATTAATTTCACTAAATCAATTCAACATCCAGTCAACTAATCATTATCATTATCATTATTTTCATGATTAAATATTGATTATCACAAACAAACCTGATAAATATTTGAAGCATTTGATTAGTCCTGTTAATTGTTGTACTAATTTCTTGTTCATCATAACAATTAACATCACGTTCTCGAAACTTGATTGTTACTTTTAATAACTTTAAATTCATTTTTCTATTACAATTTTCAAACTAATTAACAATCAATATTAACATGATTGAAATTGACAATTTTGTGAACTAAATTGTTTGTAGTCAAACAATTTAGTTTTTCATTGTGAAAACAATCAACTATTAATGAAGAAACAATTGAAAACAATGTTTCCTTATATAAATTAACTCTCAACAATTTAAACACAGACAAAACAATTAATATCAATGGTAACAATTATTATTAAAACTATTAGGAGGAAAAAAAGTTCATAACAATTAAACAACGTGACAATTAACATGAAAACAATTAACAGAGAATCATTTTTATAAATATCATTTTTCCCCCAACAATTAACAGTTAATTAAGATGGTTAATGATAATGAGAAAATTTTTTCCCCGTTAATCAACAGGTTTAATCGTCATTAAGTTTAATCCAGTTAGATTTTAATTGTCCTCAAGAAAATCAAGTTAATCATGTCGATTCTCAGTAAATTGTGGGACAAAATTTTACTACCCGAATGGTCATTCAGATACAATTGTTATGAAACTGCCCACACATGGACACCTTATTGTTCAGAGGCCTCATGGCAGATCGGCGCTTCCGCTTTCCAGGAAGGCCTTAAGATGTACTCGGCCTTGAACTTTTTACAGTTCATTTTAAACCGTCGGTACACCGTTGAAGCGGCGACCAAGTCCATCGGCAACGCACTTAACTCATCAACCTTTTTGGGTGTCAACGGTTTCCTGATGTTCAGCCTGTTTTGTGGACTTCGAGGTTGTACCGGTAAATTTTATTATTCCGTTGTCGCTTTCCTCCCATCATTTTTAGCCGCTTATGCGGCCATTTTTATTGAGCGGCCTCATCGTCGGTCAGCTTTAGCACTTTATCTTATCAATATTGCCTCTGAGTGTTTATATCGAGTTGCCGTTAAACGGAAACTGTTCAAACCCATTCCTAGAGGTGAGATTATCCTTTTTACTACTTCGATGACCATCCTGATGTACCTTTATCGATCTCGTGGACTGTCCAATGACCCAATTAGTTTACTCATTAAAGGACTGATTGGACGGGAAGAGGGTAAAGGTGGACTTGCAAGAGCAGCGGCTGTTAAAAGTTCAAACAATAATAATAATACTTTCGGTTCATCTAATGGCCTAATTCATAGTCCTTGGTCAATACTGACCCGTTACTCTCATCCCTCTTGCCCTCATACAAGTTACTCATCGTGTTTTACCTACATCACTTCCGGTTTGGTCAAATCTTCGGGTCTAACTTGGTCCATTTTAACGCTTATCTCCTCCTTTAAAAATCCTTCACGACTTTTTAAAGATCCAAAAACTGTCCTCTCTCGAGCCACTTCTAACGGTAAAAATATCCGATTCGCGGCTTTCCTTGGACTATTCGTGTCCACCTTTAGACTGGTCAATTGTACCCTCCGTTCAACCTGCGGTGGATCAGCTGATTGGCATGCAGCCCTTGCTGGGTCACTCGCCGGTCTAACGATGTCTCTCTCACCCAATTCAACGATATCAACCTATGTGACCTGGAAGTGTATTGAAAACATTTACTGTTTTGGCTTTTCAAATGGCCTTCTACCCGATCCCGTTAACATTATACCAATTATTTATGCTACTTGTGTTTCCATCATTTTTTACTGTGGCGTTTTAGCACCCGACACAGTTAGGCCTTCGTACGTTAAGTTCATGGACTCGGTGACCCGACAAAAGATTCATCTTTTCAATCGTAATGTTTTATCCGTTTTCCGAACTGGTGCTGAAAAAGGTTACGAAGATTTCGTCCCAAACTTGGACCCTCGATTTTGTACCAAAGCGTTTATCGAAACAAATTACCTTTGGATGCTTCCAGCAAACTAATTAACTAATTGATTACAATAAAAAACTTTCAATCTCTGTGATTAAGACAATCTCATCCTCTAAAAACTTGACCATCATCATCACTGTTTTAATTGTTACCAGTGTCAACTAATTGTAACATGAAAATCAATCTGATCAAATAATCAAATCAAAGACACTTTAAAATAAAATTAAGAAAAAAATCTTAATTATCTTAATCTTATTACTATCCTTGATTTATTTAATATCCTCAATCACAATTTAAGTTAATTTGGTTTGAATAATTATCTTATCAATCTATTGATTGATTGATTAGCTTTGTTTTATAATCAAATGACATTTTAATTGTGTTTTTTTTTCTTAATTGTTCCTTAATCAAACAATGGACCACAAAGAATCAAAAAATCCTAAATTAAGCAAATCTACCAAATCAATGACTAAAGACAAGGACAAACCAATTGAAATGTTGTCAACATCTTATTCATTGCAACCAACAACTGATTCATCTAAATCTAATCATGATTCAATCAATGATCAATCAAAAGAAGAGCCATCTTTTAAATTACCTGATCCATTGAATAGTTTATTGGGTAAGTTGACAAATTTTTTGAAACCGAAATCAATAGAATCGGATAAAGTTAATCGACCAATTAAAAAGAGCTCATATGAACCATTCGAGATGAAAAGTGAATCAGAGACAACCAGTATTGATGAATGCAAGAATTCATTGATTCCTAAATACATTGATGAGCCAATTTCTGATTTAAGAATCCACAAGTTTAAATGGACAACAGTTCGATCAATCTTGAAGCCTAAATCTCCGACCAATCCAGTAACTGACCAGAAATCACCACCATCGACGCCAGCATCTCCACCATCACCACCACCACCACCACCACCACCAACAACAACAACAACCACAATACCAACAACAATAACACCAACACCAACCTCAACAACTGAAACTGCAACAATTAAGGATGTTAAAAGTGAAAAATTAGCTGAACCATCGGGACACAAATCAGTTGATACCAAAAGTAGATCAAATTTAACTGCGATGCTATTGGCAGAAATTAATGAGCGACTTTTAACTAGATCAAAACAAAATAAAGCTCGATCATACAAACGATCGAAAACTATATCGGCAAGGTCAAGAGTTCGAGGTAAAGTTCATTTTAGAACTCGAAGCCGATCAACTCGATACCGAAGTAAACCTAATAGAAATTATCATCATCATTGTCATTGTCAAAGTCGACGAACCTCATCAAGTTCCGATGATAGTATAACCCTAATGCAAGTGTAAAGTTAAATTTAATTACAACAATTGATTGTTACTTAACAACAATAGAAGAAGAAGAACATCAATGTAATCAACAAAATTAAATCGATAAAAAAAAATTCGTGAATTCGAAACAAAAAGAGAGAGAAAAAAAACTTTTTATTTTCCATAGAAACTTTTTTATCGAAAATGTGAAAGAAAACAAAATCCAATGAATTTGCATGTTACTCATTTTGTGAGAATCATTCATTTAATATTATTGAACAGAATTCGAGTAATCAACTCGAAAAGCATAATAATTAAAAGAGGAAAATTGTTTCAGTCATAAAAGTAAATTGTAATTTCCAATCAAATGTAATCAAAATTAATCTAATGAATTTAATCATCATCCCCATTGATTTAATAACATTAAGCACTTTGAGGCATAAAGGGAACTCGAAAAAAAAAGTTTAGTTTAAAAAAAAGTCCAAGCTGAATTATTATTATTGAAAAGGTTTCTCGAGTTAGAAAAATTCATTGATGTTTAAAGATGATGGAGATGATGGTGGGGTGGGTAGTGGGAGTGGGAATAGGAGGAGAGGAGGAGAGGAGTGAAAAGAAGCCAGAAAATTAGTGAAATAAAAAGTGAACTGAAGATGAAGACACAGAAAAGGTTTCCGAAATTGAGATTGGTATTTTAATCATAAATATATCATCATATGTATAACTGATAATATAGAGAGTGAATCTGTTCCCATGGTGGGAAATTTGCTGAATTGTCCAGAAATTGAATTGATTACTGGTTGAACTTGCGCATTTTTCATCTACCCGATTGTCTTCATATTGGATTCTCATAATGATGAAAGTGGGAGAAAAATTTGCAAAATGATGATGAAGATAAAATCGATTGTGTGTGATTTTGGTGTTCAATGTGAAGAGGAATCAGTTCAAGAGAAAGAAAATTCTGTGAATTTTTTTTCTTCCTCTTCAGAGAAAAAAAATGTTCCCCAAATTTTGCATCATCTTCATCAAGCTCAGATTGACTTCTGGTGGAGGGAGGGGGTAAGAGAAACTCTCTCTCTCTCTCTCATGATAGATGAAATCAATTTGGAAGATGAATCCAAAGAGAAGAAAAAAAAAGTTCCAAAATGAAAAACAATCTTCGATTGAATGGTTCCAAGTCAACTGACAGAGAAAGTTTGAGAGAGCGAGAAAGTCAAGTTTTTCACTCCTCATCTTAAACTCTATCACCACCATCATTAGATGCTGATGATGAAGATAAAAAAGGAAGAGGAAAAAGTTCATTTCTATTATTTTATGAAAAAGAAAAACAAAATTATTATGGAAAATCAATGTAAGAATTACATTTATATTAGGAAAAGACAAAGATTACAATTTAAATCAGATCGTTTGTTGCTCCTTCAAACTTTTTTTATTATCTTTTCCTCTTCTCATCCTCATCCCATTTTCATTATCATCAATATCTTCCTCCTTCTCATCATCCACTCACTTCATGCTTTTAATGCTTTGAAAAAATATGAAGAAAACACAATCATTGCAACCTTGCAAAAATCAAATGCAAATGATTATCATCTTGATAAAATGAAACCTTTCAAGCATCACCCTCATCATCATCATCATCATCAGCATCATAATAAGATGATGAGAAACAAAAGATTCACAGATGAACCAATTTTATCAATCATCATGTTGATAATCATGTTCATCTTTTACCCTAAGGGTTACAGCAAAGTTCAACTGATTATCAAATTTTACTGTTATTTTGTTGTCATGATTATCATGAGGTTAATGTGAGAAATATTCAGAATTAATGTAAATTCGAGAAGAAGAAGAAAAGTAATAAAGAAAATCAATAATAATAAACTTGGAAGAAAATTTCGAAGGGGAGATAAGTGTCCAAGAGAAAGAAAAAAGTTCGAAAGAATAAAAGAAAAGACCAAGAGGAGAGTCATAAGTTTTTCAGAATTCAGAATTTGTTAGAACTTTTTTCCTACTCTTTCTCGACTTTCCCCTTACCTGAATTAGATAACATGTGGGAAGAAAATAGAGAACAGGAAATTTTCGAATAAAATATGAATTTCCTTCCAATCGAAATCTGAATAATATAAAATACTTCGAAAATGTTGGAATAACAAAAGAGAATAAAATTTTCTTATTTATGGCCATGTTTCTATCTTCATGTTTAGTAGAGAATCGAAATTCAGAATCTCTTCAGAGAGCAGAAAAAGTGAGGGAAAGAAATTGTAGAGAACTTTTTTATCTTTTTCTTTTTCTTGGATAACAAATTTATCTAATATATTGATTCTTGTTGTTGGATAATATGCTTTTCGTTTTTTTTTCTGTTTACGTTTTCAATTTTTTTCCTTTTTGGATCAGATTTTTCTTGAGAAGAATTTTTTTCTCTTCATGGAATCAGAATTCAGGATAAAACTTTGAGAAAGAATTTTTTCTCTCTTTCTTCTTAGAAAATGTTATCCACCCATTCCCTTGATCTATTTTCACTTTTACCCTTCATCAGCTGAAAGAATGAGAGAAAAATTCTGGTTCATTTTGATATGGAAAATGTTCAGTGTTGGATAAGAATTCAAATCTATTCTCAGTGAGGATAAATTCTTGGAGGAAATATTATCCACAATTTTGCTCAATGTTCCAACAACACCCTGCAGGTGAAACTTTTTTTCCAGTTGAAAAAAGAGAAAAGTTTAAAATTCGAAAAGAAGAAAAAGAAATAAAATTCAATTCTCCCTGAATTTCATTCTCTCCCTTTCTCTCTCTCTCTCTCTCTTTCTCTTTCTCCCTCTCTTATAACCTTTACTAGTTCCATGGTAATAATAATAATGAAAATTGGAATTTGAAAATTGTTCGATAATTTTGTATTACCCTGATTATGATTTTATCATTATCATGTAAAAAAAAGCTTCAAGGGTGTGACTATAAGTTGATAAAATATAATCATGATAATAAAACAAGGCTGAACTCTGATAATGCTGATAAATGCTGAGTAACTGGGAGTGATAAGGTTGAATCTATTATGAAATATCTTAGGGTGGTAATAATATCAATGGTGGAGGTGATGATGATGATGATGAGAAGGTGGGAGTTGAAATATAAAAGAAAATCAAAATTTTTCTCCATAGAACTAATTTTCTTTTCGATTTTCTCTCTCTCTCTCTCTCTCTCTCTCTCTCTCTCTGCAGAAATATTAATCTTTACCTGAATAATGATAAATTCAGATTGGAAATTTACATCATCATCTTTTGAATTTTCATATAAATGTTTAAGTTTAGAAGTAGAAATACATAAATAAAATTTGGAATCGGTTTTGTTTTCTTTTCTTAGAATTTTTGGAAAAGAATTTTTTTTCTTCATTTTCATGTTAAATATTCAAATGATAATAATATTCATCAAATTGGTTTAGAGTTAAATTAAAAGTAGATGGGAGAGTGGGGAGGAGAAGGTGAGAGTGGGAGTGGGAAAAAGAGAAGCCAGAGTTTTTCATGAGCTTTGAAAACTTTTCAGAAATAAAATGTTACCATGGAAACAATTTCCTCCGGTTTTATCTGTAGTTTTCAAGGGAGGCAAATATATTATATTTAGCTTAGAGTGAGAGAGAGTTAGAGAGACATGGAAGGGAGTCAAAGAAAGGAAAAAGAGAAACGAATGACAATTTTAGTCTCTTTTAAGAGAAAAAAGATCCAGAGAATTAAAATTTACTCTCTCACCATCTCACTCACTCCCTGTTCAATTTGACTCAATTCGAATGCGCTACCTCTCCCTCTCTTCTAGTCTCTCTCACTATCTCCCTATTTTCATCTTATTTAGCTTTTGCTCTTCATTCGTCTTTCTATTTCTCTCTCTTTTTTCCTCCAACATTCACTTCACTTGCTATTCCAAAAATTTCAGCTTCTCATCCAATCGATAATCTCTCTCTCTCTCTCTCTCTAAACATTTCACTTCTCTTCCCTTATAATCTTCCTCCTCTTTTATCATCACATTCACTCTCTCTCTCTCTGTTCTCACTCCCTTTTATGACTGATATACATAATATGAACCCTTTTCTGGTGAACATGATGAACTTTCTCCCTCATTCTCTCTCTTTCTTTATCTTCCTTTGATTAAAATTTGGTACAGAGTGGGAGGGGTGGGAGTGTAATGAGTTGATCCAAAAATTTTGGTAAAATTTTCTGCTCCTTTTTTTCATCTTCCTTCATCATCAATGAAAAGCCCCTCCTAATTACTCAACGCTGATTGTAAGCAAATCAGCGCCTCACGCAACTCCCAAAGTAAAAACCTTCAACCTGAATGAAGATAAAATGAAAAAAGGGGAAAAAGAGAGAGAGAGAAAATAAAAGGATGATGATGAATAAAACAAAATCTTTTCTTTTCAATTTTCAAATTGCATCAGAATCATCATCATCATTATCCTCATCATCAACATTTCCATCATCATAATTTTATCATCGACAACAAAAGTCTCCTACCTACTCTCATCATCCAAATAGTAACTGAATAATTTTCACTCCCACTCTCAGAGGAAGATAAAATCATCATCACAACAACCACTTCTACCTTCACCTCCACCTTAACCCACTTTATCATCATCATCATCATCAGTTGATACTCTCTCTCTTTATCTGTGTTATCTTCATCTTCATCTTCATCTTCTGTCTATGTCTTCGGTGGGATATTAACTCTCATGGAAGAAAAATTTTCACTTGATTCAATCTCCAAACAACAACAACTTGTCAACTGTTGTTTCCTTTTGTATTTGATTTAATCAATGATCTCGTTGATTGTTGACCTTTTTTAAACTTCATCATCAATAATCGTTATCATCATCTTCATCTTTATCATCCTCAAAGTGAGTGAGCCTCATCATCACCACAAACTTGGTAAACAAAACTTTCAATTGTTTATAATCAAATCTTTGGTTTTATTAATTATCCTGATGATCATTCAAAATTAATGCCATCCTTTTAATCACTAATTGCCATCATTATTTATCAAAATTCATCATCCTGCTTATCATCTTCATCATCCTCATCATCTTCCAGTGCCTGTGGTATAAAAATTATCATCATCATTTTCCCATGAGTTTAAAGTAACAACAATCAAATGTTTAACCATTTTCAAAGTAATCAACACAATCATCATTGAATTTAAAATAATTGTTTACAATTTGATCAACAACAATTGACCATCAAACATCAAACTACTGTCATCAAAGGATAATTAAATCAACAATTAAAAATTAATCAACTGTCAACACAATTTATAAACACAAATCAATCCCTCGATGATTACATAATGATTTATGCAAAAGTTAAACAATTAAATTGGAGTTTAAATTAATCAGTGAAAGAAACGGAGAAAAAAATTTCTCACTAATTAAATAATCAATTAAAGTGGATCATCAAAAATTCATCATCATCATCATCATCAATTGATTGACAATCATCACCATGGGTTCAACGAGTAATATTAATAACGATTCATCAACTTATTGTTATCGCCGAAATCAATCTCAGGTATTACAATTAGTCAACAATTTAGGTAAATTGTTCACCGATCGTAATCTATTTGATTGTTCAATCATTTGTGAGGGTAATCAAGTAATTAGAGGACACAAATTAATGTTATCCGCTTCATCTGATTATTTTAAAACCGCTTTCAATTCATTTGGAGGTAATTCTGATGGTGACAACAATTTAATTTCTCACTCGTGTTCAAATACTGCGATAATTATAAGGGAAATACCTTATGATGATTTAAAGTTAATCATTGATTATATTTATTCTGGTGAGATGATTATACCCTCAGGTCAATTGTCTTCCATTCAGAAATCATGCCAATGGTTAAAAGTAAATTGTTTACCATTAAAGGAAACATTGATTCCAATTAAAAGTGTAAACAAAGTTAATTCATCTTCTTGTAATGCAAATTGTGCTTCTTCCCGGATTAAATCAGATGCAACAACATCAACAATTAAGGTTAATTGTGGTCGTCTTTCAATTAATAATGATAATAATTCTAAAAGTTTGACCAATGGTCATCATCATCATGGTAACGTTAATGTGATTAATTCATTGAAACGTGTTCCAAGTTTATCGTTTCCATTTCGTTCATCTAATAATCAACAATTGATTAAGATTGTTGATCCATCAACTGATTGTGGGTTAAAAGGGTTTAAAGCAAGTTCATCATCAATTACACCGACATCTTCATCTTCATCATCTTCATCATCTTCATTGAACTTGAAAATTATTTCATCACCAAATGAGACTCGAAAAGTTAATTTAAATTCATCTTCGACCGGTGAATCGTTTGTCCAACTTCGTGAGCTTCTCAGACGAGATCCGGATCCTTATTCAGACACTGGGAATGAAAAAACCGGAAACAGAAATGATGAAATGATGATAAGTAATCAGGAAAATGGTGAGATTGAAAATGAATTTGACCAAAATAGGGTTGATCAAATGAAGCATGATAATGGTAATGATGAGGATGATAATGATCGTATGGATGATAGAGAGGAGGGGAAAGAGATGGAAAGTAAAAAGATGATGACAATGGAAGATGATAAACAAGAGGAATTGATTTTTGAAGAGGGAGAGGAGGAGGTTGGAGGTGAAAGAGGAGTTATTATAGAGGAAGATGCTGATGAGGATGAAGAGGAGGTAGAAGAAGATGAAAAGTTTATTATGATTGAAGGAAATGATAATAATAATGGTCAAGGTCAAGAGGTGGACAACACTGACTATTTATCATCCGAAGAGTTTGAAATTGATATTCCAAGGTCAAATGAGCATCACCATCAACCTTATCATCCTCATCAAAAGAGGGATATGACTGAGGAAAATAAAGTGATGACCACAAATGAGGTTGAAATTGAAGATGAGGATGAAGATGAAGATGAAGAAGAGGAAATTGAGGAAAGGGTGATGATGAGAGATGAACAGGGAATTGAAAGTGGAGGTGAACCGGAAGATGAGGAAGATGAGGTAATCGATATGAGGGTAAATAGTGGACGTCGATTTGATCATCATTCTCACTTGGGTCATCATCACCTTACCTTCCTGGTCATCATCATTCATTAGCCGCTTTTCAAGGGCAAAATTTGGAAGCTGCTGCAGCCGCTGTTGCAGCGGTGGCCGCAGTAGCAGCTTCTTCCGGGTCAACTTCTGGTACTTCAAATATAATGGATGAATGTCCATCCGGTGATTCACTTGACCTTGACTGTGGTGATAAATTAAGAGCCACTAATTACTCAATGATACCTTTTACCGCATCAATAGCATCTTCATTTAGCTCAGCCACTGCTCGAGCCATAGCTGCATCAACAACCTTAGCCGTTGCTTCAGGTTTACTTTCAAAATCTCAACAATTACAAAATCATTCATCTTCATCTTCACCCTCTTCATCAACCACAACCACAACCACTACAACACCAGGCATCAATGGTACTCACCAGAATAACCTAACCAACGGATCATCACATCAACTTCATCCTCATCATCTGAATCATCATCATCAACAACAACACCAACATCATTCCCATGAAATACTTTATAAAAAAACTTCGTCCAACTCTGATTCCCATTCCGATATATCAACAATACCACTGAAAAGAGGTCGAGGTCGTCCACCACGTCACCTTCGTGACACCCCAATAAACGGTTCATCATCTTCATCACTCACCAACAATTCAAACTCTTTAGAACCATTTCGAACTTACAAAGTTCGAAATATTTTGCCTTCGGCAACCACAAGTGACCTGATCCTCCAGCATTCAGCAAATAACAATAACAACAACAACAATAAAGTAAACAATCAACTTAACGGTGAAACAAATAATCATCATCATCTCATATTATCAACATCATCCAATCTTGGATTAACTTTGAAACGGAAAATCCGATTAAACAACAACGGACTAATAGGGCTGGTCACCGGTGGAGGGTCAACTAAAGGTCGCAAGCCGAAAATGTCACAATCAAATGATTGTTCAAATAATAACGGTAAAAACGTTTGCCCCTACTGTCCACAAGTCTATTATTCAAATCAGGCCATGAATGACCACATCAACAACGTTCACACCGGAAACTCACGGAAGTATACATGTGACCTTTGCTCCAAGGAGTTCAGTTGGAAGATCAGTTTGACCAAACACTTACGAAATTCCCATAAACCCGATAAATTAACTGAACAATTAACCACCAACAATTTAATCGATTCCAGGCAACAACAATTAACTTTAACAAACATGTAAACAAAACTCCTTGTAAACAATTAATGTAATTACTCATATAAACAATAGATGATTAAAAAATCATAAAGATAATTTATCAATAACAATTAACAATCCAAAGTTAATTACAAATGAAAACAAAAACAATTTCTTTATATCGTATCGATTTGATTGTTTACAATTAACTGGGAAAAAGTCATTAAGATTAACAATCTTAGCTAAATTGTAATCAATGAAAATAATTGATTGTTACTGTTGGTTAACTGTAGTTGAAAATTGAAAATTTTCAATGACAGAGTAAAAGCTTTTTTATGAAAATCAATTTAATTGCTTACAATTAGTTAATTAACATTAGTTTTTAATCATGATAATCAAAATCTTTTATTATTGTAAAAGTTTCATCAATTTTTTTTTTGCCAAAGAAAAAGGTTTTCATCATTATTTTCAATTCAGTTGGGAATTGATTGTCTAGTTAATTGTTATCGTTGATTGTGGTGGTCTATTCATTTTCTCAATTTAAAATTTGGACAAATTATTTAGCTAATTGTTAATCATGATCATTGTTAATTGTATAAGACTTGAAGGCAAACTAACTGGAAGTGAAAAAAAGTTCATAGAAATTGATTCAGAATCAAGATTATATAATTTTAATGGATTTTAATTGTAAAGTAAAAATAAAAGGATAACAATTAAACCTCTAGAACAATTGAAAGTAAATTGTGATTTAAGTATATTGAGTAGAAATGATTACAAACTTATAGCCTGAAGATGATTGATTTTAATTAGTAAATTGTGGTTTGATTTACTTATTCCAGAGGAACAATTAAAAAACATCAATATAGTGAATCAAAATTCTGAAGAAAAAAAAATCTCACCATGAATTCAGTACATTAGTTGGAAGACAAAAAGAAGATGAAGATCTGTCATCCTCTCTCTCTCTCTCTCTTTCTCTATGTAATATTTACATTGCCTGGTAGCATTAAAAGATGATAAGGAAGATGTAAAGATTAATCATCATCATTATCAACTAATATTTTACAAATAAAATGCCCGCCGGTGAAAAAAAACATGAAAATGTTGAGAAAAAAAAGTTCAGCATAATTTTCATGGTGGTAGATGAATATGATCACCATGAGCTTGAAGATATAAGATGAAAATTGCAAAGCAAAGTGATTTCAATTGAATGGGTTAAATTGCATCAATCTGAAAATGAAATAAAAGTTTCCACCTCCAGTGATGGTGGAACCACCATGGAAACCTGAAAATCACTCCTAGAGTATAATAATAACCCTTGAGAAGATTTTTTTATTTTCTCTCTCTCTCTCATCTTGTTCTCATGAAAAATTTTCCTTGTTGATAATTAATGAATCCATCGAGGGAAATGTATCAATAACAGAATAGATATTGAATGAAATTTTATCGATTGAAATTAAGCATCAGTAATGTGATGAGAAATAAAATTATACGTTCATGTGACCTTAGAACAGAAAAAAAAAGAGTTCGAAAAGAAGTCGCTTTTCAATATGAATATATTATATTTATCATCTTGATCCACAAAAAGAAGATGAAGAAGAAGAAGAAGAAGATGATGATGATGATGAAAAAAGAGAGGAAAATGTAGGAGGTGGAAGAAGAGGAGGTGGAGGTGGAAGTTGCTCATTCTCATTTGCATCACCAAACCTCATCGATTTTATTCCCTGTCAACTCAATTTAATCCGATATTTTCTTCTAAAATCATCCAACCCTTTATCTTCATCATCATTCTAATATCTTGATCTCTCTCTCTCTCTCTCTCTCTCTCTCTCTCCATCCTCATCTTTCTCCTCCTTCTCATCATCTTCTTCTGTGTTAACTATTCAACCCACTCACTCATTTCCAAAGTATTTTAACATATCAAAACTTTTTTTTCTCCTCAGTTTAGTTTCGACTTTACTTTTCCTCCTTCCTCATCATCTTTATCTTCCTCCACCCCCCCACTGCCTCATCAGCATCTTCAAGAAAGTCACATATTTCTGAATTAACCTATAGCTTCATCTTGTTGTCAATTTTAGGCAAAAACTTTTCCCTCCTCATCCTCATCCTCATCATCAACTCTCATCCTCTTATATGTATTATCTGAACAAACTAATTTTTTTCATTGATCATCATGTAAAAATCAAACGGTTAACTGTTTGGTGATGATAATGATGATGATGGTGATGATACTAATGAGGATGAAAATGATAACGATGATAAAACAGTGGAGGAAGAAAAGTTATCTAATTTCAGTTAGATTGAGATATTCATGATTAAATTTAATTTCAATTAAATCATTTCATCATCTTCACAATTTATTAATAAGTGATTCTAATACATCAGATTGTTAATTTAAAAGGAAGAGGAAAAAAAAAGTTAAAGAAAAAAAGTTTTTCATAATTTAAGAGTTGATTTTTTTTTCTCAACTTCTTAATTTTCCTTTGATTCAGTTAATATCATGATGATTTAATAATGATAATTGTAGTTAGTGATGATGAAGATGATGATATAATTAATGTTGAACAGCTATCAACATAATCTTCATCATCATTATCACCCATGAAAATTGTAATTAAGCCAATTAGTGAGTAAATAATTATAATAATCAATAATTTAAGCTCCAATGAACATTAACAAAAGTGAAATGAATTAAATTGCTAAATTATAATCAAGATTGTGATGAAAAAATAAAATTAAATTTTGTCGTTTTCATGATAATCATAATCATCATGATGAAAAAAAAGGTTTAATTAAATTCTGGTTTAAAATCATGATTCTTATTCAGACTGAAACGCAATTAACCAGAAGTTAATTGCTTCCCTTTTGTTATTACATTAAAAAGATCTCGAAAAAAAAGTTTGATCAAAATTTAATTGCAACAATTAGCAAATTGTATGGCCCATAATTAGTTCAGTTAACATGATCAAAGGTTTAATTGATTTTAATTAAATTCAAGGGAAAATAAAAATAATCAAATTTAAATGTCATCAGTTAGCTAATTGTTATCATCTTTTATTGGTTGTTGATTAAATCTCAATGTTAATTGTCGGGTTGAAATTAAATGTTTCCAAAAATTAGTTCAATTATGATTATGTTAATTGTTGGAGTTAAAAAAAAAGTTCATCTCAATTACAATGATGAAAAATTGATTGTTGACTTTGATTGTAATCAAGGAATAAAAGTAAATCTTGTTAATCAGTCAATCGAATCAAAATAAATTGATTAATAACAATAGAAAGTTTTTCTTAAATCAATTGAATTGTTATTTGTAAAATATCATCATTTCAATTAATCACAATTAATTTGATTGTATCAAATTTAATTATTAATTGGGTAAGAAACAAGTTGATTACAATGATTGATTAATAATCACAATTGTATATCAAGTATTTCATTTGTTAAGTGTAAAAGTGAAACCTTTTAATTTGATCTGTTTAAATTGATTTCTTTTTAATTGTTTACAATAACATAATTATAATGATAATTAAATCACTTTTTTTAATTTCGTTTCCTAATCATAGAGTTGATGTTGTTGTCGTTCAATTTGTATAAATATTGTTTTCAATTGGATTTTAGTTAATAGTTGTGTTGTTGTGAGTATTTGAAGATTATAATGATTTTCAAATTGTTCAATTGTTGGTTGATTGTTGGTGAAATTAAAAGGGATTGGCTTAGAGACACTTTGCTTTTCTTTGCATGGTAATCACTTGAGGATAAATGATGAAGATGATGATTAGGCTGATGATGATGAGAAAATGATATAAAATATTAGATTGCTGATAATTCGCCTTTTTAACTTTCTTTTGCGACGATATGGTTTAAATTGATTGTGGTTGATTCTCATTGGCAATAAAGGGGAAGAGAGGGAGAATGAGCGTTCACGGTTCATTCAAACAATTTAATTCCATGAAAATCACATCAGAATATAAGCTTTTTTCTTGGGTACAAAGGCTTTGAATTCTGTTGGAATAAAAAAAATAGGAGAAAATGTTAACGAGATAAAGAGAAGTGGCTCAGAATTTATGGTGATCCACCATCTCTCTCAATCTTTCTCTCCCACCCTCGTCCTCTCATTCATTTTTCTCTTTCTTTTCTTTCTTTGTGGTAAAAGTTGAAGGAAGTTTTTTGTTTTTTTCACAATTCTAACATTATCAATGTCTGCTTTTTATGTTTATCTTTCATATGATAACATGATGTAATTATGAGGTTGTGTGTGTGTGTATGTGTGTTTATGCGCGTGTTGTGGGTGGAGGTGGCGGTGGTCTTAAAGCAGAGTCCAGTTGATTGTAGCCATGTTACTATGTAATTCCAGGGAATGAGCGATTTCTTCCGGAATTCCATGTCGCAACCATAATCTATGAAGCTGTTTGTATGATGATTCACATAATGACAATGGATTCCCTCTGAATAAACCTTGATCAGTTTCTCCATATTCATCGATATAAGGTGGAGACATGTAACAACCTAATATATATATAAATTAAAAGAGTACAATTAGATTTAAATCGAATTACAATCAAATAGGATTAGCTAAATAAATTAGCAGGATAATTTGTTATCATAGAAGCATAAGTAAAATTGATAAGTACATGAAGGTTTACCTTTAGCTCGGCCAGCAAGAAGGACAATCTTACAATCACGAATACGTAGAAATATACCAATACCTGCACCACAATCGTGAGCGTGAAAGGTACACGCACCAACCATTGTACCATCGATCTCAGTCTGACAACAATAACTTTGAGAGCAAAGTATTGTGCCACAGACAAGGCACATAGTTGGTGTACGAGCTTCGTCACTCTCTGAATTGGGACAAGTAAACTGGGAGACACTGTTGATTAATTCACTGTAGTCTTTGGGTAAATCTAATAATTGATTAACAGAATGAGGCTGTTTGATAAGTTTAAGCGGAAGATTGGGCGGTAAGAGTGAATTTTCTGGTCTCTCGCAAACTAAAACTCGTACACGTGGATGTTGACACCAGAGACGAGCAAGTTGACGTAATGATTGGCAACCAATTAGAATTGAAAATTTTGATGATAATCCAAGATATTCACAGAGTAGAGTAAATTCAACATCTGAACTGGGTAATGATTGACCTCCACCCTCTTTTAATTTGGCAGGAGGAACAACACCGGTTAAAAAGTGGAAGAAAACTGCAGTACATCTCAAAAATGGAAGCAATTGAGCTCTCAGCATTTTAATTAGTCGATCAGCTCGATTTTTATTATATTCCTTAAGCTTTTCCCCTTTCTCCAGATCTATTACCGCTGAGACCAATATGCTGGTGTAAAATTCATGAATAAAGAGACTTTCACTTTCACTTTCAGTATCTTTGGAATCATCAATATCCATTTGATTACTAGAACTGCTACTGCAACTATCACTAGTACTACTACTACAATAATCTTCAACGAAATCTTTGTTTGAAAGAATGATCTGTAAAAGAAAAAAAAAACATTTTTTCAATTAGTTAGAAATCGCAAATTTTTCTCATCAACTGTCAGAAAATATTAATACTTACTTGTACACAATGGAAGACGGTCATTAGATTAATAAAATGCTGGTCTGAAACACTCCCGTTTGGTACTGAAGGAGTTGTATAAACAATATCTTCAGGTAAATGAAGTGATGGACTGGTTAAGATTAAGGTTAACAGTAGGCCAAAGGCATCAACGTCTAAACAACTTGGACCGAGAATATAATCTTCATAGACGAGAAGATATTTAAGAAGACGAGCACAATGAAGTCGGATAAAACCATAATCATCTTCAACGGTAATAACTCCCACATATCTGACTAGAGCTTGAAGACAATTATATCTTCTGGAAGATAGATCACCGAAAATGGATTTCTTTTCATCTCTTAAAACTCGTTCAATTGAATGGATTGTGAAGGCCGCTGCCCAATAAGCATGGGTTGGTAAGCTCATATCTTCTTGGATAAAATCGGAACGATGAGGAAAAATCTATAAATACAAGTGAGAAAAAAAATAGAGATAAATTAGAGTAAATTGTATACATAAAGAGAAAGAGAAAGAGAGAGAGAGAAAAAAAAAGAAAAGTAGAATCAGCAACTATTTTGATTACATGAAAAATTGATTGATTTAAAAGTCTCATCATAGCTTTGATATCGTCAGAAAGTTTTCTGGAGATTTCTATAAAAGCTGTAGTTATCGTTGCAACGTAACCTCCATCACCGATTCGAGGGATAAGACCAGATATGGGTATGGAACAGTCTTCCGTTGAGCCTAAATAAAGAAATGAAATATTATCCGCTTCTTTTTTTCACCTCAAAAATGATTATTTGTTAACTAACCAGAAGATAATTTGATTAATGATATTTTCTCGATGGTACCAAGTAGACTGGTTATCCATTCGGAAAAGTTAACATCTCGGATAAAAGATTCCGAGTCAGAATCACGATAGATTGAAGGTGGTATTAAAGGTATCACAGCATTACTCAGGCATTCACATAAAGGACACAGAAATTCACTTTTATCAACGTCAAAGCTAACATGTCGTCCATAGCGAAGAGGTCGCCTCCTCTCTTTACTTAGAACTGCATCGAAAAACTTTTGCCAACAATCGCTGTGCATCACATGTCCACAGGTTGAAACATGACACCCGAAATAGAGATCAGAAGGCATGAAAAGTTGAAAACTATCTTCTTGTACTGAACGTTCACGATTCTTTGAAAGAACCGTTGAACCTTGGACAAAAGCGGCCAAAACCATACAACGACCAGATAATTCGATGGCTTGTTCTTCTCGACAAAGAATGCATATATGACTTTCTTCGGGAATCTCTTTACCTCGCTGATTAATTCCAACAGCACAAGGTTGTTTTGGTTGTTCTTCTCTAGATTCATCTTCGGTATTGGTTAAATCCATTAAAGATCCACCCGAAGTACAAGATGAATCTTTATCTTTAAAATATTCTGCATGACCTTTGATGAAATTTTTCTGCATATCTTGCATCTGAGCCATGATTCGAGCTCGACGTTGGGCTGCAATTTTCGCTTTAGATGTTTCTTTAGATAAAGGTTTTTCATCTTCCATCTCGGAGACAGCGGAAATCATGGTTGATGGTAATTCGGTTCCTCTTAATTTGGCAACATCGGAAAACTTTTTCAATGTCCACAAAAGTAAATCTCTATGTGATCCGATACGGGGAACATCAAGACATGCCTCAAATAGAGATAGTAAACATTTGGAAACAGCAAGTTCGGTAAATCTGACCTGGGCCTCTCTTTCACCGGAAGATGTTGACTGTTGTTCTTGTAATGATTTACTTTCCTCGTGAAGAGCAACTCCAACTAGATGTAAAATTTTCTCAAATTGTGTCTCAGAAAATGAGAGTGAGTATGTTATTGTCGCTCGAAGCAGAACCGAATTAATTATATATAGAAATATATCACTGGTAAGAATTTTCAATATTGGAGTATAATAAGGTGCAAATTCGGGAGGTACTGGTGGAGGACAGCAGATTAACTTCTCACGGTTGGTGCGTTTACGTTTTAATTGTACCTCTTCAGCGGTAGATTGTTCTTGACGTGAATAATGGTAAAAGAAAGGATTAAAGTTGGCATAAAATTCCTCTTTCAGTTCATATTTTCCACCAGCTTGATTGGGTGAGGGTCGCTTGAAATTGGCAACATCCAAGATTAACTTTTCAATTTCAACCTCATCACAAAGCTCACGAGGTAAACACTTTAACAGGTCACTATGGGTCATTGGTTCCATGCACAACCAATGGATAATCTCACGTCTCATACGCTCTTGAAAGGTCACATTACCAATTCCAGGAGTATATCTTTCACTGACAATGATCAATAGAAGATTGAGAAATTCTTCTACCATGGTAACTGTTTGCCTCATAAAATCTTCCTCTGGTTTACGACTTTTACTCTCAAATGAGTCTTGAGCCCAGAAAATTAGGCCAAATTTGTTGAGAACTAAGATTAAAAATTCATTTGGATCCATTGAAGCAGCAGCAAATTGTAACATCATAATATCACGATCATACATTTCATCTCTTAAACGAGTATTGTGATAGAAATAAACTTGATTAACTAATGAGTAACCATTTCGTCTCCACATTCCGGCTCTAAATTGAGCGATTAAAACCAATGTTCGAAGTGGAAGCTCCATGAGAACACGAGCAGAGGGTCGAATAATTTCTTTGGGATTTAGATCTTTGGTGGTCACATGAAGCAATAAACCGGCGACTAGTCGTGACAAGGGAATATGTATGGTAACCGGAGAGGTTGACACATCATATTGTATACACTTAACACGATGTGAACACAGAGACCATTCATCGTAAGTTATGAAGCTCATACGATCTGATAAATCTTGCACAGAGATACGAAGAGCTTTGACCAGTACATTTGAATCGGAACCACACCAATCAATGATTAATGATAAAATGGGAGCCAATTTAAGTTGTAAATTGATTCCTGTTTCCCATTCAGCTTCAAATTCAACATGTGCACCAATCTGTCTAATAACGGAATCCATTCCTTGCATCCAACCAAGAAGTTCAATCAGCTTATGGAAACCATGGAGGAAACTTTTCCGTAATTCATCAGTCCAAACTTTAGGTTTTATGTAAAGTAAATATTTAAGATCACATAGTATGAACTGAACTCGTTTAAATGATTGAATGGTTGCATTGTTACGTTCAAAGGCAAGTTTACCCTCGTTATTACGATGTTTAATACATTCATTGAGAAATGTTGATATTAGGATGTTAAATGCATCATCTTCAGCAATCAGATTGTAAGCTAGAGTTGGCACCGTGAAAATTTGAACAGCAAGACTTGCAATTGATACACCATGTTCATGATCATCATTGATAAAATCTTTCATCAAGGTTGAATAGATTCGGGTGAAAGTTTTAGCAAATTGTTTTTTGGTCTCTGAGTTCATTAAAAGTCCAATGATAAACAGTTGATGCCATTGATTTCTAGCAGTTTTCCATAGACGAACATCAGCTTTCATAATGGACTCCAAGAGAATTGTTCGATTTGTATCATCAACTGGATAGATTTTCATCATAATAGATCCAAATATTGATCTAAATCCTTCACAATATTGTAAAATATTTTGAAGCCAAGTAAGAAGCCTCATGGCAAAGGTTTGATGAGCAATAACACTAGTTAACATAACATCACATCTTAAAGGTTTACTTCCACTTCGACCGGTAAATTTTTCTATCAATTGTTTAACTTGAGAACAAGGTTGAAAAGATGAGCATCGGACAATAGTCCGACCTTCATGATCAACCGTTGTGGCAAAATCTATAGCTTCCTTTGTTGTACATTCAATTGCACGGCCCAGTGTTTGGATAACTTGATCGTATGTATGAATTTCATCATTAAAGAGCATAGTAACATAATCTGCTGATTCGGGATCAATTAAACTTGAATTAATATTTAAACTTTCAGGTAAGGCTAAAGGATTGTTCCATTCTAGTATTTCAAAACAGTAATGGACCACAGTTTTCATAATTATCTCAGTTCTGTTGACAAGATCGGAGGCTAATCGTGTCCTTGGATCTTCATTTGGATCAGCCTAAAGTAGAAATGAAAATAAGTATAAATTGTCTTTAAATTGGATAATCTTGATAGATAAACAAATGATAATGATAAGTGTCACCTTTTGACTTCCTTTAAGATGTAAATCACAGAAAACATGTGCTCTCCAGGCTTCAGCGTCACCACAATCACAATATCCACCACCGGAGCTCATACACATTTTATATTTGTGGCTACGATGGGAACTATGAATAAGGAATAGAACGAAAAAAATAATAGATTGTTATGAAAATCAATCTTTCACAGTGGAAATTGATTGTATAAGGGTGAGGATAAATTGAGTAGAAATTTTTCTGAAAGAATCTCATGATAACATATCACAACTAAATAGTGATAATTATATTCCATTGACAACAAATTGGAAATAAATTGTATGCGAGTTTTAAGTTAAGGTGAAATATTGGGTAAAGGGTTTTTCGTTTATAGCAGAACGAATAAAATTGTTGGAATCTGATTGGATAGATGAATTTATCTGTGATTTAAGGAGCATGAAGGTGTCTCACCTTCGTTTAAAACAGTCGACACAGAGGACACAGGAAGCATCAAGACCACAATCACGACAAGAGTAAACAGGTTCACCTGATTTGAACATTTTACCACAAAGCATAGGATCGGCATCGGTTTTCTTTAGGCTTTCACAAACCTCTTTGGGTTTATCACTTAAGGTCAAAAATTGTTCCAAAGGTAATAAAAGGGTAGACTTAGCATTTTCTTCATCAAATTGAATATTTAAGCAATTACAGTCTCGAGAAGGACTGTATATACTGGGTACAGTGCGAGCCCAATATGTACGTATATCAGTTTCAGTTAAGATTCCTTGATTAAATTTAACCAGCCATTCATCTACTGGTGGTTGGAAGGTTTGATCCAAAGTCATCTTATCTCCTTCCTTAGATCCTTCCATAGTGTAAATTTATGAATATATCTTTGTATATGGTGATGGAAATTAAGAAATAAATGATTTGGTGATGATGGTGATGATGGACTTTTCCTTAACTCGTTCAACTAGAGGGACAAATAGTAGCATAGTTAGAAAAACATCTCTGAGAAAAATTATCACAGCTAAAAAAAGATGAAAACAAGTTAAGGGCTAAAGCATAAATGGTGATGTTGTTTCTTTAAAAAGATGGTGATGATGTGATGATGATGATAAGGAGAATGAGCAATTGAGAGTGAGAGATTGTTTTGGGTATCAGAAAATAACAGAGACTAAAGGATATTTGTCAAGAGTGAGTTTCATTGACGGACAAAGGTTAAGTTAGATACGAGTGACAATCAAATATGTTTATCGAATAAAAATTGAATATCGAGAAAGATATAGAGAGAAATAGAGAAATAGAGATAGAGATAGAAATGGAACAGATAGGAAAATCAGATTAATTCCGTATTAAATTTCTTCACTATTTGTAATTTAAAGAGAGAGAGAGAGAGATAGAGAGAAACAAGACACAGGAAAAGTAAAAGAAAGAGGATGTAGATGTAGAAAGAGAAAGCAAGAGGCAAGGGAAAGAAAGACCAAACAAAAAGTAGAATTGTTAGAGAAAATGCTGGTGATGATGAAGATAATGAGATGAAGCCCAAAGATAAAGAGATGATACAAAAAGTGTGTCCAGGAAAACAAGACCCAACTGCCGAAATTCAAACTCTAAGACCTGAGACCAACTGATGAAACCTTTTTTTCTTTACGATAGAACAAAAGAAAAACAATCAAACCAATGATGATGATGTGTTGTCTCTATGGAAGAGATTTTGATTCATAATGATTATCACCAACAACACCAATGATTTAACAGGTCAGAAAGAGAGAAATAAAAGACAGAAAGAAAAAAAAAGAGAGAGAAAAAGAGAAAGAGAAAATAATAAAAGAGAGGAAAATAAAAAGACTTACCTTCTTATTTTCAATATTTTTTTTCTTCTTCTTCTCTTACAAGACTTTGAGATTTTATCTAAAAATGTTGGTTAATATTCTCTAATAGTATTGGCAAAGGTTTACATAATTAATTAATTGGAAATTAGGAAGGACCATTAACCATGACAATTAAGAAAAAAACAGAATTAGAGAGAAAGAGAAAGAGAAAGAGAAAGAGAGAAACAATTTAATTAATTATCAAAACTCATCAACACAAAGATTTGTTATAGCTTCAACAGCGTCTCCTATTGAGTTCGACTAATTCTAATTAGTCGTTTGCGGTTCAGACTACCGCATACAGGGTGACAGTTAAATGAAGGGAATTATAATAAAAGAATACATGAATTATATAACTCATAGTTGGTTTTCGATATAAAATCAATATTATCAATAATATTTTGTATGTTTTGACTCGTTATCCTTGGAAAGTCTTTGATTGTTGTTCCTTTTTCTTGAGCGATTTCCTTCATTAATTCTTCGCAAATAAATGGATGATGTTCTTCCTTCTTTTCGCAACATTTCACTTTGACCATCCGCAATTTGGTATTAGTTAATCTGGATAAAATTTGACAAGTCAACCAATCTTTTTCAGTCCATTTCTCTCCACCGTCCATCATTATTTGTATTACATCCTTTTCTGCTCTTAACCAGTCCTTGATTCTTTTTTTGATATTATTTTTCATCATTTTCTTCCAATGATTCCTCGATATCACCTTCGTTTCATGAATAATATTATTAATACCATCGAACCTTTCTCTTTTGAGTTCCCCATATGACCAATTCCAAACCAATAATCTATGATGATAAAAAACCTTCTGTCCATCATCTCTCTTTTCTTCGTCATATCACGATCAGGTAGAAGAATTGATTGATCATCTTCAAAAGCAAAATCAGCTTCCATTTTTTTACCGTTGTCCTTTGACCATTCACTGAGTTCCATCCACATCCCAACAAGAAAGTGATCCATCTTATAAATTGCATGAACATGTGAACCTGAAAGTGTGTGAAACTCTAATAATGAAATAATATCATCAAATAAATGAAAATATTTCATAAACATGGTCCGATCTGTTTTGAAAATCATGTAACCCGACATTTTAAGCTTTGGAAAAATAATATTATTAATGATCAGCTTTTTTGTCTCTCTACTTAATACCACCAATTGATATTTCGTGCAATTAAATGAAAAATTTAGATTTTCTTTCGTCATTCGTATCCATTCTTTAACCCTTGACACCACCAATGGCTCGAAAAATTTGTATCCGACCAATTTCAGGTTCAAAAAATTTCTTTCATGTATAAAAGTTTTCGACTCATTAATCTGAAGATTGATTTCCGCGAGTGAATATTTAACATCTTTCACCATTAACTCCGTATCCATTTCTCTTTCTCCAACGATAAAAACATCATCCGCATAAGCATAAATATTAATATTTCTCTTTCTTAATTTCATCAATTGCTTGTTCAAAGCAAGAATGAAAATTAAAGGTCCACATGAAGATCCTTGAGGTGTTCCCTCATTTTCTGCTTTGTAATAATCTTTCTTATCAACGTTAATTTTCACATATCGCAAGGAGCAGAAAGATTTTAGCAGCTTTGAAAGTGGATAATCAATGGTCTCAACGAATTCCACTGCCTCGTCAACCTTCACCGTGTCAAATGCTGCGGTCACATCCATTTGAATGATTTTCATATTTTTCCAATCCTTAATATTCATCACTAATTCGGCCACCAATTTAAAACATGAAGAACCTTCAACATAAGCATATTGAGAACCAGTAAGAAGATGATTAATGAGAATCTCTTGTAGATGATAAGCCAAATATTTATCAACAAGTTTGAAAAGATAATTTGGTGTCTTAATCATTCGAACTTTATTCGTTCCTGATTTAGGAACGAAACCTCCACCCAATATTCTTAAACAGCTTGGAACATACGATATTTCGACAATAAGTTTCACCACTTCTCTAATATTATTAATATTAGACTGTAGAAATTTTTTCCATTGTTTTTTGGTAAAATTATCAGCTGAAAGTGATGATTTGACCTTAGAGTTGACAATTTTTTCCCAAACCTCTTCTCTCCATTTACCTTTTACCTTAACAAAATCATTATCATTAAAAATCGGCTTCCTTGCTGTAAAATCTTTAAGATAACCATCCACTGATCCTTTGTATTTTTCCTCAATTTTACCCAATACCTTAGGTTTCAAATCCTTCATCAGTAAATGTATTAGCTTCCATTGTTGATTTAACCCATCGAACTCTTTTACTTTATCCGCAATTGAAAAATTTGCCTTCGCCAACTTTATTTCATCTTTTGTAACGTTTACTTTCTTCTTTTTCCTTCGAAATGACTTGGATGTATTTGCAATCGTTTTCCTTTTCCACTTTCCATTCCTTTCTGGGTATTTAATAATATTATTAATATTATATACCAAAGGTGACGACTTTTCTAATAAATTCGTTTGCTCGTAGCTCATCTCCTTAAACATAAATTCTCCGATCTTGAAATCCAAGTAATCAATCATTGGTAATTGAGATCCACCCATGAAGATTGTTTTTACCGAGAGTAAGAGATGATCATTACTGTTCATTTTCCTTATCTCCGAATTTATTATTATCTGTTCTCCTTTGTAAATCTGAGCATCAATGTATGTGACCAAATCACCGTTAACATAAGTATAATTCTCTTGCTTCGGTTGATGAACCGATTTAAAACCGGAGAATATATCCTTTTCAAACTTCATTTGTTTTTCTTTTCTGGGTGACCACAAATGATGCTCTAAATTCATGTCACCACAAATGAATATTGGTGATTCAATCGTTTCCAGAAACTCGTCAAAGATTGTCCAATACACTCTGCGATCCCTTAGTGGTCCATAGATACTAAACATCACGTAACATTTATTATTAATAATAATGTTTATACCAATTATCGATTTAATCTTGATGTTTAGGTTCTTGATTGCTATTCCAATGGGAGCAATTATCACAACTTCATGGTTAAAAATAATTCGATAATCACCTATTACCATTTGGCCATCCATAATCTTATTATTCGAATTCAAATTTCCATCAAATAACTGAAGCTTCTCTTGTATCCATCGTTGATTTATTTCACTGATTGAAATTATTGTATTAGTTGATTTGTACTCGTTCCAGAGTTTTTCACTTTTTTCAAAGCTTTTATTAACATTCCAATGAATAATATTAAGCATGTTGATTCGCTTAATTACTCATTTGGTTCAATTCAGACGATCTTTCTGGTAACCATGGAGATCTTCCCGCCATTCGAAAATTACGCCAAATTTGATTATATAAGTGAATGACTTTTTCCCGTTCATTTCATTTTGAACTTAAAAAACTCTATCGATTGTTTATCTCCCATTCTTGAATTTTCATTATTATCATTATTAATATTAATTATGGTTGTTCACTCAAGGTTGATCCAAGGTCCTGATTATTGGAATCATTTCCAGTGTTTCCTTTGTAAAAATCTTTCACTTGATCCTCGTATTCACGATGGAGGAAACAGGAGACAATTTTGTACCAAAGTTTTTTGTTCAACTTGTTGTTATCCTTACTCCTTTAACTCTATTAATTTTCGTTTTAATGAGAAATATTTAAAAGAGGAAACTCGTTGTCCGGATTCTTCCTGTCGCCATGATTTTCGTGATCCATATTTCCGTTATCTTGGAAAATTTGAGCGTTTAATGTATTCGCAGATCCAAGTAAAATGTCCTAAATGTGAAATCACAATGATCGTCGACAGTTACCTGAACCACCTTAAATTTTGTTCAACACAACAGACCTTGAATGTCACCAATATTAATAATAATACTACTCATTCATCTTCCACCCCCGTCATCGACCTTGACCTTTACCATCGTTTATCCTCCATCAAACAACCGATATTCACCTCAATTAATGGTTTGGCTTTCATTGATAACAATCTCCTTCTTTACGGTGATCTCCCTCGTGATGAAGCTGTATACCTTAATCTCCGATCCCTTAAGCCAATCCCATCCATTCTTACCTTCCGTGACCAAACTGTTGTCGAATTATTAACCCATATAAAACGAACACTTGATTTCAAGGATGAAGATAATATTGATTTGGTTGTTGTCCAACATTACTCCATCAAGCAATGCACCACCGTTGGCGATTTCATCGACCATCTCCCAACCTTGAGTCCCATCAATTTGATTCATTGTCAACCCAATTTCGATAATCCCACTTACCATCTCAAGCTCAAGTGTTTAGGCAAATACAATTCCCTCGGGTGAAACATTATTATTATTATTGAATTTTCTTTTCATTGTTTTGCTTTCATTGTTGTGATCACATAATCACACGAAATTTTATGTGTCACTTATTTATCAATATCATAAATCAATAATATTCATATCCATGTTTTAAATAAATCAATCGCGAATTATCCATTCATAATCATAATTGACTCTTTGAATAGCGTTTCTTAATCGGCGTTGATACTCGATACATTCCCATGAAACTGGTGTGTGATTGATGTTGATACTATTATTATTATTATTAATATTTCGTCGACAAATATAGCAAATATATTTTTTCGGATCCATCCTGACCACACAAGTGCGTTCATCATGTGATTCTGCACAATATCTGCAAACCTGTTGATTGTTACATTTTTTCGTTGAGTGAGAATAAGAATAACACCGAAAACAAACATTGAAATGAAAGTAATCATTCACACGAATCGGCTTGAAATCCAAATAGAAGACTCCACGTCTTTCCTGAACATGGTCTCTAATCCGAGGTGAAACCGACATAATAATATCAGTAAATTTGCTTCTTGATACATAAAAAGCTTCAACCTTCCAGTCACCTTTACCGCCACATCCATTTTGTATTATTATTCTTTTTGCCACTTCCTTCGCTTCTTCGATTGATCTTATGACCATCGATATTGATGAAAATCTTATCTTAGGTTCATACAGCCCTGGATCCTTAATAATAATACTTGAATTCCATTTCGATAATTTTTTCTTCGCTTCATCAATATCATTAGTATCAGCACAAACAACTCGAATTGCATCAACACTCTTAATAATTCTTGCTGGAAAAGGTTCCAATTCATTGCTCTTTAGACCACTGGAGATCTTTTTGTAAAGATCTTCAACTTGCATAACCGGATGAGTAACAAGAATAATAGGTTCCATAAGCTTAGATGACCAAGGTTTCCAGTTTTCAGGAAATGGCTTTTCTAACACATGATGAAATACCTTCTTTACCTGGCGTTTATTGTCCAAACGTACCTTGATGTTTTCTCTGTGAAGATCCACTTCACCTACTTTTCTTTTCAAGCTTTTCATTAGAGTTGAGGCCGAATCCAACATGTCATCATCATTAATATCTTCTTGTATTCCATACATTGAACCTTCATCATTAATATTATCAATATTATTAATATTCATTTCCAATTCTTTCGTTATTACCACCTCAGTCTCAGCTTCTTTTTCCAATTCTCCAAATCCACTCGTACCTGGTTCATTTAATATACCAAGTTTTTCAATCGATGTTGTAATTGATTCTTTTTCCATTGTGATTGAATCTTTGCATGTTGTAGAATAAGTTACCGATGAGTTATCATCCATTGATGTAACTGTTGGAACCTCATTACTCATCTCTGCTGGTATACAATCAATAAATTTTCTTTCACCCTCATTTAGCTCCAAAATATCTGAGTTTTCTCGCAACCATCCAAGAATGAATTTAATTTTCATGATCGTACTTTTGTTAACTTTAGCTGCTTCAACCAATGCCGAATTATTAATAATATCAAAGCCTTTTGATCCAATATCCATAATTTCCACCATGGCTAATTTAGCTATGTTAGTTGTCCAATCCATTTTTGTTGGAAATTTCTTCGACAGTTTAGATTGAAGTTTTTTGGCCACTTTAATTTGCTCATCCATCTGAACAGAAACAAACAAAATTATTATTATTAATATTATTTTCCATGTGGTTAAATTAAAACCTTTCATTTTCCATATATTACATTTTCCATAAGCCATGGGTGTGGCACATTTTCCATCATTAATTGTTTTTACTCTAATTTAATATTTTCTTACCTTCTTTTTAATTTCCAAATGTTCTCGAGTCACTAATGTTGATTAATTAACTTCAATATTAATTAAAATTAATACCAAAACAATTAAATTTTCACAATTACAATTAACAAAAAATTACACAAAAGCAGAAGAAAAATCAACAAATAAGTGTCGCCTCCTAACGTTAGAAAAAAGTAAAGTTCGATAATCAACCGTAACCATGGTAACCGTTAGATGGAAAAAGGGAAAAGCAACAGGAGAAATTATATGATTCGGTGTTTGTTTCCTTTTCGTTTCTAAGGGTAACCAGTGAATCTTTGAGAGGTAAAATTAAATTGATGATTGATTGAGAGAAATTAAGAAAAATTAAAGATAACAATTAGATTAAATGTAATTATAATCCTGTTTTCTTTTATTGTAAAGAGAGTAAATGAGATGATTAAGAAACAAAGTTACAAATAATTAAAAGTTAAGAAAAACAAAGGTTTTTAGGTCAAAGGGTTTGGGTTAACATAATTGGTGAATTTTTTTTTGGAAAAAAAAGTTTAACAATTAAGATAATCGTTTTGATTGTTGACTGTTGGTGTAAAGTTGATTATTTGAACAATTTGGATAATTTTTTGGAAAATGATTTTACTGCTTTACCCGATGATTTTACCATTCGACGGGCAATGGTTCGTGAGGTTGTCGATGAGGTCGAAGCGGATGAAGCCGAAGCCGAGCAAGAGACTCCGCCGTTTAATTTGATTGCGTGTCGTTGATAAGCTGCATGTTTAGTTACCAAACTAGCCTGATCATCGTTGATACCAGTAGCAATTAAGGGATTCTCCAGGTAGATTAAGGGCATAGGGTTAACCTGGACAAGTTGATCATCTTCAATTGGATTAACTTTATCTTCATTATCATCATTTAAAAGTCCAACAGTTTCCTCGGCTGAACCTTTCAAGACCCGATGAGTTTGATGATGATGGTGGTGATGATGATGATGATTAGAAGCAATCAACTGATTTTCAATGGTATCGAATCCTTCATTAACAATTGGTCCACCAAAATTTTCGCTCTTTTTTAATTGTTGATCATTGACCATTTGGTCTTCGATTTCATCATTAGTATCGTTGGTTAATTCTTGGAAACTTGAGAGATCAGTTTTATCCTCAAGGTCACTGAAATCGGTTAGGGTCATCACATTATTGTCAATTTGACCATCAGCTTGTTGACTTGCGGAAACCAAAAGTGAATCATCAACGAAAGAGATACTAGTTGATTTAGATTCACATTCTGAGGTCGAACTTGAATCAGCTGATGCAGTGTCCGAATTTGTTAGAATTTGATTCTCTGTCCATTGGGGTGTTCGAACTTCAATATGTTCCTCTTCATCTACATTCTCCTCCTCATTCACTTGACAATATTCAATTTCTACTTGTTTCACTTGTACTTCTCCCTCCTCTTCCTCTTCCTCTTCTTCGTCCTCATCCTCATCCTCATCTTCATCTTCATCTTCATCTTCATCTTCATCTTCGTCATTTCTCAAAGTAACCGAAGCCATTTCTTTCTGGACAACATCTTCATCTTCGTCAACATCCGTGTCCGATTTACCATCAGGTGTACCTCGTTCATTCATGGACGTTGAAATGGCCTCACCAGCACCATTATCGTCATCACCATCTTCAGGCTGATTATCCCGACGACCAATATAACAGGAATGATAAACTTTATCAGAATCACAAAGTTTATTAACTGAATCACCATTGGAATCAGGCAAATCCTCAATGAGCACAATTGAATCAGATAATTCGGTTTCCATGTAATTACCACCATAATTGATTGATTCCATGGTAGATTTTAATTGTCACAATGAAAATTGATTAGGACAAAACAATCAAATTAAAAAAAAAAGTCACACTCAAAGTCAAGTAAAATTAATTAAAAACAAACTGATGATCAGGATGATTAACAAACCAAAAATTAAATCAAATTAAGGATATTACGTTTCTAGGATTAGTTGATTTACTGTAATTACATTTATAATCCGTTGATTAAATAAATTTAAATTGTTCACAAATTTCCTCCAATTGTAACTGTAATCTTAATGGTAACAATCAAATCAAATTACAATGTACTTGAGGTTAAATCAGTTACCTGGAGGATCAACAATCAACCTTAAACATTTGTATTTAAAGCAATTTAATTTTGAACAAATTAAATTTTCCAAATCTCCATCTAGTGGATTAATTTGATTAATAGATTAACCCAAGAGTAGTAATTTAAATTGTAAACAAAAAGTTTGATTCTCGAATGACAATTAATCTTTAATCAAATCAAGTAAATCTTTCTAATTGCTAATTTATTGAAATGAGTTTACAATTAAGATCATGTAATCATTGAGATGATTAAAATATTTTCTACTAATTTATTAATTGTTTGTGTATCGTTTTGGTTAATACATTTGAATTAATTTTTACTTGATTGTTTTTAATTAACCAGAATGAAGGTTAAATCGATGGGACAATTAAATTATACGAGTTTAATTGTTACCTAATCGTCCGATAATTTAATGAATGAGACTAAATTAAATTAGATTGTTAAAAAAATACAAATTTACTTGGCCATAAATAGTAAATTAATTGTTAAATTAATGAAATTTGATTGTTACAATTAACCTTAAATGAAAAGGTTATCATTTTCTGGGAAGAGGTTGATTAAAACAAGTTAATCAAATGATTACAGTTAATTAAAAAGGTGAACAATTAACTTTTGTTTTCAAGAAAGGTACAAAATACACAATTAAGATTAGAAGCAAAAAAAGTTACAAAGATAATTAATAATTAACAGAGAACTGGATTTAAATCAATTAAGTGATGAAAAATTGATTAACCAAAATCTCAATGTTTTTTTTTGCACATTTGTCCCGAAATCAATGTAATCAAATTGTTCAAACAATTTTTAAATTGATTGTTGGGATTAATCATCAAGAGGAGAATTAGAATATTAAAAAAACAATTAGTTAATCATTTGTAATAAACGAAAAAAACAATTACAATTAAAAAAGTGACTTAGGAATCATTTTGAGCGGTCAACTTGTCCTTCATTTATATTCATTTGCAAAGGATTTGGACCTTTGTCTTTGGACGAGGATCAATTGGTTAACAGTTAATTTGAGTTAATTGTTGATTAGTGATTTATGATTTAGGGAAATAGTGATATTGTTGTTGTAGTGTATTGGAACCTTCATAAACCTCCATTGGGTATAAATCTTCAGCTTGAACTTGAATCGAGCCTGAAGTTGAGGCACAAGAAGAAGCGGCGTCGTCAATGGTCACATCGCCCTTCGAGTTTCCTCTAGATGAGGTCAAGAACGTTGAATTAGTTAAAGTTGATGATCTTCCACCGACACCACCATGACAATTATCACCTTCCTTTGATCCTTGATCATTTTCTATGTGTTGATTTAATGATCGTCGTAATAATGAAGCTCCTGATGATATGATTCCTCCATTGGGATGGTTATTATGATGATCTCCACCACCACCACCGCCATGGGAAAGTGGTGATGATGATTTAATTGAACTTGTTAGAGTTCCGGTTGGTGGTACTATGGATACTGAAGAGGTTGATGATGATGGTGATGAGGAAGGTGAATTAGTGACTGATGAATTATTGATTAAACTTTGACCGAAAAGTGAGATTGATAATTTTTGAGCTTTAGGTAAAGTTCCGTAATAACTACCAGCTAAAGATGACGATGAATGAAGTACCCGTGAAGATTGACCTCGAGGCGATTTTATACCAACATTCACACTGCCCATTCCTCCTCCACCTCCTCTAGATTTACTCAATTCGTGAAGATAAGATGAGATCTTACGAACATAAAGAGACAAAAGAAGCACCGTCGCCGAAGCTAAATTAGCGACAACTATGGTTAAATTACCATTGACCAGGGCCAAATTAGGTGAATAAGTGACCACCGCTGCCCAAAGGGACCAAACGACAGCCACCAAAAGGCAAGAGATGGCAATCCATCGCGCCTCTTTGGAGGGCGATGAAGATAATGACCCTGAGGGCAGTGATACGGATGAAGCAAACGATGCTGTTGATGACGGGGTTGAGTTGACCACACCAACGCTTGACCCATGGATTGAAGATGAACTATTCCAGGATAATAGAGCGAAAAGTATATTGATACAACCAAGAATCAGAATATAAACCAAGGAAACAATTGATTCCGTTTGAATAAGAGACGGTGACGGAGGCCATGAGCACGTTTGGTGTTTTATGTTTGGTTGTGGGGGAATAAAAATAAGCCAAATTAGCGTTACGATAACTTGAAGGCTCAATAAAAAAACGGAGACCAACAATAATCGCGATGGTGTTGTTAGTCTTAGCTTTTCAATTCCAGTCTCTCGAAGTGTTTTCAATCGCCAAATGTTCATTGTTTTCACGAGAAGAGCGGAAAGAACCATAGTATATGCTAAGGCCATTCCAAGCCGTCGAATGAGACAAACAGTAAATGAGATTGGACTTAGATAGACAAAGTTAACACCATACATGGCCACTAAGCCGAAAAGTGTAAAATAACCTAAGACAGTAGTTCCAATTGAAACGGGAAAAACAAGGAGGAAATAAAAGCCAGAAACGATGATCAGAATCACGCCAAGTGCTGATGCAATGGCTAAGGTCAAGTGCCAGGGACCAGATAATTGAATGGTTTCCAATTTTGTCTCCCATGAAAATCCTGAACCAGGCGGAATAAAGTGTATATCTGATGGAGTTGAAGATTGAATGAATTTGGATGCATCGCTTGCTGATGGCGGCTTTTGGTGTCCATATTTCCATGAATAAGTGCATCTTGCTAAACACTCTTGATCACGAAGGGAAGTTAATCCTGATCCAATTGGATTAGCAATTGATGAAGATGATGAAGATGAAGGAGGTGATTGATCTGAACGTTTCTCAAAAGACCATGAATTGGTCACCGGAATTGATGAAACTTCAGATGCTGATGGTACCATTGATGGATCGTTGCTACTCAGATCTCGAGATCCACTGTGATGATTATGATGATTTCCATCAATTATCCTTGATTGTCTCACTTTTAAACACCTTTCACAACCCGCTGGTGGACATGGTGATTGTCGATATGATACTGATCCATCAATCAATTGTGATGAATCTTTTGATGAATCATATGAGATCATATGTTGATATGTTATTGAACCTGAAGATGAAGATGATAACCCTGAATATCCAAATGAACCGAAAGGTGAACTTCGTCCACCATTGAATGTCAACTTTGTTAGCGCAAGTTTTATGCCCTCGTCCGTTGTTGACCCACTAATTGACCCTTTTAACCGATCATCACCCATTCGACCTCGACTTGTACCAAATCCTTCATCTAATTTTAATTCCATAAAATCGGCTTCAAACTCTTTCCGTGTTAATTTAACCAAATCAGGGCATAAACCAGGCTGACCTGAACACCGATTAAGCCAAGCTTCACGAAGAGACTGACCAATTATGTACATTAATTGGATGACCGGTAAGACTTGAGTGGTTCGCCAAAGTATATCGAGATTGTTTCGTCCGAGATCATTTTTTATCAATTGATCGTTTAATGTTGCTCGATATTCATCAAGCCATGGAGATGAAGACATTGATGATGAGGATAAAGATGAGAATGGTGCTAAAGATGAACTATTCAGAGCCGATGACCATGCAGACTCAAAGGAATCAATTATCCCAGGATAAGGTGTCAAGGTGAAAAATGAAACCGATGAATTGACAAAAGGTGCCAATAGTTTTGGATCGGGTGGAGTTGAAAATAACCATTGGTGTCTATTGATGGCGCTTATCCGTTCCGACATAACCTCGATGAGTCGGGTTACCGATAAATCTGATCCAAGGATTAATATTGGAACATTATCTGAGACCATTGAAAGCACCGAACGTAAAACTGCAATGTAGGCCACGGAATCGGAGGATTTAGTTGAATCATTATAAGGTTCACCGTCGATTAGTTTGGGAAGCGTTTGGACCAAAGTTAAACAGAATCGATCCTTTAACGATAATTGTCCCAACAATTTAATCACTTGGAGTGAATATTCATCGGATGAATGGATAATCGCGATTTGGGTCCACTTTAAATCGGTTACAATTGATGAAAGTGTCTTAGCGATCACTTCGGGTGGAACTAGAGATTCACTGGTTAGATGATTGATCGGTAAATGATAATGACGAGCCAAGGCCATTAATCGAGGCTCTTTGGTTACTCCGAACATGTCGATTAAAGTTAACGAGCCCAAATCGATCGGGGAATTATCTTCACAATCATCTGATCCTCTTTCAAGAACTGAATAGATTTTGGTTAAGTAATTAATTCCCAATTCTTTATGATTACATGTATCATATACTCTCATTCCTGTAATTAAAAGAGAGCAACAATCAATTAATTATTCAAGTTCACGATTAAATCAATTTCCAATAAGTTGGTAATCATCATCAATACTCATCAATATTTTTTATCAATTACTTGACTCAAGTTAATAGTTCATTCAATCAACAACAATCAGCGAATTGTGTTTAATTTAACTTGATTTTTTCATTCTATTCTTAAACAATTAACCTTTTCTTTATGTTCGTTAGTATCAAATTACTATTACAACGATTTAAATTGTTGAACGATTCGTTTTGCAATCAAACCTGACGATCGCTACTTCAGTTGATACAATTGACATTTTCTTTTGGGAAAAAAATTTAACGGTAATTAGTTAATTGTTGTTTAATCTATTCACTAAAATTGGAATCTGATTGTTTGGCATTCCATTGGAAATGATTAACATTATTTGTACATACAATCAACTAATTGTCCAAATTTTTGTGACCGGATTAAGATTTGGCGGATTAAAACTTAATCTTCAATGATTTATGATCAAATCTATTATCATTTTTTGATTAATTGTGATCAATATTAATCATGTTTCAATGGATCAATCAAAAGGTGTCAAGGTTTTAACAATCTAAATTGATAATCAATACCAACAATCAATGATAATCATATAGTTTAAATTGTTAATTTTTTGATACTTGGTCATTTTAATTATTTACAATCAAATGTATAAGTTAATAACAATTACGTCAACATGGGTTTGGTTCAATATCTTTGAATTAATAGTGATGATTGATTTAATCACTGATTTAGTTTAACTGATTATTACAATCACAAATTTATTTTCATTCATTGGATATAAAAATTGATACAAGTGTACACTCAATGTCTAACAATTTACAATTAACTAATTAACGGTAACTAATTGATGTAAAACTAATATAATCAACTAAATTGACTAGACTCAATTAAGAAGCAGATAAAATTAAATATTCAACTAAATTGAATTACATTTCATGTTAATAAGAGACAATTAAATTTACGATAATTAAAAAACAAAACCTTAATCACTTTTTGATTAAGTTTGTACAAGAGATTAACATTAATCTATCATCATTGACAATTTAAATTGTTGGATAACAATTAAAAATGTTACTTCAACTTCTGATATATACAAAATGAGGAGGAAGTTTTTGTTTAATTGTAAACAATTAATTGTAACATTTAAGCGGAAATCATTTGTAAATCAAATTACAGTTTAAAATTGAATGAGAAACAGAAACAGATTCAAATTGAATCAAATTAATTGACCAACAATCAGAATGATAAAAGTTAATTGTTATGCTAACGATAGATTTGAAATTGATGCTCTAATATGGATCATTATAATTACCTAATTTAACTCCAGGAATTAGTGATTGGTTGATTTTCTTGCCGTTAATTGTACCTCTTTCTTGATTAATTGTACTAATTATCCAACGAAGGGCCTGAAAAATGATCAACCCTTTTCGTGAGATTGGCCCACAACCATAAATACCTCGTTGACTCGACGAGTGGACTGATAGAAGGGCATTCAGATAGATGTCGGCATCGTTTTCGATGACGGCGATCGGTTCTGGCCTCGAATAGGGTTTACACTCTTCGAGAGGATAAGACGAGGATAATGAGTCACTCTCAATGTAATTTCCGTTAATCCGATGGATCAATGTTAATCCAATCAATAAGCTTATCGTAATTAACCAACTTATTATCCTCATGGTAATACAATTAAGATGTAACAATGATAAAGATTATAAATTAATTAATCAAATGAATGATGATGAGTGTTAAAGATGATCAATTAAAACAATTAACTTAAATTCACTTATTTATAATTCATTATAAATCGATGATGATGATTATTATTAACAATTAGTTGTTGTTATTAGTTTATCCAAATTGGTTAAGTATTGAACATGTTTAATTGTTGTATTAATAAGTTTGATTAACTTTTCCAGAAACACACAATAATAATAACAAGATTTATTCAATATTGATTTGCCAGATTATCCTATTGATGAACAACATGATGATTGTGATTTACACTAATTGTTAGCTGATTGTGATTGTGATTGTGATTAAGTTGATTGTAAGATTTACCTGGTTGGTTCAACGAGATCAGTGAAACTAAATGATGAAGTAGTGTTCAGGTAAACATTATCATCTTCAGTATTTGGATGATGAGAGTGAGTTGTTTGGTTACTTTTCGAGTGAGATGATGATGATGATGATGATGAAAATGATGATAAAGAAAGATGAAAAGTAAGAGAGACTGAGAGAGACTAGTGGTCAGTTATCTTCCTCCCCCCTAATCTTTTCAAATGGGAACAGTTTCATTGAAAAGTATATGAGGTCAAGCAAGAAAATGAGATGAAAAGACAAACCTTTTCATCGTGAAATAAAATGATGACCATATTGTTTTTAGATTTATCTTCCTCATCCTCATCTTCATCTTCATCCTCATCCTAATCTTTATTATCATCACCATTAATCAACCCATTGTCTATCCTGCTATTTTTAATTGTTACAATCAACGTGCTGACCATTCAGATTATCAAATATCTGTTGGGTTCATCGTTTAAACCTTTGGGTTAACTTTTGTTTTAATTGTTCAACTGATTGTGAATACGAATTGAAAACCTTGATTTAATTTGATTACCTTTGTTGTAATTTTAATTGTGCTCATCACCAGAGTTGATTGTGATAATTAATATTATCATTCTGATTGTTAATTGTTGTTACTTTTACTATTATTTTACATATTATTGTTTTTATGTTTAAATCAAGAAAATGGTTTATCTCAATTACATTTTTGGGTTTTACATTTTGTTTTGTTTCTGTTAATTACTAACTGTTAATTATTACAATTAAATTAAAATTTCTTACTACTGATTAAGTTAGTAAAAGCGTGACAATTTAACCTTTAAAAGTTAATTTAATTTAATTCTAATCAGTGGTTTTGATGAAATTGAAATTAACTGTTGGTTGAAATTATCAAGCCAACTAAGTTGTTGAAATAGTTAATCAGTTAACTAATCACAATGATCACAATTTAGTGATGATTTAAATTAATCACGTATTTTTTCAACAATTTAACACTTTCCTTGATTGAATCAGTTAACTGATTTAAAGAAAAAGTTGAACAATTAATCAAATCATGATTTTAATTGTTGAATCGTTGGAATCGTTTGAATCTCATTCATTGACACTCAGCTGATTAACAATTAACTAATTTTACAATTAAATTGATCAAATTGCTGTCAATTTTTTTTCGGCGAAAAATTCAAAATTAAACCAGAAATTTAATCAACAATTTAGATGATAATTTAATACGTTGTTGATTATTAAATTAGAGTTAATTACAATTTAACAGACACAAAAGATAATTAAATCAACAATCAAAAAGATGGTCAAGTAAAAGGTAACAATTTGTTGATCAAATTGTGAACCAAATAAAGTTTCATTTTTTTCTTAATTACAATTAACTTTAATTTCTCACGAAATGTTGTCTCGTTAATTGTAATTTAATTGTAATCAAATTAATGGCAAATATTAATCAACAACAATTTAAAAGATTCAAAAGTAACAGTAAAAGTTTTTTGTTACTATTTTTGTATAACTTTTTTTCATGTTCATCGTTAATTGTTGCAATTGTTTGACTAATTAAAAAAGTTAAAAATCTTTGTAATTAACTTTAATTATTGTTGACACCAGTAAATGATGATTAAGATGCATGTAGCCGGTCAGTTAATTGTTGTAATGATTAAAATTAGGATTCTGATTAAACTTTTTCCTACCAATCAAAGTGAAAGTTATTCAAAAACTTCAAGAAAATTGTAACAATTAACAAATTGTTTAGCTAATTTATTATTTATTTAACGATTTTATTTAGATTGATTCTTGTATATGCTTCAATTTATCATCTTTAATTGTTGGGTGAACAGTTAATCATAACAATTAAACTAATAATTCAAAGGTTTGGTTTGTAAATGAATCTTTTTTTGCTTGATTGTGTCTAATAATTATTCATAATTAAATTTAATTGTGCTAATTATAAACAACTTTTTCCTTAACTATGTTTTAGCTTGAACATAATGATAATTATTCAATAGCAAGTACAACAAAAACACAACAATTATAAATGTTAATTGTGATTAGGAAACTAAATTAACAGTTATCATTATGAAAATAATAAACTTTTACTTTTTTGAGGTGTAGGTTGATTTTGATCAACAACAATTAACTTTTATTTTTAATAGTTTGATGAGTCTTAATTGTTGATCTGGATTTTCAGTCTATGGTAATAAACACAATCAATGAACAATTAACTTTAATTGTTATACATCAATAAGTGTTAAGGTGTTGCTGTTGATACTCAAGTAAACTATTAATAAATGATTTCTTGTAGATTTAAATTATTGCCTTTGTTAGTTAATTGTGATTAAAAGACAACACCTTTAATTGTGTTTAAAATCACAATTAGAGTTTAATCAAATATAAAAAATACACAATTAAGTTAACGCCTTAGGTATCATTATGGTTATCATGTTTCCGATTTGATTACAATTAAGCTAATTCTTAATTGTGATTAAACAGTAAATGCAATTACTTTCCAATCAGATAATGTTTAAATTGTCAAGTTTATCAGCTTAATTGTTGACTATTTTTAGCTATTATATTGATTCAATTAGTTTAAAATTAAATTTCTTCATCAATGAGAAATAATTTTCATCGTAATTATTTTAATTGTTGAAACAATCAACACATTCCGTAAGTATTAATAACTTTAATCAAAATGAAAACAATTAAAACAAAAAAAAAGTTTTCATTTTAATCAAAAATAACAATTAACCAAACAATCAAATGATCAACAACACAATTTGCAAAAAAATCAATTAAATCAAGATGATTAGCTGATTAAAAATCATCAACTAATATAAACAATTAGCAGATTGATAATATTAATTGTTAATAAAGTGCAATAATTAACTTTTAGATCATTTAATTGTAACAATTAACCATAAAAGTTCATGAACTATTCCTATTGTTAAACTAAAACTGAACTTACATAATTTTAATCACAATTAAACAGTTATCATCATCTCATCATGTTAATATCTTCAAAACTGAATTAAACATTATGAACAATCAACAGTTTTATTAAATGGGAATCAAATTAATGAACCAGTAAAACTAAATTAACTTGGAGATGGTAAATGATGTTAACCTTGAATGATGAAAAATCATGAACCATCATCAATGAACTTAACATGATCATCACCATCATCTGAACATAAAGATCATCTTGATGATGAAATCTCTCTCTCATTTCATCATCATCCTCATCCTCATCCTCATCATCAACATAAGAATCAACGTCAATCAATTGTCTGAACTTTTGGATTGAAAAATTGTTCATTCTCATTTAACTGTAAATTTGATTCAATTTGTGATGCATTGGTAATTTAGTGTCTTCGAGTTGTTTTTTTTTATTACATACTAATAGTATTACTGATTGATTATATATCTTCAATCAAGTTTAACAATTTATTTTTGGCTTTGATCACCATCACAGTTAACACATTGAGTGTTATTACGGTAATCACAACAATTGGAATTAAATCAAGTAAATTGTTTGGGTTAACAAAAAGGTAGAAACCAGAAAACTCACTGAGAGAAAACGTCAACATCAAATTGACACCAATTAGGAAGTGAAGTGTGTATATTATATTGTGATTTGATTATATCACGATAATCAAACCATGATGATAATGATTCCATTGGCATCATCATCCTAATTATCATCATTATTTGACCTTATTCACCAATCTCATCAATCAATTGAATGAAAAAAAAAACTTTTCAAACTCAACTGCTTGTGGTCAACAACTTATTGTCCACAAGAAATCAAGGAAATTATATTATCATGAATGGTGATGTTATGATAATACAGAGAGAGAGAGAGAGAGAGAGAGAAACTATTGTTAAGTGTCAGAGTGTCACTTTGACAATCGAGAAGGTCATCAGGTCCGCACGGAAAATCAATTATAACACTTTAAATGAACTTGATGATAGCAATTTGATTCCATAAATTGACTGAGAATACGAAATCAACTTGAAATTGAACAAAAGAAAATTCGTAAACTCGATTAATGATGAAATCTGATGATAATTCTGGGGGAGTTTATCATGTAGATATATGCTAATGATGATGATGATGATGAGGATGATAAAAGAATAAGATGAGAAGGATAATGATGATGATAACAAATAAGAACCTGAACTTCAAAGGATCGGTGTTGATGTTTACTCATCTTTGCGTTTTCGTCAACGTCGCTTTGGAAACGTTAATGATTCTGGTTCGGGTTGTGATTAAAATTCTGATATTGTAATGACGATGATGATTAGGATTATGATTTGGGACAATTTTCTGTTACTTAAATTGTTCTCATTGTCATCATAATGATTTAACAATTTAAATATATTCAAAGTCCAGGTCACTCTCACTTAACTTTGAATGTTTCTCTTCAATGGTCAAGTAAAGTTCATATTTTGCATCTTGAACAACAATTAATGTTTTGGACTTGTTATTGTCTCATTTACTTTAATTGTATTTGATTATCAACAATTAACTTGATATCATTAGTCTATTAGCATGTTAATTGTCGTTAGGTGAACAACAATTTGTGAAACAATTAAACTTTTGGTGACAATTTTGTCTGTTTGTTTGTCCACAAAGTTTATTACATGATTTTAGTTAGTTAATTGTTAATCTGTTGATCATTAAGTTAGTTAATTGTCTTAATATTACAATAGTTGGTTAATCAAGTTCAAGGTTAATTAGGAAAAGTTTTTCAAAGTTTCGTTAATTTAGTTAACTAATCATTTTGATTGAAAGTTTCCAGTTTTGTTTCTCAACGAAATTAAATCAATCCCGTTTAATTTGGTTCTTTTCGAGATAATTAATTTAGATTTTGATTGTTAAATGTTAATTGTAATTTTCGTTTTCATAGAAAAATTTGATTTCCTTGATTCCTTATTCTTCATCATCTTTAATCATTATGATTGATCATCATCTCCATTGATCCAGTTCGTGTGTGTATATGAGTTAAGCCGCTTTTGAATTAACTTTAATTGTAAAGAGTTAAAAAGTAAATCAAATCAACAATCAAGGAATAAGAAACATACACTTGATTGTATTTATAAAAAAAGATCTGATTCTTAATTGTGATCATGATGATTAACTAGAATGATAATTGAGATGATAAATCGAGAGGTTTATTAATCATTAAGATGATCAAGGATTAAACAATTGTTGATGTGATTAACTTAACCACGATTTTTGATTGTCAATCAAATTATTAATTATAATCTCACTAATCATGATCAACTAATCAATTTGATTACAATCTGATGAGATTTATTATCTTCTATTTTAATCATTTGTGATTTAATTTAACTCGACTAATCAATCAGATTATCCGTTAATTGTCCGTTAATTGTCAATTCCAATGAAACAATTAACTAATATTCATAATATAAAGTGACTAATTAACAAAAAAGTGATTACAATTTAATTACTTTGATTAAGAATGTGAATTAATTTAATCAAGACACTTAGAAAGAGTTTAATTGTTCAATTAATTGAAAAGGTCCAATAATTAAAGTTAATTGTTCCAATGAATAGATTTGATAAATTAGCTAATTACAATTTACGATTGTTACTTAATTGTACCTTCAGTTTAAGGTTGACAGTCTTAATTGTTACATTGATTATCTTGTCAAAACAATCATAATAATCAGTTAATTGTAATCAAATTTGCCTAAAGTAATAATAATCATCATGTTTCAATTGAAATTATCAAATTAATTTAATTTATGATTAATAAATAAGGAAAAGTTAACCAACAACAATACGATTAAAATTAAATTTAATTGTAGAAAAAAAAGTGAAACAATTTATTATATAATTAATATGATCTTTTTTTTGACTATTTAATTGTACCAACAATCAAAATTGATTGTTACTTAAGACTGAATAATAGCTCATTAAAAGGAGTGGTAACATCGCAACAATTAAGTAAACACAATTAATTGTGATTTAGTTTGAAATTGAAAAAATTTTAATACAAAATCAGCCGATTGAGATTCTTAATTGTCCATGATAACTAATTAACTAGACAATTTAGGTTTGGTTGTTGATTCACAATTAAGGTTAAGGTTTTTGTTTCACATTTCGGGCTAAACAATTTACTTGATTGTGTTCAAGTGATTTACCTTGATTTACATCAATCAAAAATACTAATCACGAAATTTAACAAAACTGAAAAGTTTAATATTCAGAGAGAAGATGATTAAGATTTTTAATTGTGATTAAAAATTGATTACAATCAATTGGCAAATCGTAAATGAATCAACTATCATATCCAACAATCAACAAATAACGTGAGATTATTTCAGTTAATTTAGATTAACCATTGATCACAATCAACTTTCAAACCATAAGCACAATTAACTTGATCATCTTTTTTTTTGCAACAATTTGATTGTTATTCCAATGATTAAACAACATTAACAATCTTAATAAAGATGAAAGTTAAATCATGATTAAGTTAATTGTAACATTTGCCGACATTGTAACAATCAATTTCCGTTAGAAAGTTTTCTTAATCATCTTAATCATGATTATCTTTATCATTATTCATTCCTATTCATTAAATAATACAATTAAAGATGATTATCTTAATCAACATCATTAACATTATCATCTTCATCACAATTACTAACCTAGTTAATCATTAAACAAATCAAATCGGATGATTTAAATTGTTCAACAATTGGATCTATTTTATGGTGAAAGTTTTCATTTTAATTGTTACTTTGATTGTTGATCTTTCTGTTGTTGTTGTTTTGGTTGTTTGTTCAAGAAATCAATTGATTCACTTTTCACAATTAACCTTGAAATTGATTGTTACACTTTGATTGACCTGATTGTGATAATATTGTGTTAACAATCAGGATAATCAATTGATTGGTAAATGATCCGAGATCGATATTGATTCATTTTTGTTTGATCAAAGTAAATCCTTTCATCTAATTGTTTTCAATCAATTTTTTAAGGTCAAAATAAATGGTTAACAATTAAGAAATGATGATAAACATGAAAACAATCATCGATATAAATATAAACAATTAAGCAATATAATAATAAAAAAGGAGGCAAATTAAATGTTCATTAGTGTTGGATGACTATTAACCAAGTTAATTTGTCAATTGTAAACAATTAACAGTTAAATGATGTTGATTTTTTGTTTTTGGTGTTTCACATTATCATCAATAAATCAATGATGTTAATGTGAAAGTTAATTGTTACTTGTTCAAGAATAACAATCAAGATACACTTAGATTGTTAGTTATGATTTAAAGCTTCCTGATGATTAGTTTTTACAAATTGTGTTTCTTTTTGATAATAACAACAATCAGTAAATCAGGTTCATCAGACCCTTGATCAAATTGTTGACTCGCTTCAATTGTTAACTTTGATTTTCCACCATTAAAATCAAATGTTGATTGTTTATCCTCCAAATAGTTAAGTTTAATTTGGTTTCCCTTGATTCTGATTAATTTTGGTTTCATCCAATTTATGAACCAAAGATCTGTGACTGATATAATTGTGGTGATAACATGTAATCAACTTGAGTGATTGACATTAAATTAGTTGATTGTTATTGTTTAGAGTTTGGTCATTTCCGATCATCCATCCATTGAGAATCTGTTGTGTCAAACAATTAAAATAAATTGTTATTAGAACCAAGAAAAAGTGAAATTTAAAAATTTTTCATCTTCTTCTATTGCAAATCTTAATGGAATGTTAATTTAATTGTTGACCATTTGATTAATATTAATTAGATTACCAGTTGATTGTTGTTGTCCTATTGGTATTACAACTTGTTAAGTAAAGTTGATTGTGTCTCATGCTGATACTTTTTGATTAGATAATTAATTTATCCTCAATGATTAGTATGTTTACCTTTTTTCTGCTGCTAATTTAAAAGGTAGAAATGATGATTAACTAAATACGAGTGAAAAATGATCATCAGAATATAACAATTTAAATACAATTTACATCAATCATTTCAGTTGGAAATTATTTTCGCCTCAATTTATCATGTCTCTCTCTTGATATGTTGTGATCATCAACTGACAAATAACAATAATATTAACATTGAATTGCAAATTGATGATGATGATGATGATGATGATGATAAAGATGACGATTAGGATTAAGATGTTAGAGAACAAAAAAAATCAGTAAACATTTAAATATTTACCCAAAGGAAAATGCTAAGAATATATTAATATGATTGTAATTATCTCACCACCATCACCATCGCCGACAACAAAAGGTAAATAAAAGATAAATAGAGAAATAAACAAATACATAAGAAGATGATGATGATGATGAAGGAAAAAAATGCTTCAAGTTGTAAAAAAAGATGAAGATGATGAGTGAAGATGAGGTTGACTGACCAAAGGAAGAAGATGAAGATAAGGAGGATAAATTTTGTAACCAGACTGTAATTTATCAAGACCACCAGGTAAGTTGCGTCAAAGACCCAGCCTTAACGGTCTAAAGATTAAGATGAAGATAAAGATGATGATAGAGAGAGAGAAGATGAGGTTCAAGAGGAATCAGGTATTCGATTTAAAATAACCTAGAAAATTGAGTAATAAATGATGAGGATGATGGTTGATTATTGAGGAGAGAAAAAGAAACAAAATTGATAGTGAAGAGAAAAAGGGAAAATGATGTAATAATTTTCTTGCTAGAGAATTGAAAGATTATGATTATGATGATGGTGATGGTGAGATTAAGATGATAATGATTATTACTGTGATGATGATAATCTTTTGGAGTAAGATGTCAAAAGTTATTCGTTTGATGGTTTTAGCCTTTTTGTTACCAAATTAAACGCTTGTCTTTGGATCCATTAGTTATTGTTATTATTTGGTATTCACTTTAACCATTGTAACCTCAATGTTGTAAATTCACAAGTCAAGGTGAATCGTGTTCCACCCTGCCTATTAAACCGGTGGTCTTTTACACCGCCCCGGCTTCTTTATCTTCTTCGATTGTACCATCCATAACATCATCATCATCATCATCATCATCATCTATCCATCGTCTTTGGCCTGTTTCACTTTGGACTGGAAGATTGGGAGAGATGAGAGGTTAGAGGTTTTTGTGAATTTGGAAACAAAAAAATTGTAGTCACGATGTTGAAATTTACTCCTCATATCATCAAGTGTGGGGATCATAACGTTGCTTCAATTATCGTCTCCATGTATCTCCAGTGTGTTTAATATACATCCACAAACGATTACACAATTAACAGCATAGAATATAAATGATTTACATTACGATTTTAAATGTTCTTCATTTTAAATTTAATATCAAACCAAGATGATTATTTTTTTTTCTGTTGTGAGAAAAGTGAACAAGAAAAATGATTAGTCAACTTGACGATTTTTACTTACTTGTTATAAGTGAACACACAGATTGTCTTTGTAATAATTAGAAAATTAAAATAATCAGGAATTAAAAGAAATAAATTAAATTGTTTGAAAGAATTTAATTAATTAAGGAAACAATGAAAAGAGAAAAAAAAATTAATGAGAAAATTATGCTTTGGAGATCAGCTGATTATGCTTTTCGTTTCTTTGTTCTGATTGGCGGTCAATTGTTTTCTCTTTTCTTGTCACTTAAATTCAATTGATTAGTTGATGTTTTTTTCTCAAGTGTAATCAGGTGAATTAACTAATTCTTCTTAATAACTTAATCATGTGAAAGTGTTTATTATTTATCCTCAGGACATTGACCACCAACGGCTATTTACTAGTTAACCTGTAAACTTGGTTTCCCTTGATGGTTTTTCGCTTTTCTCTTCCTCCCACTTGACCCAACCAAGGTGAACATATTATATAGTTTTCTCCTATCTAATCATGAGGAGAAGATAATAATTGATAGATGAAGATAAACAGGTAAGAGATGAGAGAGAGAGAGAGAGAAAAGAAAACACCCCAAAGTAATGTCTTAATTTGGACTAACTCTCCAACTCCCCATATGATTATATAGCTCACAATGATTACCATTATTGTTCGGAATTTTTTTCTCCATCTTTTTTTTTTGTCTTTTCTCAGGTCAAAGGAGCCAAATTAGGATAGAAGAGAGAGAGAAAATGATGCCTAGGAAGTATTTGGCCCACCCAAATAAAAAGAAAAGAAAAATTGTAAGTAAAGATATTATGTTATTTGTGAAGGGGAACAAGTTGAAATTTTCTCTCATTCGTACAGAGAGGTAAGGTTAATATCAATGGACCTAACCCATATTCAACCTTTGATTTTAGCCGATTCAATGAAGATTTTACCTCAGATTCTTATATCACTATCATCATTTTCATCTTATCTTTTCAGATATTTACAGGGAATATGTACTTACCCTGCCTACCTTATGGCTCATCACTGTCAATAAGTTTGAAGATGTTGTTATTGCCTCTTTTCATTTTGAGATCTTCATTTAACCTGACGAACGTATCTCTCTCTCTCTCCTATTCCTCTCCTCTCTCTCTCTCTCTCTCTCCATCATCCCAAACCTTACCCATCACGTTTTCAACTGTCTGGGTGGTTTTTTGGTTCATACCTGTGCTTGTTATTGAAAGAGGAGGAAGAGCGATAAAAAAAGGAGAAGGAGGAAGCTCTGGATTAAGATACTAAGGCGTTTATACTTTCAACAGCCAACGGAATTACCTGGTCACTGTGTTAACTTATTCACCAACAATAGATTATCCCTTTGACCGATCATTAACCAATTTACCATTGATCACAACGGGAAAAAGTCAAATTGACAAATTGTACAACTATTATTTTCAGATTATCCAGTTGACACATAATTAAGCTCGTTATCACAATCATCATCACCTTGAAAACAGGATTAACCTAAATCACCATAACAAGTTGTGACACATTGAGATTGATTATCAAATTTGGTCAAATTTGTATACATATTTAGCTGATGGACAAAAAAAACAGTTGACATGACAGATTAATGGAAATACGGATAAGATTAAATTGTGTGAATTTTCACATGATTATTAATCATACGCTAATCATATCAACCAGTTAAATTACGATAATCATCCGAAAGTTGATCCGTACACAGTTGAGATGTGTAGTGACAGTGGGAAAGGTTAATTTAAAAGTTTAAATATTCAAGTTGATACCTTGATGAGGAGCAATTAATTTTTGATATGCATAAATACAATTAATTTTGTACGTTAATTTAGTCCAACAACAACAAGATGAAGCAATAGACCTCAACAAAATGAATGGTCAACCAGTTCTGATGATTACCAATCAAGGTAATCATGTATTATATGAATATATAAGTTAGTTAATTGTTCATATGGAGATTTTTTTTTCTTCATCATTTCATTTTAGATTAATAATTTTTTTCTTCTTCTTTATTTTTCTCATCCTCATCATTAGATAACATCTCGGAATCAACAACATCCTTTATCATTAATGGTATCACAGGATAATCATTTTGTTCAAGTTAAATCAGTAAAAATTAATCTTCATCATTTTGACTGATAATCGTGAGACCCACCACAGGTTAATATACATTGTGGTATTAATATTATTAAGATATTAACCACAATTTAAAGCCAATGAAATATAACATCAATTGATTGTTATGAAAATCATTTTCCAGGATATTTTGTTTTCTTTGGGTTTAAACAGCAATCAAAATAATCTATTAACTATCAAATTAATATGATTTGATTTGGTTAACTGAAAACCCTGTGGTTTTATTTTTCTCAATAATATTCATCAATTTACCTCCAACTTATTAGATAATAACAACTATTCAAATATATTAATCATGATTTTGAAATTTAACTTATATTTCAACTTCAAATTCAATTTCTGTTAACCAAAATAATAGATCACTTTTATTATTACTAATCCTAATTCATCAATTCTAAACTATAATATCAAATGTATCTGAATCGATGTAGAAAATTAGGTTAATACAATTACGATTATATTTAACCTTAACTAATCAGTTAACCAAAGATTATCACGTTTATTAATCACTAATCAATTCCTATTCCTAAATAAGTCATGTAGATGATGAGAGTTAATGGTAACAATTTAATTGAACATTAACTTGATTTGATTTACATAGATATTCATTTTTTAATCACAGTTAATTTCCTGTTCCTATTGATAATATCACAACAATTTAAATAATCATCATCTCTCAGCTTGAAACATTTAAACATCTTAATTCAGTTTTCACTGTTAATCAATGATCTCAATCAGTTGATTGCTCATCATATTTTTTTTAATACCTTTTCGTAGGCGAAAGTAATTTAATACTAATCTGACGTCATTGAATCAGATTGAAATTTAATCATTTTATTCAATTCAATTCATTCATTATTCAATTCTCTTAATAATCATTCTAAATTCAAATTTAATTTCTCTAATATCAACTTTTAAACATCTAATTCAATTTACTAAAGCTGTTCTAAATCAAATGATCTGAATCTTTTAGTTCTTCCTAGAAATTAGGTTTCTTGATAATCTTCGCTCAGACAACTAATCGATCAATCAATTAATCTATTAACATTCAATTTGAACATTTTTCCTCAACAATCAAACAATTAATTCTAATATAATCTTCTTAATTGTTACAGGTTTAATTACAATGGTTTCCCTCCCGATTCCTGGGATTAATTGTTGAAAGTTATCATGATTAACTTTAATTTGGAAGCCAATGATTGTCATAATAATTTGACAGGAATACACAAAAGATTATCATTCAATTTATTAATTGTTACAATCCAGTTAATTTAAAATTCTTAACCATAATCCAGTTATACTCTGAAATAACGGTAAACAGTTAATGGTAACAATTTACACTTTATCCTTGCTAATCACGTTTCAATGGTTAATTTAAAAACAATGATAAAGATAATGATTAAGCTTTTCCATTGTTATTATATATACGATACAGATTAGACAAAGTAATCAAATTAACTAACAATCATAATTAGTGTTGGAAAATTATTTTAAATTTTCTGATATTAAACTGGTTTAAATTTGATTCTGTATTGTTTTTGTTTTTGTAGGTTAACCTGATTAACTGATAACAATTTAACAACACAAAAATTAAAGGTAAAATTAACTCTCATCTTTTTATATTTAAACTGTAACAACCATTTAATAAGGTGTAAAAATTAATATCAACAATTAACTAATTCTAGTTGAAACAATTAATACATTTTACGTTCAAATGACTAAATTTAAATCACTCAACATTTAGTAATCAACTTAAAATCATAATCATCATTTTGATTATTCAACAACATTCAATGATAATTAGTTTAATTGTAACTTAATGATAATTTTTGTGATTTACTAATTTAGTTAAGGTAAAAGTTTTCATTTTCAAGATTTGATTTGATTTGGGGTTTTAATTGTTGTCGATCAAATAATCAATTGTTTTGTGTCCTTAATTTTTTGGATTAAACTGATTCACTGATGTTGATTATTTATAATGATGATTTAACAATTAGTTTGCTAAAGAAATCAAATCAATGATGATTAACTAATGAGCTTTTGTTTTTTTAATAAGTTTTGATTTCTTGATGTTTTTCAACTTGATTCTGATTAAATTAACTTTTAATTGTTCACGATCAATTGTGGTTACAGTTAATTGTAATAACCCGCAGTTCGTGAGTTATTATTATCAAAAAAAGACTAATCATCAAACAATTTACAGAAAATGATTAAAACCTTTGCAATCAAATGAAGCAAAAGTAACAAGAGTTAATTGTTTAAATAATAATCAACTGATTGTTTCCAAATAATCAACAACAATTAAGGGACCAAGGAAGCTGATTCCGTTATAATTGTAATTGTAATTGTAATTGACTGACCAACAATTTACTTGATTGATATTAACTTTTATATTGTTAACTAATCGTGATCACAATCAACATCAAAATCATAATCATTATTAATCATGATAATATTAATAATCAAACAACATGAATCACAATTAAGATTAACAAATAATACAATTGTAATTGTCATTATGTGTCTCATGTCAAATTGTAATTGTTATGATTTAATAATTGTAATAATCAAATTGAAATGATAATCCAATGAACATAATCAACACAAATTCTGAAAAATATATGAATAATTAAATTTAATTATTCATCAGCAACAATTTGAATTAATTGTTTCTGTTTTCAACTGAATACAAACTTGAACAATTTATTAATATTTTCTTATTGATTGTTGAAATATAAAAGTTTAGGTTAATGATTAATTATCATTAACAAATCGTGACAAGTTAATCATCATTCACAATTGAGATAATATTATTGATTGTTTACTTTTTAATTACAATTTAAAGTTAATCAATCAAACAATTTTCTCAAATCATCAAAGTTAAACATCACTCTCTGTATGTGATCAAATGTAAATACAATAATAATAATCAGTGAGGATGATGATCAACGATGACAATTAACATTTGAATTAAATCAATTTACAACAATTAAGAACTGATAATAAATAATAATAATGATCAACAATCAAGGTTAATAGTTAAACTTTCCGATAATCAGTTGGAAACTTTTTCTTTCACTTTGATTGTTAATTTCATGATTAACTATTCATCATTTATGATTGAATCATCTTTAATTATACAAATTGTCATGAGAACAATTAACTTAATTGTTGTAAAAGAAACAGAAAAAAAAACTAAACCCACTCGATTATTCAAATTGACCATTGACTTTTTTGGCTCTTTGGGTTGGCGACATTTACTTATTGTTGTTAATCAAAATTTTCTTAATTGTTGTTGATTTAATTTTCTGTTTAGGCGGTTGACCTTTTAAGGTCTTCATCTAGAGCCCTCATTTATTGACCTCTGGTCTTTGATTAGTTGATTAGCTTAATGATTATCATTTGAAATTCTGATTGTTGTTTTGTTTTCAATTCTCTGTCCAAATATTGACTAACTAATCAAATCTTTTGCCCACCGAGTTGATAATTAACTTTTCTGACAGAAAGAGACGCTGATTCAATGGCGGTGGTCTATTCCCACCTTCATCTTTGGGATGATGAAGATCATCATCATCATCATCATCATCATCTCCATCATCTTCTTCCTCCTCCTCTTTGATTTGTTTTGTTTTTCTCCATCATAATAATAGAAACCAGAAAAAGAATTTAAATTTTCATCATTTAAAACTTTTTTCTTTCTTTTCTCTCTAATTCAATTGTTCGTATCTAACAATTAATAGATACTCTGTATCTTAATTACACCCATGTAGGTATTATAATTAAGATTATTCTCAGACTAATCTATTCTTTAATTTCAATTATCTCTCTCCTACCTGTTTCTCCTCTCAGAATGAGTGAGATTTTACATTCTAAATCTATTAGTTTCGATTAACTTACCAACTTAATTAACATTGTGAAGACATAATTAAACCTCCTCTCCCTTGTTAGAAAAGTTAATTAGTATATCTAGAAAGAAAAAGAAATCTAATTAACTTTAATTCTTATATTATTACTTCTTAATCAATGGCCTGTCTATTTATTATAATAGATTTGACCACCAATGGTCAGTAAGAAACAAAAAACCATCATCAAAGTTTAAATTTTCACAATTGCGGGAAAATATTAACAATTTTGATTATTACACAATCCAAACTGTAATTATGGTTAATTGTAATTTCAAATCTCTCAAATTATAACCCAAACAATTAACAATCACATTACAGGATAACAATAAGTTTCGATATTGAAAATAAAAGATCAATTCAAGGATAATCTTAATTTAGATTCGGATATTGATTGACAATTGTGCTTGACAATTTGAATGCTACAAGTTGGACAATCAGTTGAATCATATTAAGATGTGACATTTAATTTACTTTGAATTAATTTCAATTTAACTTGATGTGTGAATAGTTTAATATGATTATCCAAATTCAATTGAGCAGTTCAACTAATCAAATGTAACTTCAAGTCATTGAGAGCGGGTAAAGATCATCAAGCTGAAAGAGCTCAGGTTTTCACGTGTTGATTCAAACTTGATGATTAAGATAATTTAATTATAATCGTTGTAATAATGATTACGATTACATCGGGATTAAGTGGATTTATGAACCAGGAAATATGCTCATGGTTCATGGGAAAGCGAAAGGTGTAAATGATGAACTTGAAAAAAAGGAGAAAATTTTCTTACCGTCAATTGTGATTCCATTACGGTGATGATTATAATCATCATCGTAATGATGGTGATGATTAAACTTGATTATTACAATTCTACAACAACAATCAACAGCTCCGGAAGTTTCACCGGTAGAATCAGTAAATTGTTTAAATCAGTAATTTACAATTTAACTTTTGCCAATTTTGAAAAAACTTTCCGTTCATTGGGATAACCTGTTTTCCTTTATTGTTTGATTGTAGATCTTTAATTTTGCTAATCATTACTGAACAATCAACTGATATTGAATTAAATTATCAACCATTGATAGACAATAAATTACAATTAAATTTGATTGCTTCTTCTTATAATCATCATTCAATAATAACACAATTATACAACAATCAACTTGAATTGATTATTGTAATTTTCATGAACCTTAGGATTTTCTTAGGAAATTTAATTTAATTTATTCAATTAAATATTCATGTTAACAAGTTGATTATTAAAGTTATTGATGATTAAATAATACCTTTTGATTGTATTGGTAAGCAATTTACATATAAATCACAAGCAAACAATTTAAATTAAATCATAAATCTCAATGAATTTTGGTTCATTGTTAAGCTAAACTTTTGTCAATACAAATTTAGACTTGAAATGATTAAATTAAATTGTTTTCTGGCGATTAAGGTTGATTGTGATTCAGTTGATTCACTGATTGTTTTCTTAAAATTTTAATCATCTCATTTTCTCCCAGCTAATCATCAAAATCTAACCTGAAAATCTGTTTCATATTAATCATATGAAAGTCTACCTACAGATAGAAAAGGAAAATTAATTAATTGTTATCAACAATCAAGGTGATTTGTTTTTCTTTTCCTTTAATTTGATACAAATACTTTATATTTCTTAATTAAAACAAATTGTTATTCTGTCCAATTTACTTTGATTGTGGGTGATCAATATCCTTTTGTATAAATGGCTTGTTAAGAGGTAGAAATTAATTGTTAACAATTAATAAAATAAAAAACAACAAATTAGAAAATTAAAAAATATGAGATCAATGGTAAGAAAAGTGGATTAGATTAAGAGGATAATACAATTAATACTTGAAACAATATGTTAACTGTTGAGATGATAAAACAATAAGAGAAATTGTAAATGATAATCATCAACAAAATTAGTTGATTAACACGAAAAAAAAAATTAGAACATAACAGTTAAGATTATATATTGTTCATAACGAGTTAAATTGTTGCTGGAAGCATTTAACGTGAGAATTGACGTTCCAAGGTGTGGTTAATTGTTGATGTTGGTGTTGATAGAAACACCATAATATATAAAAATAGTCAACACCAAGAAAAGAAATGATTAGTTGGTTTAATTGTGGCTGTTGTTGATTTAGTAATCACTTTGCATTGGATATAATTAAGAAGGTTGTCTGGATTAAAAGATAAGCCAGAAAGATTAAAATCCTAATCCATTGATCAACAGGTAAGTTTAGATTTCCATTGATGTTTTCCTTTTGTTTCAATCTAAATAGAGAAAGTTGAAGAAGAAAAAAAAAGATCAACAATTAATATTAATACAGTTAATAATCAAACTAATGGTCACTCTCGATTGGTGATAAAATTAGTGGACGAACCTTGATGATTTATTAATACTCTTTGTGGTCAGTTAATTTGAATGCATATTAATTATTATGATGATCCTTTGGTCAATCGGTTGATTGTTGAGTCTCTTTTGTTTACCAAATTTTGGCTCATTGTTTTCATCAATTTATTCACTTGGATTAATAATTTAGTAGATGATTAGGTTTATATTGTTTCTAATCCATTCTCTTCAGTCTATCTAATCCTTATCACCACCGTAACCAACATGACCACTACTTCATCACCACCACCTCCACCTCCACCTTGATCTAAACCCTTGATTGTTGTATCATCATATTGCATCAGATCGTTTACCTGTCAAGGTATTTAACATATGAATAGTTACCTGAATGAAAGGAGGGTTTGGTTAAATTTGATGAAAGAATAGAAAACAAAAAATAGAGAGAAAAATAATTAGATAAAAGAGAAATTAACATTTGATCAAAAGATATAATCAGTTGATTGTTATGATGAGATTAACATCAATGGAATTAGAAAAGTATAAGCAAATGGATACAAACCATTGAGGAGAAATTAAAAAACAAATCAGGTTACAATTAGTGTTCTAATTAATATTATCTATTGAATTAGAATTAGTTGAAAATCAATATTAGTTGATGATTGAAGTTGTCATGTTGATTTTTCATCAGAAAAGGTCAACTGATTTAGCGGGAAAATTATCTCAGTTTCTATTCTTATATATAATCAGATTCTGATATTAAAGATATGAAAATTACTCCAATGAGCGATTAATTATTTCATTGATTTAATTGGAAACTCATCAGCTTTTATCACCTTGTTGATTGTAACCTTCATTTCTTTCACCGGGGATAATGATTACAATTGAATAACAGTCAACTATTTATAAAACTGCTGCGAATGGTTTGATTAACTGTTGAGATGATCATTGAACCAATAGAAATTAATTAAATCATTTCAAGTGTAACTCTTGATGGTGTAGTTTTTTTTTATATGTTGTTGATGTTATTTGGCCTTTCATATTTTATAGTCTTTAATTTACAATCCAAAGAAATAATATAAGGAAAGGAGCAATAAGAAATCAGCAAAACAAAAAGATTATCATTTCTATCAATTAGATTTTGACAGATCTTTTTTTCTTTCCCAATTTTGTTTTTGTTAATTGTTAATCAGGTTAAGGTGAGCCATTGCCGTTAGTAGCCAAATGATTCTTGATGCTGGTTGTAGATTTGTTAAAGTGGAGGTGGTGGTTTGTGGTTGTGGTGGTCAAGTCTGTAAGTTGAAAATCTTTTCATTGATTCGTTGATAAAGAGTCACGATTAACATTGAATATCTTAATATTAATTGAACAACACCCAAATTAATGCTGTTTTCAATTTGTTAATATACAATTTGCGGTTTTGCTCTTGGTGTTTGGATGTTATTGTTTGATATTAATGGTAGTTTTTAAAAATTTAAATTAGATTGTCATCAAATTATTGTTTTTTAGCCGTCGTCGTTGATTTGTTTGTCTTGAATTGTTTTATTTCAATCATCGATAAATTCTTGATAAACTTCTCATCGAAGAAATGAGTAATTTTATATTGGTTGCTCTATGGAAAAAAAAGAGAATAAGGAAAAGAAATTTACATTATTTAATTAAGATTGACTGTTATTTGATTATTGACTTACTTTTTTATAGTCTCATAGAATTCTTGTAATGATTGTGGAGCTGATTCTGGTGTTACTGGGTGTAAGTGTATTGAAACAGCTTGTAAAGTTTTCTCCAACCATTGAAACTTCGAGTTTTATCCCAAGTTAACAAATTCCATAAAATGTCAGCCATGTCAGGAATATAAAATGATGGTAATGTGACGAGAGCACAATTCATCAAGGTGTTTACTAGTTTCTGTCCGTAACAAGTATCATTTCCCATGCAACCGGTTAACAATTGTTCAACCTGATCACGAACAATTGGAGATGAATTAGTGTTTTTACCAGCACCCGCACTAATTAGTTCAACTATGAATTTACAGACAGAGGTGATACCATCTCGATGTTCTAAGGCTAGTGAGGCTAAAGATAATTCAAGAATTTGACCAAGCAAAGAGAATGAAAGGAAACGCTGCGCATTTTTCTGCAAATACCTGTTCAAACAAAAGAAAAAAGGAAAAAAATCAGTTAGAATTGTAAATGATTATTGGCAATAAAATGTTATAAGATAATTTACCTGGTACAAAGTCTAAAAAAGTCGTCAATAGTTTCAGGATGATTTCTTAAATCTACCTGTTGTCCAGTAAGGAGAGCACAGGTCGGTCTCCAAAAATGTGTCAACATTTCTAAAAGACCATTGTCAATCTTTTCTCTGTCTATATCCGTTAGTGATAAATCTCGGGTATCACCAAATTCATCAACCAAAATGGAGGCTAAATAAAGGTAACATGAATGTTGTGGAAATTGGGAGTAAAGGTTGACAATACATTCAGCAACCGGAATAAGAAGATGAATTGGTCTTAAACATCGTATCACATAGCGAAGACATCTACAGGATTTCTCAACGGTTCGAGCATCACTTGTACTTGAACTGTGTTTGAGAACCGCATCAATCAATTTCCATAGCTCCATTACTCTTACATCCAAAGGAGATTCGTTAGAAGATAAATTGGGAATCCTTGGTTTAAGTCGTAAACCTCGGAAAATTGAAGATATTCTATCCATGTAAACAACTGGATCGGGTTTACCATGTTCAACGGTTCCACTAACAATTCGACTTAGACGTTCAATATTGGGCTCCAAAAGTTTTACGATAACAATTTCTTGGTCTATCCGTGTTTTGTTTTCGGTTGATTGGCTTACAACAGTTGAACAACATTGAAGTAAATTATGTGTCGCTGCTTCATTGAGAACATCAGCTTGTATACAGATTTGCATTAACAGTTCAATGATACTATCATTTCCAATAAGATGCCTTGAAGCACAACAGCCAACAATTTGATGTAAAGATGAGGCAGCAATTGATGAAAGGCTTACATTTGATTCTGATGAGCAAGCGGCTTTGGACAATTCAACCATAGACTTTTCTTGAGAATTGTTGGTGATTAAAGGTAAGAGGTAGTCAAGAACATGATTAAATAAGATTGTAGGTTGATTTTCAAACCAATCACTTAATTCACCTAATATGTTACAACAGGTAGCAAATATTTGTGGATGAAGGGATCGTAACTGTCCACCAGTATTAGGATTAAATTGACATTGGCGGGTGAATAAAATGAGGTTAACAGTATCAGTGACCAAAGCTGCATCTTCATAAATATCTTTGATAAGGCAAAGTATCATGAAAAGATAAGCTTCATCTTGCTCCCAGGAACCTTGATCTTTACTCATTTGACCCAAAGAGGCTTTCAAACTGTTAACAATGTTGTTATGGCGAAGATAATTGGAAGCACCAACGATTAAGACTACCTTTTTGACTAAATCTCTGACTCTTATACGAAATTCTTGTAGATCTGATTGTGGACTTAATAGACTTTCTTGATCCGTGTCTAATTGACAGTGAACTGTTAAACCATCCAAAAGTTTCATTACATGTTGACTGTAAGTAACGGCGACGTGATTATTACGTTTATTAAGAAGATCTGCAAATCGATACCAGAATTGGAAAGTTATCTCAGCCACCTCATAATCATAATGATCAACACAGCGTAATACAAGGTTAACCAAATTGATACCAGTGACTGGTGAATTAACGGGCATTTGATTATCTCCAATAATTAACGGAGAGACAACTGACTCTGCCATTTCGGTGAATATTCGGCTAAAGTTGACTGATTTATCGATGTCTTCATTATTAACAGAATGTTGATAAACTCCTTCTAATTGGTAAATTTGAATCAACAGATAATGAGTTAAATGTTGGTATTTTTCATACTCTTCACATAAAAGTGCAGCACTACAAATTGTATCAGCTGCAGCATCATGAATTGTATCAGGAGTTTTTGGATCTTGAAGTGAACCAAAAATTGAGGTTAATAATGGCTCAATACAATTAATATCACTAGCATCAATTATGGTTAACCAGGCTCCTAGACATCGATATATTTTGGCAACTAATTTTTCAGCCAATTGTTGTGTTGATTCAGGCTCATCTGATTCATTACCATGTAATTGGTGTTTCACCTCTGATAAGGTATTATTTAAGAAGGGAATTATTTTAGGACCAATACTAGTAAGATATTTAAGCATCACAACCCTTCTACTATTACCAACAGTTTTTAAATTAGGATTTCTAGATTGATTAAGCTCTTCTGGTAGTAAAGTCAACATTTCAACCACCACATACCAGTCAAGGCCACTGGCAACCAATTCCTCGACAGGATTAGACCAAGAGGCATCTAAAAATAGAGATGAAAAAAAAAGTTATAAATCGATCATTAAAAAAAAAGTATTAGAATATTTATAATTTGAATATAAGAAGATAAAGTTGAAAAATGTATTGAGATTTGGAAGCTGAGCGATTATCGTGATTGGTCGAGTTAGATTATGAATTACTTACCTAAAATAGCTAAATAAGTAAGACATAGAGCTAATTGGGTTTGTATAACTGGAACATTTATCTCTTTACAGTGATTAATTACTGAGTTTCGAAGTGCTGTATATGAATCAGGTGGAAGCTCATTGAAGCTTGTTTGTAATTTCGTCCGTAAAGTTTGGGCAGCATAGCAACACGATTCAACATCCTTTTTCCTGAGCAACAGTTGATCAGCGATTTCCCAGGCGAAGACACTTTTCTGAACAACTTCAAGCCAACTTCCGGCAATCTTTTTAGCCTCTTTATCGGTGCAAACTTCATTCCGATAGAATCGATCAATAGCCTCTAATACTTGATCAAGGCTTGGTGGTGAGGTGATCTCAGTAAGAGACATGTTATTTTAGAGAAGAAAGAAAGAAAGATAGATAGATAATGATGATTAAAGATGATGGCAAAAACAGAGAAGAAGAAACCAAAGTGGTAAGGTAAATATCCTTCAAAATATTTCTCTCTCTCTCTTTCCGAGATGTTGTTGTTGTTGTCGGCTCCTTGTTGAGGCAGAAGATGATGATGAAAGGACAAAAAGAGAGAAAGAAAAAAAGAAAGAGGTAGATAAAGGAGAAAGAGAAGGTGAAAGAAGAGGCACACAAAAAATAGAACAGAAAAAAATAGGAGAAAAAGAATAGAAAGAGATGATGGTTTAAGTAATTAAATTAGAAAAAAACTGATGATAAACAGAATTTTCAAGATCAATTATAAAACAGGGAACAAAATGAATTATAAAATAACATTTTCGCAAATTACAATTAAATAGATAATCATACAATCACAGAAGAAAAAAAATCCACAAGAAAAACACAACAACCGATTAAACCGATGTCAGGACTAAACATCTTCCTCTTCCCAATGGTTGATAGAAGATAAAAGCATTTTATAGAAAAAATCACTATAATTCACACTTAAAAAAGAAAAGGAGTTAAACTGGTCAAGATAATTAACTTTTTTTCTAATTGTAACTGTTTAACTTGTGTTTAAAAGAAGATGAGAATTTGTAACACTTCAACTAATTGACAATTGATCACCAGAGAAAAGAAAGAAAAAAAATTAATCCAGTTAAAGGGAGAAAAAAGAAAATTAAATTAACTTGGAAGTGGAAATGGAAACATCCAGAAGTAGAATCATAATCATCATTTAAATTAAATAGTGAAGACAATTAAGGTGAATTTTTCTTCTCTCTGTTCAAGATAATTAACTAATTAACTCTAATTAAAACGGTAAGTCGATGGTTAGAACAATTAAATAAATTGTGTCTATTTTTTGTTCGCATCAAAAGATTTAAATGTTTTTTTCCATAACCGAAAAAGAGAAGAGAATTTTTTTTCTGCTCTCAAAATAGACTTTGCTTTTTAAAAGAATTCGTGAGAATAGCGAATTGATTGAGTTGAGTTTTCTTAGTCTTTTTTTCATCTGGTTAATCATGATTGTTAATTGTTGATTTTTTTATGTGTATTAATCATTTATTTGATTTATTAATTAGTTTCTAGGGTTAGGTTAGAAGTGTCATTTTCTTCAAACGGTTGATAAAGAATCTTACCTCACCTTTTAGTGTGTTTAGTTGTTTATTTTTCTCAAATTTTTTTTCTTTTCTCTTTTTCCATAATGAACTATAAACTCCATCATCATCAATTCCAATCAAATACTAAATTACGATCTTCAATTCTTTTTGTAATTATTCTTTTAACAATTATTAAGGAAACTGCTAGTGATGAACATGACCATAAGGTAAATTTAATTTTAATTTTCTATTCTTTTTTCTTTCTATCTCTATCTGTGTCTGTGTCTCTCTTTCTTTTTCTGTTTCTCGTGTCATCAGATTTTCCAGTTTCATCTTTTTTTCTCTTTCTCTTTTTCTCTCTCTCTCTCTCTTTTCTCTGTATCATGAATTCTAATGAATTTTCTTAATTTTCTCTTTAATCTTCATACCATTTGACTGATTCCATTTCATTTGGCATCTCATTGGTTTAAATCGGTCAATTGATCCTCTCACATGAAACCTAAACAAATACCAACTTCAACTTGGACGCCATGATGTTCATCTATTTTTCAGTATGATGATAACGATGAAGTAGTTCTATGGATGAATACAGTTGGTCCATATCCCAATAGACAAGAAACTTATACCTATTTCTCTTTGCCATTTTGTGCTGGACCCAAAAAAACAATCTCTCATTACCATGAGACAATAGCAGAAGCCATTCAAGGTGTTGAACTTGAATTTAGTGGTCTAGATATTGATTTTAAAGGTGAGGTCTAATAACTGTATTTCCACATCCCCACACCAATCACAATCAACAATTGTTCAACTTTTCTACTTCAATAGTGACGTGTTCCTATGCAAAAGAAAAACAATCGTTCATGTTGTAACCTTTTTCTGTAGAATTATATTCATCAAAACAAATAGTGAATCTCTCTCTTACTCTCATGAGTGACACTATTGACTCTTCCCAATTTGATTCTGTTCAACGTTCAATTATTTAGCAACAAAATCAATTAGCAATTAGAATGATAACATTCGAATATTCTATTCACCTATGATGATTGTTTACTATTCTTTTACACTTGACTTAATTTTATAATCTTTACATTACTCTTTTATTTTAACTCCCTCACTTTCTCTCTCTCCCTTTTCTACAGCCAATGTTGCCAAGACACCTTACTGTTCTGTTACTCTTGATGAAGAAAAATTACAAAAATTTACTGATGCAGTTAAAAATTATTATTGGTATGAGATGTACATCGATGGACTACCTGTATGGGGAGTTGTTGGTGAACATGATGAAACTGATAACAGTTATTATCTTTATACACATAAAAGATTTGACATTGGTTACAATGGTAATCAAATAATTGACGTTAACCTGACCACTGATGGTAAAGTAAAACTTGAATTAGGAGCAAAGATAATATTCACCTATGAAGTTAATTGGAAAAAATCATCAATACCTTTTGAACATCGATTTAACAAATATTTGGATGCCAGTTTCTTTCAACATCGTATTCACTGGTTTTCCATTTTTAACTCATTCATGATGGTCATCTTTCTAGTTGGTCTTGTTTCAATGATTCTAATGCGAACATTGAGAAAAGATTATGCCCGATACAGTAAAGAGGAAGATATAGACGATATGGAAAGAGATTTAGGAGATGAATATGGTTGGAAACAGGTTCATGGTGATGTTTTCCGAACCCCATCATACCCAATGATGCTGTCCATCTTAATCGGAACCGGTTACCAAATAGCCACTGTTACCTTTTTTGTAACCATATTTGCCATCATGGGTGAGCTTTACACCGAAAGAGGATCCCTACTTTCGACGGCGATGTTTGTATACGCAGCAACCTCACCAATAAACGGTTATTTTGGTGGTTCACTTTATGCCCGATTTGGTGGACGCCGATGGATTAAGCAAATGTTTCTCTCTGCTTTCTTTCATCCCTCAATAATCTGTGGTACCGCTTTCCTAATCAACTTTATCGCTATTTATTATCACGCATCTCGTGCCATTCCCTTTGGCACCATGGTAGCGGTAACATGTATCCTCTTTTTCGTTGTCCTTCCTTTAACCCTCATCGGAACCGTATTAGGTCGTAATCTTTCCGGTCAGGCCAATTATCCATGTCGGGTTAATGCTGTTCCTCGACCAATTCCAGAGAAAAAGTGGTTCATGGAACCCGAGATGATTGTTCTTCTCGGTGGAATCCTACCATTCGGGTCCATTTTCATTGAAATGTATTTCATTTTCACCTCCTTTTGGGCGTATAAAATTTACTATGTATATGGTTTTATGCTTTTGGTTCTTCTCATCTTAACTGTGGTCACTGTTTGCGTAACAATCGTTTGTACCTATTTCCTTCTCAATGCTGAAGATTACCGATGGTAAATATAAATTTCTAATTCTATTTCTGTTTTTTTTGTCAGTATCTTTCTCTATGATTGTTCAATTGTTTTAATCTGGATCAAATTGTCATCTCATCAATTCTCTCATTGTTTTCTAGCTTAACAAATTAGTCGTAACTAAATACATTTCTTTTTAAATAGTGTGTTAAATGTTGATAAACCATTAACCATATCTTTCTGATAGTTTATTCCTAACATTATAGTCTAATAATTATATTATTTCAAGTTCACTTAGAAAATTTTTACTCAAATTCATTGAAGTGTTAAAATTTTACATCTACAGAAAAGACTACTTCACTTATTATTATTTCAAATGATTTATTAGATGAAATTGAAATTAAATTGATTGTTGAGTTACTTGATTTGATTGAAGAAGCAGCTTTTCACTTGATTGACACAATACTTGCCATTATTTTTCATCTCATCGAATCTTTGTTAATAATGATTTTCTATTCTAATCAATATATTATTTTCTTCTAATTTCCATTTTTTTTCTCCCATGTAATTCATTCAGGCAATGGACAAGTTTCATGGCTGGAGGGTCAACCGCTGGTTACGTTTATTTATATTCGATTTATTATTTCTTCTTTAAAACGAAAATGTATGGTCTCTATCAAACGGTCTTCTATTTTGGTCATATGGCTTTATTTTGTATCGCCTTAGGATTAATGTGTGGTAAGTATCGCAATCGAAACCATTTAATCATCGACGTTTCAATTTATCGTTGCAGCGAATTATTTTATTCCAATACTGTTCGAGTAATCGTCCTTTCTATGAATTAGTTTTATTGTTCTAGCGATAAAGTAACGCCTTTGTCTAATTAAGGATTGATCCTAGTAGTTATAAAAAGTCTTCTCTGGCCCCCTTTTTTCCTCTTTCTTTTCTCTTTCTTTTTAAACGAGAATTTCTACCACTTTTACCTCTTTCTTTTTTCCCTTTCTTTTTTCTCTTTCTTTTTCTCTTTCTTTTTTCTCTTTTCTATTTAGTTAAAGGTCACAAACCCATGTCAAAAGTTATAAATTCATTATATATATTTATCCCATCATTTCCTTTTCTATTATATAAAGGATTGGATGTTTGAATCATTAACATATAATGTATTCTGTTTATTTAAAACACCCTTTTACCATGGTGGTCAGTGGACCAACTGGTTGTGGTAAAACATTTTGGGTACAACAACTTATCAAAAACGCTTTATTTGCATCTCATCCATCACCACAACATATTTATTACTTATATGGAGAATATCAGCCCTCATTCGCTAGTATAATTGGGGTAACGTTCATTAAAGGCTTACAAGATAACCTTTTAGAAAACCTCAACCCCGATAATAATCCAATTTGGGTGATAATAGACGATTTAATGGACGAATCATCGAAAAGTCAATTAATCAGTCAACTTTTCACCAAAGGATCTCATCATCAAAACATATCAGTTATTCTTCTTGTCCAAAACTTTTCAATAAAGGCAAAGAGATGAGAACTATAACCTTGAACGCTCATTATATAGTCATGTTTAAGAACCCACGTGATAAAACAGTTATTCAACATCTAGCCCGTCAGATGTTTCCCAACAAAGTCAAATCATTTGTTCAAGTGTTTGAAAAAGTGACAGAAAAGCCCTACTCATACTTGTTTATTGATTGTAAACCTGATACAATTGAACAGTTGAGATTGTTATCAAATATTTGGTCCTCACCTATTGATGTTTACCTTATATAAAGTCATCAAGCTTAACAACATTACAATAAATCACCAAGATGGAAGTCTATCTTTCAAACTATTCGAAAATATTGAATAAAATTGAATATAAAATTCATCTTGTTGGTAAAATCAAAGCAGGAGAGAAATGGAACTTCCAAGTCGTGATAGAAACTTATTCGACTGAAACCCATTCACTCCACAATTCAAAAGTTTCGCAAAAAATCCCATTCAAAGTGTTCAATAAAGTCCGAACGTTTCTTCTAGATCATTATCAAGAAAAGATTGGAGACGACATCGAACATCAATTTCGTAGAAATGGTGTATTATCATTCTCACACAAAAATATCAATTATATTTGGACGGCTGATCTACAATCCGTTGTCATGAGCAGAGACATTGATGATAAATTCATGAAAGCCTTACGAAAGTGTAACCACCCTTTCAGAGGTGTTCATAAAGAGAATGTTACTATATGGAATGATAAAATTACGGACCGTAAAGATTTGGGGACTACAAATATACCTGTTGAGAAATTTACAACCTCTAATGGTGATGAATTTTCAATATTTGTCAATACAGCCACTTCAACAGAAGAAGATAGGTGGTATATAAAAATTGAAATACGATTGATAACAAAAAGCCAAAATCATCCTGGTGGAAGTATTAAAGTTCACCCGATCGACTTTTTAGCCTTGAGAGACTACTTCATTCAATATAAAAAAGAACCCAGTTCTTTAGCTCCATTTTCCACACCAACTGGAAAAGCAGCCATTATTGTTGTCGATGAAAAACAAAAACTGATTGTGGATTTTGATGGTCAAATCTTGACTTTTGATGAAGAAACAATAAATCTAATAACTAAAGGTGAATATTTATACAAGTTGGACCACCTTTTCTCAGAATTTAACCACGAATTAACTCCTCAACCAATCTATAGATGGTGGTTCAATAATGGAGTATTTATCACTGACAATATTATACATCAAAGTTCATTAATATAAAGTAAATCAACTTCCATAAATTCAATCAAAATGACAATTGAAGGTGTCATCAGGTGTTTACCTGAACTTTCGAGGATAGCAAACGCCAAATCATTAAACGAACAACGATCATTAATTTTAAACTCACCAACTTGTATAATTTACGCAATCAGCGAAATTTGTAGAAACATTTTAAACGGTACAATACACCTTTCAGAAACTGAAAAGGCTATTCTTACAAAGTACAAGAGCTCTCTTAGAGATTTAGCCCAAAAACAAGTAAATCTTGATAAAAGAAAAAAGAAAATAAATCAAATCGGAGGTGCACTTCCAGCTTTATTAATACCTGCTATAACATTACTTGGAACTATTATTGCCAACAAAATATGAACGCTTACACGAAAATGATACTTATTCCCGAAGATGAGTACAACAAGCTCAAGTCATCAACAAGAGATAAAATATCCTACATTTTGGACAGACCTTTACCACCTCAAATGATTGAAAATCAAGTCAATCGTCAATTAGATAACCAACAATCTATGACACCACTTATTACTCAACCAATCACACAAATAACACCCAACGACTCAATTGATGAATACAAGGACTTTGACTCAGCAGATTTTTCATGGGATCCAGCTGTGATAGGTGTAACTCCTAAACGTCCACCAATTCTACAACAACTGAAAGACAAATACACCCCAAGAGGAAGGGTCATAAACTCAAGTCAAAAACCAATTCCAGGGTCAAATATTAATACTGTGATGCAATATCTAGAAAGTGATGATGTTGGAGCGGGCCCTTCTGGCTATAAAACTATCGCTCGCGCCTTACAAAATATTGGTGAAGAAGCAGTTGTTGTCAATCCGAAAGGTAGAGAAGCAATGACTCCAAGTGAGGCGTTGAAAGAACTTTTACATAAAGCTGAAGAAAGACAAAAAACTAGATTCCAAAGTGGAAAAGGATGGAGCTCAATAAAGAAATTTTAGATTCAATCTATTATAATCCTAGCCAAGCCGCTAGTTTTAGCTCTCCTAGACAATTATACCTTGAAGCAAAAAAATTAAACAATAAAATTACTCAAAAACAAGTAAATGATTGGCTTAAATCATCTGAAACTTATCAATTATTTAAACAAACTAAAAGAAACTTTCCGCGTTTGAAAACACTAACAATTGAAATCGATGAACAGTGGCAAGCTGACCTTCTCGATGTATCTTGGTTCGCTAAATTCAACGAACAAGTTCGTTATCTTTTGGTTGTTATTGATATATTTAGCCGGTATGCCTGGGTTAAACCATTAAAAGATAAAAGTGGTCAGTCCGTTACAATGGCAATGAGAAAGATTCTCAGAGCGGGAAGAGTTCCTAAAAAGCTTCAAACAGATCAAGGAAAAGAGTTTAAAAACTTTTTATTTAAAAATCTGATGAATGAGTTTAAAATAAACTTTTTCACAACCACAGATGACGCAGTTAAATGCGCAGTCGTTGAAAGGTTCAACAGAACTTTACGTAGTAGGATGAATCGTTTCATGTATTTTAAAGGTAATTTTAGGTATTTAGATAATCTACAAGAAATTGTTGATGGATATAATAAAAGTTATCATCGTATCATCAAATCATCACCAAATGATGTGAAAGAAGATAATCAAGCCTCAATTATTCTAAACCAACGAGAAAAACATGAGAAAAATGTAAAAGACAAATTTACTAATAAGGAATTTGTTAGAATAGCGAAAAAGAAGAAAATTTTTGAGAAAGGTACCACTTCTAATTGGACAAATGAAATTTTTAGGATAGTGAGTCGTAAAAAAACTCCCACGACGTATATATACAAGCTGCAAGATATTGAAGGTAATGATATAACGTCAATATTTTACCCTGATGAACTAAGTGCAGTAGATTATATAAAGAAACCTGAGATTGATATTAAAATAATCAAAAAAAGAGGACGTCCTCCAAATGTCAAACGTAAACCAGGTAGACCACGTAAAAATGAACAACAACAAATTAAAAGAAAACCTGGCCGTCCACCAAAGCTCAGACCAACCGAGTCAACTCGAGGGAAAGCTGGTCGTCCCCCCAAAACAAGAAAAACAGATGATCAAGTCAAAAGAAAACCTGGACGCCCAAGAAAAAGAGGTGTTTCATCCAGAAAATAAGTTTCAATTGGTACTACTTTCTTCTGAAGACTCGGATGGAGACGCTAGTTTCTTTACAAACAATTTAAATAGACCAATCAAACTTGATGGTGATTGGACAGTTGAGTTGAGTGATATCATCATACCATGTGTTGATGATGATGATGATTATGAAAATGAGCGAATAATTTTAGCTACTACTGACTGTACAAACGCTGAGAATAATGGTGACGTCATAGCCATTTTCAATAACTATTCTACATGGATTCCTACTCCCATTCCAATTAGACAAAGGGTCAATACTCAATTTCTGGATCATGTATCATTGAGAATACAATACATTGATGGAAGAGCCGTTAAAATACCAAAGAATGAGATGGCCGCAGTCTTAACATTTATCAAGTTGGAAAAAAAAGTAAAAAAACCAACTGGAGGTTCAAAAGTAAATCAACGTTCCGTCAAATAATAAGCTGTCTATTGACACTAACAATGAGCCTTCCTCAATTAAAAACCATCTTTCTTAATCTTTGAAACAATATAAAGACTTTATCAATAAATTAATTTATACAAAAAAAATGGATTCCTTTAATGACTCAATTCAAATTGACCTTGTATCAAATGCTAGTTTGAATACTTATCCTTCTAATACTTTATCTTCATTTACTAATGATTTACACAAACCAATTAGACTTGAAGGTGAGTGGGAAGTAGCTCTTATCGAGATTTTTCATCCAACATCAATTGAAAATGACCAAAATAAAATAGTCCACATATCAATAACACGTGATATTGGTGGTTTAGTTAGAACGAAAAAGATTCCTTTCGAATATAAGATTAATGAAAAAATAG